AAAATCCTACAGCGCACGCAAGGTCCCCCTGCTCAAGCCAGCGCATGTCCAGGCCCGTCTGAAGTTTGCCAACAACCATCTGGATGATCCAGAGGAGGAATGGGAGAAGGTCATGTGGTCTGATGAGACAAAAATAGAGCTTTTTGGTCTAAACTCCACTCGCCGTGTTTGGAGGAAGAAGAAGGATGAGTACAACCCCAAGAACATCATCCCAACTGTGAAGCATGGAGGTGGAAACATCATTCTTTGGGGATGCTTTTCTGCAAAGGGGACAGGACGACTACACCGTATTGAGGGGAGGATGGATGGGGCCATGTATCGCGAGATCTTGGCCAACCACCTCCTTCCCTCAGTAAGAGCATTGAAGATGGGTCGTGGCTGGGTCTTCCAGCATGACAACGACCCGAAACACACAGCCAGGGCAACTAAAGAGTGGCTCCGTAAGAAGCATCTCAAGGTCCTGGAGTGGCCTAGCCAGTCTCCAGACCTGAACCCAATAGAAAATCTTTGGAGGGAGCTGCAAGTCCGTATTGCCCAGCGACAGCCCCGAAACCTGAAGGATCTGGAGAAGGTCTGTATGGAGGAGTGGGCCAAAATCCCTGCTGCAGTGTGTGCAAACCTGGTCAAGACCTACAGGAAACGTATGATCTCTGTAATTGCAAACAAAGGTTTCTGTACCAAATATTAAGTTCTGCTTTTCTGATGTATCAAATACTTATGTCATGCAATAAAATGCAAATGAATTACTTAAAAATCATACAATATAATTTCCTGAATTTTGTCATAGTGTACCTATGATAAAAATTACAGACCTCTACATGCTTTGTAAGTAGGAAAACCTTTAAAATCGGCAGTGTATCAAATACTTGTTCTCCCCACTGTATATAAACTGCTAAATTAATAGTATTAAGAATGCATTGAGATAAACAGTAAACAGTCTCATTAGTTTTGGGCTAGACTATGATCTGTAAATGTCTACTACCCTTTTTAAAAAGTTGTTGATGAATGAAATTAGCACTGTTTCAGAACTTGGACAATGTCAGGGAATAAGCAGGTAAATGTACAGCCTATCAATGACAAAATAAACGGTGCAGAGGGTAGCCTTAAGATAACATTAGATATTTGCATTTTATGTACTGGACAGAGCCAGCTATTCTCAAAACATTAGATTACCAACTTGAGCGATGACGTCTCATTTCGCCGCACATTTTCACATGGACGTATATACACTGAACAAAAATATAAATGGAACATGTAAAGTATGAAAATGTATGCACTCACTACTGTTAAGTCGCTCTGGATAAGAGCGTCTGCTAAATTACTTAAATGTAAAGTGTTGGTCTCATATTTCATGAGCTGGTCATACCTATATGCATTTTGGGGTATATTGAGACAAAATGGGCAGATTCGAGTTGTACTTTATTATCACATGGTACCCTAGATGACAACTACACCAAACGTCCCACAGAACAAGGAGACCCATTGGAAAAGTTTCATAGAGTCATCAATAGATTTAGTGTAAAATCAGTCACAGCAGCCTATTTACAAGTTGGCCGCCATTCATTTCAATGTGGAGGAACTGAATAGATTTTTCAATGCCATAAAGGAATAGATATTGGTGTAATAAGACATTTACATTTACATTTACGTCATTTAGCAGACGCTCTTATCCAGAGCGACTTACAGTTAGTGAGACATGATTTATTATTATTATTTATTCATACTGGCCCCCCGTGGGAATCGAACCCACAACCCTGGCGTTGCAAACGCCATGCTCTACCAACTGAGCTACATCCCTGCCGGCCATTCCCTCTCCTACCCTGGACGACGCTGGCCATTCCCTCCCCTACCCTGGACGACGCTGGCCATTCCCTCCCCTACCCTGGACGACGCTGGCCATTCCCTCCCCCACCCTGGACGACGCTGGGCCAATTGTGCGCCGCCCCAGTAGACCAGTAAAGGCTGAAAATGTGTGTTACTGTGAGGAACATGCTAAAAGATAGACCAGAGATGTGAGTTATATCTATTTAGCAAAATATTACCAGAGCGTCTGCTAAATTACTAAAACGTAAATGTACAGTAATAATGGTAGAAAAATAACATGACAAAACGCCGAAAATAAGGTCTGAGATTAAGACGGGTTTAGGAGATTTTTTACGTTTTCTTCTATGAGATAACAGTCGTTTAACATGACCTTTATGAATTATTATTATTATTATTATTATTATGAAGCCTTTTTTTTTTTATACATAAAGGCTTTAAAAAAATCACAAAATATGACGTTAGCTGATTAAGATTATCTCATAGAGTAAAACGTATAACATTTTCTAAGCCTGTATTTACCAAATAAATTGTTTACGTCGATTATCCCCCAAAAAACTACAAAAATGTACTTAAGTATCAAAAGTAAATGTAATTGCTAAAATATACATAAGTATCAAAAGTAAAAATATAAATCATTTCAAATGTCTTATATTAAGCAAACCAGAGGGCACAATTTGGTTTTGTAAATTTACGGATAGCCAGGTGTACTCTGCAACACTCAGACATAAATTACAAACAAAGCACCCCCTAAAAAATGTATATATATTTTTTTAACAAAAAAGGAAATAAAATAAAATAATTACTAAAATTGTAAAAAGCATTAGTGTTTAGTGAGTCCGGCAGAGCAGAGGCAGTAGTGTTGACCAGGGATTTCCTCTTGATAAGTGCTTCAATAAGAGCGGCACTACAGTCTGATGACAGCCATGTTTCAGTGAGAAACATGCCATCAATTTTGCGCTCAGTAATGAGGTCATTCCCGAGAAAGGTTTTACTAGTGATTGCTCTAACATTTAAAAGTGCCATATTCAATGAGGGTGGGCCACTCTGCCCCTGGGGCATCTGCCTCGAGGTAACCAATGGAATAACAACCAAATTATTAACGTTACAACCACGTTTTTTTGACAGTCTCCAATCTATCAGAATGGTAGGAGATGACAGTTTGTATAAACTCACTAGAAGGCGGAAGTTAAAGGAACACAAATTAGGTTACTCACAATAACCATAGTGGCATTTTTATAGGAATTGATATGGTTTCCGAGTCTTCTGTTGCTTATTCTGACAGGGAGAACTGGAGCACTACCAGAACCTGTCTGTCAGTCTCTAAAACAGTTTGCGATGTTGCTGGAAATAATCCTGGAACCCTTGCGGTTAGGGTGAATCCCGTCTCTTTTAAAAAGTGCTGGTTGCTCCCACAGCAAATCAAAGTTGTCACAAAAAGAGACATTCCTGTCGTTGCAAAGTTTCTTCAGGTACTCGTTTAGGGCAAAGAGTCGGCTGAAACGTCCCGAACACCTTCGGTAGCACGGGAGGGGGCCAGAGATAATTATTATCTTCCCTGTGCTAGCGAGGGTCTTTAAATCATTTTTTTGTAGTTCTCCCTCAGATCGCCTAAAACGAAGGTTGTTAAAACCTACGTGAGTGACGATGGTGTCAGTATTGGAGTAGTTGGCCAGAAGCGTGGGCAGGAGAGATTTGATGTCATGGACACGGAGCTCCTGTTTGACAGTGGACCTTGGTCGGTCCACAGACCGTAGGCAGGCTCCCCATCGAGCTGCCAACCATGATGCTGGTAGTGATGGAATCCGATGGGGAAACGACCTGCTGAACTGTGGTGGCCGTGGGGGAGAGTGCCACTAGGCGGTCGTCGCCGGCTGTTGGTACGCACCCGCCGTGGACAAAACCACCGGTGGGCTAGCACAGCTAGCGTTAGCCTGCTCCATTTTCACGATGGCTAGCAGCTAACTTCTACTTAACAGGAATCTGGGACACAAACTTGCGGTCCCATCCATAAAGGCTGACCGCGTCGCGGAATCAGTAGCAATGCAAACTTTAGCTATGATTTAAAAACGATTTCATAACAACAACAAACCGAGTGTAGGCAGTACACTGTTCTGTTGCGCGCTCTGATGACGTCTGTTGCGTGATGACGTATCTCTTCAAACTGGAGTCCAATGAACAACCGTTAAATTTAATTATATTCTTCTTACTATAAAATCATATAAAATAATGCAATGGGACTTATAAGCATATCTTGTCTGCTAAATTAACAAGCCTACAGCCTATGGCATGGCGCATAGTCAAATAACATACTGAAGGACAACACATATTCCTGTCTTCTGAGATACATTTTCTCCATATCATAATGTTTCTTAAGACCTGCTTAAAATAAAAAATGAATTTATTGTGATGGTGTATATTAAATTGATTTATTAGACTTTTTTAAATGTAGATGTTCCAAAGGCCCGCATCAGTGGCTTGGAGGCCTGGAGATGCTAAACGTGTTTATGTTAATTAACGGCCAATTACCGTGATACCGGCAGTCTTTTGCTTGACAATAACTGGCTGACAACATTTCATGACATTTACATTTTAGTCATTTAGCAGACGCTCTTATCCAGAGCGACTTACAGTTAGTGAGTGCATACATTTTCATACTGATCCCCCGTGGGAAACGAACCCACAACCCTGGCGTTGCAAGCGCCATGCTATACCAACTGAGCTAAAGGGGACCACCACAGCCCTAACAGTACCTTCCCCAATTTCATGTAGGAGCATCAACATAGAGGCGTCCCTAATGGAAATATGCAAATACATGCTAGAACGCGCCAATAGGATCTCGCTAGCTCGTCCTTGGCTCCGCCCACCTCCTTGATTGTTCTGCTCACTATGATTCATTTGCACCCAATGGAAACGACAGGCGACTATGGCCTGTCTTGGGTTAGTTATAAACATCTTTGAAAAGCACAGAAAGAACACATATTTGGCATTAGTCAAAACGAAAAAACTAAGACTTAGAAGGCCCTCCTCTGGACATTACCACTATTTACATCCATCCACACACGAACTGAACCGTACCACTCGAAGGAGATTACAATCACATAAAATGGATCCTCATGTAAAAACATGACGTCTCCACCCCGTTACATACTTCACACCAGTAGATGGCGGTAACGCGTCATTATGCCAGTTCGCCACCTGCTTGGAGAGTAGAGTAAGAATTCAACAAGACGTAGAAAACGGAACAAAACATGGCAGAGCAAGTTAGTAGTGAAACATTGGAAGACAGGTCGGACTCTGCTGCAGTGTTGCAGGACCTTCGAAGTGTTCTGGTCACCAGCGTGCTTAACCTGGAGAAGCTGGAGATAGATCTGTACAGGTAGCTAGCACATTGTTAGCCTGCCCAACACTCACCTTTGGCCTACTATTAACAGATTAGGACAGCCAGCTCGCTAGCTAGCTACTGCTCGACATTTACCTCTTGTTGTTTAGTTGTACTGTGGCAATGTCAAGTTTTAATTGTGATGCAACTCAGTATAAACTTGTGCTCCCTCATCTGGTAAATTCAGGTTCTAACTGTGTGTGTGTGTGTGTGTGTGTGTGTGTGTGTCTCTCTGTCTGCGTTACAGAGGGACTCACCACTGGGTGCCCCGTAGCCGTCGCCTGTTTGGGGGTCAAATCATTGGTCAGGCCCTGGTGGCGGCAGCAGAGTCGGTCAGTGACAACGTATTCGCTCACTCTCTCCACTGCTACTTCGTACGGGCAGGTGAGGAGCAGACATTCCGTTAACATTACCACAATATTACAACAATACCACATGTTATACAGACAATTGTGTGCTTCTGCATTGCTTGCTGTTTGGGGTTTTAGGCTGGGTTTCTGTATAAGCACTTTGTGACATCTGCTGATGTAAAAAGGGCTTTAAATAAATGTCATTGATGGAACCATAACTTCATACTGGGCCAGTGAGGATCTGACATTCAGTCAACATTACCACAACATCCCACAGATTATACAGTCAACATTACCACAACATCCCACAGATTATACAGTCAACATTACCACAACATCCCACAGATTATACAGTCAACATTACTACAACATCCCACAGATTATACAGTCAACATTACCACAGGTTAAACCAGGGGTTATCAAATCTTACCCTAGGAGGTCTGTAGTACTGCAGGTTTCCTGTTCTACCTGATCATTAATTGCACCCACCTGGTGTCCCAGGTCTAAATCAGTCCCTGATTAGAGGGGAATCACCCACCTGGTGTCCCAGGTCTAAATCAGTCCCTGGTTAGAGGGGAATCACCCACCTGGTGTCCCAGGTCTAAATCAGTCCCTGGTTAAAGGGGAATCACCCACCTGGTGTCCCAGGTCTAAATCAGTCCCTGATTAGAGGGCAATCACCCACCTGGTGTCCCAGGTCTAAATCAGTCCCTGGTTAGAGGGGAATCACCCACCTGGTGTCCCAGGTCTAAATCAGTCCCTGGTTAGAGGGGAATCACCCACCTGGTGTCCCAGGTCTAAATCAGTCCCTGGTTAAAGGGGAATCACCCACCTGGTGTCCCAGGTCTAAACCAGTCCCTGGTTAGAGGGGAATCACCCACCTGGTGTCCCAGGTCTAAACCAGTCCCTGGTTAGAGGGGAATCACCCACCTGGTGTCCCAGGTCTAAATCAGTCCCTGGTTAAAGGGGAATCACCCACCTGGTGTCCCAGGTCTAAACCAGTCCCTGGTTAGAGGGGAATCACCCACCTGGTGTCCCAGGTCTAAATCAGTCCCTGGTTAGAGGGGAATCACCCACCTGGTGTCCCAGGTCTAAATCAGTCCCTGGTTAGAGGGGAATCACCCACCTGGTGTCCCAGGTCTAAATCAGTCCCTGGTTAGAGGGGAATCACCCACCTGGTGTCCCAGGTCTAGATCAGTCCCTGATTAGAGGGGAATCACCCACCTGGTGTCCCAGGTCTAAATCAGTCCCTGATTAGAGGGGAATCACCCACCTGGTGTCCCAGGTCTAAACCAGTCCCTGGTTAGAGGGGAATCACCCACCTGGTGTCCCAGGTCTAAATCAGTCCCTGGTTAGAGGGGAATCACCCACCTGGTGTCCCAGGTCTAAATCAGTCCCTGGTTAAAGGGGAATCACCCACCTGGTGTCCCAGGTCTAAATCAGTCCCTGATTAGAGGGGAATCACCCACCTGGTGTCCCAGGTCTAAATCAGTCCCCTGGTTAGAGGGGAATCACCCACCTGGTGTCCCAGGTCTAAATCAGTCCCTGGTTAAAGGGGAATCACCCACCTGGTGTCCCAGGTCTAAATCAGTCCCTGGTTAGAGGGGAATCACCCACCTGGTGTCCCAGGTCTAAACCAGTCCCTGGTTAGAGGGGAATCACCCACCTGGTGTCCCAGGTCTAAACCAGTCCCTGGTTAGAGGGGAATCACCCACCTGGTGTCCCAGGTCTAAATCAGTCCCTGGTTAGAGGGGAATCACCCACCTGGTGTCCCAGGTCTAAATCAGTCCCTGGTTAGAGGGGAATCACCCACCTGGTGTCCCAGGTCTAAATCAGTCCCTGGTTAGAGGGGAATCACCCACCTGGTGTCCCAGGTCTAAACCAGTCCCTGGTTAGAGGGGAATCACCCACCTGGTGTCCCAGGTCTAAATCAGTCCCTGGTTAAAGGGGAATCACCCACCTGGTGTCCCAGGTCTAAATCAGTCCCTGATTAGAGGGGAATCACCCACCTGGTGTCCCAGGTCTAAACCAGTCCCTGGTTAGAGGGGAATCACCCACCTGGTGTCCCAGGTCTAGATCAGAAAGTTCAGCCCTAACTCTCCTAACCTATAACCCCTGACCCTAACTCTCCTAACCTATAACCCCTGACCCTAACTATCCTAACCTATAACCCCTGACCCTAACTCTCCTAACCTATAACCCCTGACCCTAACTCTCCTAACCTATAACCCCTGACCCTAACCTATAGCCCCTGACCCTAACTCTCCTAACCTATAGCCCCTGACCCTAACCTATAACCCCTGACCCTAACCTATAGCCCCTGACCCTAACCTATAGCCCCTGACCCTAACTCTCCTAACCTATAGCCCCTGACCCTAACCTATAGCCCCTGACCCTAACTCTCCTAACCTATAACCCCTGACCCTAACTCTCCTAACCTATAACCCCTGACCCTAACCTATAACCCCTGATCCTAACCTATAGCCCCTGACCCTAACCTATAGCCCCTGACCCTAACCTATAGCCCCTGACCCTAACTCTCCTAACCTATAACCTCTCTCCTCTGGCCTGTGTGCCAGGAGACCCCAAGGTACCGGTGCTGTACCAGGTGGAGAGGACCAGGGACGGTCGTAGTTTCAGCGTGCGGTCAGTGAAGGCCATCCAACACGGTCAGCCCATCCTCATCTGCCAGGCCTCCTTCCACAGTAACCAGCCCTCTCCTCTGCAGCACCAGTTCACCATGCCCTCTGTCCCCCCTCCCGAAGACCTGCTGACGGTGGAAGAACTCATACAGCGCTACCTCAGGTAATAAAACCGTTATAACCAGCGGTTGGAACCAAAATTATTTTCCAATTGTTTCGTTCTGATGAGAACCATTGTTTTTAAAATTTCAGTTCCGCTGTTCCGACCAGCAAAATCAAGTTCTGAACCGTTCAAAACAAAAAAAAGTACTGTTTTTTATATTGTTCCTTTCTGTTCCTTTTTAAACATCTGAAATATATACAGTATATTTTTTACATTTAGCTCAACATTAAATGACTTCACCAATCAGAGCGGCTTGCTGTGGAGCGGGTCAGCCATTTAATCTGTATAGGAAAGTCTTTAAGAGCAAATTGTATTTTGCCGTAACAGCATGGTTTAACCATAATGAAACACACACGCACACTGTGCTGCCAGTCACAGTGTAGGGCCTGAGATGCAAATGAAGGGTGAGGATGTAGCTCAGTTGGGAGAGCATGGTGTTTGCAACGCCAGGGTTGTGGGTTCGATTCCCATGGGGGGCCAGTATGAAAAAATAATGTATGTACTCACTAACTGTAAGTGGCTCTGGATAAGAGCGTCTGCTAAATGACTAAAATGTCAAATGTAAAGGAGAGAGCGAGAGAGGATGGAGGAAGCTTGCCTTACATTTACATTTTACATTTTAGTCATTTAGCAGACGCTCTTATCCAGAGCGACTTACAGGAGCAATTAGGGTTAAGTGCCTTGCTCAAGGGCACATTAACGTCATTTAGCAGACGCTCTTAGCCAGGGCGACTCACAAATTGGTGCGTTCACCCTATAGCCAGTGGGATAACCACTTTACAATTTGGGGGGGGGAGGGGGGTAGAAGCATTACTTTATCCTATCCCAGGTATTCCTTAAAGAGGTGGGGTTTCAAATGTCTCCGGAAGGTGGTGAGTGACTCCGCTGTCCTGGCGTCGTGAGGGAGCTTGTTCCACCATTGGGGTGCCAGAGCAGCGAACAGTTTTGACTGGGCTGAGCGGGAGCTATGCTTCCGCAGAGGAAGGGGAGCCAGCAGGCCAGAGGTGGATGAACGCAATGCCCTCGTTTGGGTGTAGGGACTGATCAGAACCTGAAGGTACAGAGGTGCCGTTCCCCTCACTGCTCCATAGGCAAGCACCATGGTCTTGTAGCGGATGCGAGCTTCAACCTTGAAGCGCTGGGCATCTTGTAATGCATTATCTGAATAATGTCCACGAATTATACCTACGGAGGAGTAGCTTCTATGGATGAACTTTGAATATCTTTGAACTAGACTTGTGCGGTATCCAGATTGTCACACCTTCATACCGACCTTGTGCCGTACTGGGATATTCAATAATACCGGCTCTGAACACAAGGGGCGCTGTTTTCAAACCCCGCTCAGCCTCTGTAATCCCAAGTTTAGCAATGCTAACAAGTACATGTAAAAATCCCATAGAGAACGCTAACTAAATGCTAACGAGCACATTGCAAACATTTTATACAGTCTCTGACCTAAACTATACAAGTAACTCAAAAATGCTACTCACAGTTTGCTGCAAGCACAAAACAAATATTAGACAGCAAGGCTCTTGATCCAGGAGGAGATTCTCTGCTGTTACCAAGAGAAGATTGATTTTGGAAGAAGCTAACCACTTAGCTAGATAGCAAACCAGCTACTAAATTAGCAAACCAAATGCTCAACTGCAGAGCATTTAGCATATTTAATAGTTCTGAGATATCTAGCTGGCAAACGTTTAGTTGGGAATTCCTTCCTGTAACTAGATCACCTGACGTGTGCTGCACAACAGTGAGACTCACAAGACTCCGGGCTCTGGTCATGGTCTGCTTGTAAATAAACACTACGAGACTCCGGGCTCTGGTCATGGTCTGCTTGTAAATAAACACTACGAGACTCCGGGCTCTGGTCATGGTCTGCTTGTAAATAAACACTACGAGACTCCGGGCTCTCGTCATTGTCTGCTTGTAAATAAACACTACGAGACTCCGGGCTCTCGTCATTGTCTGCTTGTAAATAAACACTACGTGGCTGGAATACATTTCAATTAACAGGTGTGCCTTCTTAAATTTATTTCCTTCTTAATGCGTTTGAGCCAATCAGAAGACAGCCCTATTTTGGTAAAAGACCAAGTCCATATTATGGCAAGAACAGCTCAAATAAGCAAAGAGAAACGATAGTCCATCATAACTTTAAGACACGAAGGTCAGTCAATATGGAACATTTCAAGAACTTTGAAAGTTTCTTCAAGTGCAGTCGCAAAAACCATCAAGCGCTATGATGAAACTGGCTGGTTTACTACATGATTCCAAATGTGTTATTCAATAGTTTTGATGTCTTCACTATTATTCTACAATGTAGAAAATAGTAAAAATAAAGAAAAACCCTTGAATGAGTAGGTGTGTCCAAAGTTTTGACTGGTACAGACAGACAGACAGACTCACTCCGACATTGCTCGTCCAAATATTTCTATATTTCTTAATTCCATTGATTTAGTTTTAGATGTGTGTGTATTGTTAGATACTACTGCACTGTTGGAGCTAGGAACACAAGCATACACCCACAATAACATCTGCTAAACATGTGTATGCGACCAATAAAATTAGATTTGTTACAACACGTACGGGACCACGCTATAACACTGTTAAATTGTATTACTGTTAATTACACCAATATAGTTAATACACCACCCTCCTGGAGGTAGCAGGTAGCTTAGTGGTTAAGAGCGTTGTGCCAGTAACCGAAAGGTCGCTGGTTCTAATCCCAGAGCCGACTAGGTGAAAAATCTGTTGATGTGCCCTTGAGCAAGGCACTTAACCCTAATTGCTCCTGTAAGTGGCTCTGGATAAGAGCGTCTGTTAAATTACTAACATGTAAAATATAAGACCTGTTAACACTTCATACCATGACATTGGAGAATATTAGTTTCTGATTGGCTTCAATGGCATTCTAAAGCGTGCATCGTTTCCCTATAATGCATGGCAATAATTAACGGCTGAGTTTGTTGGTTATTTACGATGGTCCTGGTTCTGTGTAACTCAGTCGGTAGCGCGTGGCGTAAAAGAGGTCTCCTAGAAGTTCCGTCCGAACTGATAGTTTCAACATTCTGTGTGTGTTCCAGTAAGCCGGACTTGGCTGAAAAAGCCAAACAGGGCCTGAACAAGCTGCTAGCCGACGAGGTTCCCATAGAGATTAAACCTGTCAGTCCTCTAGACCTCTACTGCGGCGTTGCCATGGAACCCAAGAAGTTGTACTGGGTGCGCGCTAGAGGCCACATCGGTAAGATACTGACCCTCTTCCAGGGCTGCCCATCTCTCTTCCTGGAGATCTACAGTCCTGTAGTTTTCAGTCCAACCCTAACCTACACCATACCTGGTTCAGATATTGGTAAGCAGCTAATTATTAGAATCAGGTGATTTAAATTAGGGTTGGAGTGAATCTACAGGAGGAGCTCACCAGGAAGAGAGCTGCTCTAACCAGTCCTGCTCTAACCAGCCCTGCTCTAACCAGCCCTGCTCTATCCAGCCCTGCTCTAACCAGCCCTGCTCTAACCAGCCCTGCTCTATCCAGCCCTGCTCTATCCAGCCCTGCTCTAACCAGCCCTGCTCTAACCAGCCCTGCTCTAACCAGCCCTGCTCTAACCAGCCCTGCTCTATCCAGCCCTGCTCTAACCAGCCCTGCTCTAACCAGCCCTGCTCTATCCAGCCCTGCTCTATCCAGCCCTGCTCTATCCAGCCCTGCTCTATCCAGCCCTGCTCTATCCAGCCCTGCTCTAACCAGCCCTGCTCTATCCAGCCCTGCTCTATCCAGCCCTGCTCTAACCAGCCCTGCTCTATCCAGCCCTGCTCTAACCAGCCCTGCTCTAACCAGCCCTGCTCTAACCAGCCCTGCCAGGGGAGATGCAGTAAGCTTTACTGTGTGTTGTGTGTGTGTGTCGGTTACCCCAGGTAAAGGTGATATGAAGCTCCATTGCTGTGTGGCAGCCTATGTGTCAGACTATTCGTTCCTGGGCACTGCCCTCCTCCCTTACCCCGGGCAGCGCACCAGTTTCTCAGCCTCTCTGGATCACGCCATGTGGTTCCACAACACCTTCAGGGCAGACGAATGGATGCTCTACGAGACTGAGAGCTCCTGGGCAGGTACAGAGACAGACACACACACACAGAGAGAGAGACCGGTACAGAGACATAGAGAGAGACATGTACAGAGACACATAGAGAGAGACAGTTACAGAGACACATAGAGAGAGACAGGTACAGAGACACATAGAGAGAGACGGGGACAGAGACACATAGAGGGAGACAGGTACAGAGACACATAGAGAGAGAAACAGGTACAGAGACATAGAGAGAGACGGGTACAGAGACACAGAGAGACAGGGACAGAGACACATAGAGAGAGACGGGTACAGAGACACATAGAGAGAGAAACAGGTACAGAGACACAGAGAGAGAGACGGGTACAGAGACACAGAGAGAGACGGGTACAGAGAGACAGGGACAGAGACACATAGAGAGAGACAGGTACAGAGACACATAGAGAGAGACAGTTACAGAGACACATAGAGAGAGACAGGTATGGACACACATAGAGAGAGACGGGGACAGAGACACATAGAGAGAGACAGGTACAGAGACACATAGAGAGAGACAGGTACAGAGACATAGAGAGAGACAGGTACAGAGACACATAGAGAGAGACAAGTACAGAGACACATAGAGAGAGACAGGTATAGAGACACATAGAGAGAGACAGGTAGAGAGACACATAGAGAGAGACAGGTACAGAGACACATAGAGAGAGACAGGTACAGAGACACATAGAGAGAGACAAGTACAGAGACACATAGAGAGAGACAAGTACAGAGACACATAGAGAGAGACAGGTATGGACACACATAGAGAGAGACAGGTATGGACACACAGAGACACTGGGACAGAGACATGGAGAGAGAGAGACAGGGACAGAGACATAGAGGGAGAGACAGGGACAGACACATGGAGAGAGACAGGTATGGACATAGAGAGAGACACGCGGACACGCAAAGTTACAGACAGGAGCATTTACCTTCCAGCTGGTCCTCTGTGTTAGTCTCCCCACATGCTAGCTGTTTCTCTGTGTTAGTCTCCCCACATGCTAGCTGGTCCTCTGTGTTAGTCTCCCCACATGCTAGCTGGTCCTCTGTGTTAGTCTCCCCACATGCTAGCTGGTCCTTTGTGTTAGTCTCCCCACATGCTAGCTGGTCCTCTGTGTTAGTCTCCCCACATGCTAGCTGGTCCTCTGTGTTAGTCTCACCACATGCTAGCTGGTCCTCTGTGTTAGTCTCCCCACATGCTAGCTGGTCCTCTGTGTTAGTCTCCCCACATGCTAGCTGGTGTTTTGTCCTTGCGTTCGTGTGCATGTGTTTGTGTGTCCACCAGGTGGCAGCAGAGGGCTGGTCCAGGGGCGTCTGTGGAGGAGAGACGGGGTGCTGGCTGCCAGCTGTGCCCAGGAGGGGGTGCTCAGGGTCAACGCCGTGACGAACGAGAGCAAGCTATAACCATGACAACATTTCCCTTGAGACCGTTACATGGCTGATGAAGACTATGGCTGCATTTACACAGGCAGCCCAATTCTGATCTCTTTTCCGCTAATTGGTCTTTTGACCAATCACATCAGATATTTGTCAGAGCTAATCTGATTGGTCAAAAGACCAATTAGTGAAAGAAAGATCAGAATTGGGCTGCCTGTGTAAAGAGAGACACGCCATGCCGACGAACGGCTAAAACCAGCTTTTGGCTGCGGTGTTAGTGATCACCTGCTGGGTGTCGACGAACGGTTCAACCTCATCCCCAGCCTTCATCCCCAGCCTTCATCCCCAGCCTTCATCCCCAGCCTTCATCCCCAGCCTTCAACTTCAGCATCTTAGCATCTACAACCTACTGAACCATGTGGTGATGATTAGAATGAGTTGATTCTGACTGAATAGATTTTCTGATGAAGATAAAGATTTCCATATGTATGAAGTCTTTATATTAAATTATATTTTACCCTTTTAAATGATTTTATAATTGCACTTGATAATCGTTGTTTCTATTTGTTTTGTCCGTTGTGGTTCCATAGCATTCCTTTATGAATCGTTTCATATTTCAATAATGTCTATCTTTTCATGAATCAGGTCCATAATTATTGACACCCTTGATAAAGATGAGCAACAAAGACTGTAAAAAATATATCATTCAAATACTGTGCTATATTGTATGCACAAAAACATGTAAATTGTTATTTTATCCTAAAGATTTTGTTTAACAAGTAATAAAAATTCTCAAGACGGGTTGAAATGATTGCCACCCCTGTTCTCTATACTCCAGCCCCCTCCTGTGTTCTATACTCCAGCCCCCCTCCTGTGTTCTATACTCCAGCCCCCTCCTGTGTTCTATACTCCAGCCCCCTCCTGTTTTCTATACTCCAGCCCCCTCCTGTGTTCTATACTCCAGCCCCTCCTGTGTTCTATACTCCAGCCCCCTCCTGTTTTCTATACTCCAGCCCCTCCTGTGTTCTATAACTCCAGCCCCCTCCTGTTTTCTATACTCCAGCCCCCTCCTGTTTTCTATACTCCAGCCCCCTCCTGTGTTCTATACTCCAGCCCCTCCTGTGTTCTATACTCCCAGCCCCCTCCTGTTGTTCTATACTCCGCCCCCTCCTGTGTTCTATACTCCAGCCCCCTCCTGTTTTCTATACTCCAGCCCCCTCCTGTTTTCTATACTCCAGCCCCCTCCTGTTTTCTATACTCCAGCCCCCTCCTGTGTTCTATACTCCAGCCCCCTCCTGTGTTCTATACTCCACCCCCTCCTGTGTTCTATACTCCAGCCCCTCCTGTTTTCTATACTCCAGCCCCTCCTGTGTTTCTATACTCCACCCCCTCCGTGTTTTCTATACTCCAGCCCCCTCCTGTGTTCTATACTCCAGCCCCCTCCTGTGTTCTATACTCCAGCCCCCCTCCTGTGTTCTATACTCCAGCCCCCTCCTGTTTTCTATACTCCAGCCCCCTCCTGTGTTCTATACCTCCAGCCCCCCTCCTGTGTTTCTATACTCAGCCCCCTCCTGTGTTCTATACTCCAGCCCCCTCCTGTGTTCTATACTCCAGCCCCCTCCTGTGTTTCTATACTCCAGCCCCTCCTGTGTTCTATACTCCAGCCCCTCCTGTTTTCTATTACTCCAGCCCCCTCCTGTGTTCTATCTCCAGCCCCCCTCCTGTTTCTATACTCCAGCCCCCTCCTGTGTTCTATACTCCAGCCCCCTCCTGTGTTCTATTACTCCAGCCCCCTCCTGTGTTCTATACTCCAGCCCCCTCCTGTGTTCTATACTCCAGCCCCTCTGTGTTCTATTACTCCAGCCCCCTCCTGTGTTTATACTCCAGCCCCCTCCTGTTTTTCTATACTCCAGCCCCCTCCTGTGTTCTATACTCCAGCCCCCTCCTGTTCTATACTCCGGCCCCTCCTTTGTTCTTACTCCAGCCCTCCTGTGTTCTATACTCCAGCCCCCTCCTGTTCTATTATCCTCCAGCCCCCCTCCTGTGTTCTATACTCCAGCCCCCTCCTGTGTTCTATACTCCAGCCCCTCCTGTTTTCTATACTCCAGCCCCCTCCTGTTTTCTATACTCCAGCCCCCTCCTGTGTTCTATACTCCAGCCCCCTCCTGTGTTCTATACTCCAGCCCCTCCTGTTTTCTATACTCCAGCCCCCTCCTGTGTTCTATACTCCAGCCCCCTCCCCTTACGAGGATAACGACACTGAGCCTTTTTCTAAAATGTTTTCTGAGACTGAGGAACACATTGGGAGGGATCTGAGACCATTCCTCCATACAGAATCTTTCCAGATCCTTGATATCCTTCATCTGCTCTTATGGACTGCCCTCTTCAATTCAAACCACAGGTTTTCAATGGGGTTCAAGTCCGGAGACTGAAATGGCCATTGCAAAATGTTGATTTTGTGATCAGTTAACCTTTTCTTTGTGGATTTTGATTAGCGCTTGGGGTGCAAAACCCACCACTGCTGTGCATGGCCAAAGACCTCTATTTTCATGTCATCTGACCAAAGCACCGGTTCCAATTCAAGTGCCAACGCCGTTAATCATCCAGGCGGTGCTATGGTCAGATGACTTGAAAATAGAGGTCTTTGGCCATGCGTGGGTTTGGTGTTGATTAACAGAAGCATATGCAGAAAAGGATCTTAGACCTACTGTAAAATATGTTGGTGGAGCTTTGATGTTATGGGGCTATTTTTCTTCCACTGGTCCTGGGGCCCTTGTTAAGGTCAACGGCATCATGAACTTTACCCAGTACCAGGACATTTTAGCCAAAAACCTGTTTTTTTTACCCTCCTGTAGGTTTTCACTCCAAGTTGATCTTCCAGCAAGTTCTGTGTGGATGGAATGGATGTATACTGAAAAAAATGTAAATGCAACATCATTTTTTATATATAAACGCAACAATGATTTTACTGAGTTACAGTTCATATAAGGAAATTAGTCAATTGAAATAAATACATTTGGCCCTAATCTATGGATTTCACATGACTGGGCAGGGGCACAGCCATGGGTGGGCCTGGGAGGGCATAGGCCCACCCACTTGGCAGCCAGGCCCACCCACTGGAGAGCCAGGCCCAGCCAATCAGAATGATTTTTCCACACAAAAGGGCTTTATTACAGACAGAAATACTCCTCAGCACCCCATCCCCCCTCAGACGATCCCGCAGGTGAAGAAGCCGGATGTGGAGGTCCTGGGCTGGCGTGGTTACACATGGTCTGCGGTTATGAGGCCGGTTGGACAAATTATTTAAAATGATGTTGGAGGCAGTTTATGGTAGGGAAATTAACATTCAATTCTCTGGCAACAGCCCTGGTGGACATTCCTGCATTCAGCATGCCAATTGCACGCTCCCTCAAAACTTGAGACATCTGTGGCATTGTGTTGTGTGACAAAACTGCACATTTTAGAGTGGCCTTTTATTGTCCCCAGCACAAGGTGCGCTTGTGTAATGATCATGCTGTTTAATCAGCTTCTTGATATGCCACACCTGTCAGGTGGATGGATCATCTTGGCAAAGGAGAAATGCTCACTAGCAGGGATGTAAACAAAATCTGAGAGAAATCAGCTTTTTGTGCGTATGGAACATTTCTGGGATCTTTTAATTCAGCTCATGAAACATGGGACCAACACTTTACATGTTGCGTTGATATTATTGTTCAGTGTAGATCAGGGTGTCAAACTCATTCCACGGAGGGCCGAGTGTCTGCAGGTTTTTGGTTTTCCTTTCAATTAATAATAATAATAATAATAATAATAATAATAATAATAATATGCCATTTAGCAGACGCTTTTATCCAAAGCGACTTACAGTCATGCGTGCATAAATTTTTTTTGTGTATGGGTGGTCCCGGGGATCGAACCCACTACCTTGGCGTTACAAGCGTTGTGCTCTAAGCTAAGACCTAGACACCAGGTGAGGGGAGTTCTTTCCTAATTAGCGAAAACCAGCAGACACTCGGCCCTCCGTGGAATGAGTTTCACACTTGATGTAGAACAACAGAATCTGGTAATGAGTGAATCCCAATTGGCACCCTATTCCCACAAGGCTCTGGTCTAAAGTAGTGCACTACGTAGGGAATAGGGTGCCATTCTCTGGTCTAAAGTAGTGCACTATATAGGGAATAGGGTGCCATTCTCTGGTCTAAAGTAGTGCACTACGTAGGGAATAGGGTGTCATTCTCTGGTCTAAAGTAGTGCACTATATAGGGAATAGGGTGCCATTCTCTGGTCTAAAGTAGTGCACTACGTAGGGAATAGGGTGCCATTCTCTGGTCTAAAGTAGTGCACTATATAGGGAATTGGGGGTCATTCTCTGGTCTAAAGTAGTGCACTATATAGGGAATAGGGGGTCATTCTCTGGTCTAAAGTAGTGCACTATATAGGGAATAGGGTGTCATAGGGCTCTGGTCTAAAGTAGTGCACTATATAGGGAATAGGGTGCCATTCTCTGGTCTAAAGTAGTGCACTATATAGGGAATAGGGTGCCATTCTCTGGTCTAAAGTAGTGCACTATATAGGGAATAGGGTTCCATTCTCTGGTCTAAAGTAGTGCACTATATAGGGAATAGGGTGCCATTCTCTGGTCTAAAGTAATGCACTATATACGGAATAGGGTGTCATTCTCTGGTCTAAAGCAGTGCACTACATAGGGAATAGCGTGCCATTCTCTGGTCTAAAGTAGTGCACTATATAGGGAATAGGGTGTCATTCTCTGGTCTAAAGTAGTGCACTACATAGGGAATAGGGTGCCATTATCTGGTCTAAAGTAGTGCACTATATAGGGAATAGGGTGCCATTCTCTGGTCTAAAGTAGTGCACTATATAGGGAATAGGGGGTCATTCTCTGGTCTAAAGTAGTGTACTATATAGGGAATAGGGGGCCATTCTCTGGTCTAAAGTAGTGCACTATATAGGGAATAGGGTGCCATTCTCTGGTCTAAAGTAGTGCACTATATAGGGAATAGGGTGCCATTCTCTGGTCTAAAGTAGTGTACTATATAGGGAATAGGGGGCCATTCTCTGGTCTAAAGTAGTGCACTATATAGGGAATAGGGTGCCATTTGGGATGCTGGCAATGTCATGATGGTGATGCAGTGTTGTATATCAGTGAACAATGTTATTTGTCCCCAAAGATAATCTTGCTTTTTAGCCCAGGACTAACTTTAGGCCTAATCTGTGTCACCCCTATCCTTAAAGGGGCAATCTGCAGTTTAAAGCCGCTGTTTTGGTAATAGCTTAGGGATGGGGTTGGAGAGATGTAACCACCCCTATCAAATTCATATACAGAGCTATGGATGCCAGGAATGACCATCAACGGTATTAAACATGGTTTTAACCATGTTTTGAGGCTATACTGTTTGTGTTTGGAATTGTATTGTTTACAAACCATGGAGTAAAACAAGCTGATATTTTGGTTTCTGATGGGGTACAACAGTTGAACTAAACTCATGAGGCATGTATAAGTTACATTCTTCAATAATCAATGGGTATATATCATTAATGGGTATATATAATTAATTCGCAGATTGCCCCTTTAATGTCCTTAGTCTTGTATGAGCTCAGCTAATATAAAAAAGGTTGCATTTTATATGAATATTGCCATAATATCGTTGGACTAACATGCCACTGTAGCCTACCACAACCAACCCTCTCCCCTACGTTGGCACACATGCTTACGCAGAGAGGGAGATGGCTAGAGGGGTGCGAGAGAGAGGCGCGTCACTGATGGGTATTTTCTCATCTTCCCGTCGCCTGCTCAACCAATTAATTATCCGTTACCACCCATTACCGACTACCGCTGGATGTTCTGCTCGTGATGACCTTGTACCTCTCTGACGCTTAAAACATTCTCAATATTGTATTTTCCGTCCGACCGTTTTAGTCTGCCTGTCTGGAGTCTGTAGTCTGTGTCCATCTCCATGGCTACCTCGAATGTGCTGGAGGAGTCCTGCCTGCTGCGGAGAGGCAGATCTCACAGCGACCCGAGCAGCATCATCACGGAACCTCGAGTCGCCGGAGCTACCGGAGCAGGTTGGTGACTACCACTCATCATGGCTTGTCTGTCTGATTTCTATAGCTGTCTGTCCCTCATTCGGCATTTCAGAATCTGAATCTCCCGGTCGTGTTGTTGGATGTAGGCTGTGTTGCAACATTAATTGGGTTTTTTTCCTCCCGGTTGAGTGTCCGCGGCACACTGCGAACATCAATCGTGATCATCCATGGGTGCGTTTGAATTTCGAATAAAACAAATGTAGCCTAGTAAATATGTTAATTTTCCCTGAAAAACATTCATTATTAGTTATGAATAGTAACTTGTTATTTATGTAAGCTATAGGCTACAAGCATCCGCAGACAAACTGACATACAGGAGATGTAGCCTAGTAATTCATTGGAGTGTCTGCAATGCGGGGATGTTTAGGCCACTACAGCATATAACCTATAGATTATTTTTTAAATATACAGTGCATTTGGAAAGTATTCAGACCCCTTCTCTTTTTTCCACAATTTGTTATGTTACTGCCTTATTCAAAAATTGATTAAATTGTTTTTTTCCCTCATCAATCTACACACAATACCCCATAATGACAAAGTAAAAACAGGTATTTAGAAATTTTTGCAAATGTATTAAAAACGGAAATACCTTATTTACATAAATATTCTGTCCTTTGCTATGAGACTCGAAATTGAGCTCAGGTGCATCCTGTTTCCATTGATCATCCTTGAGATGTTTCTACAACTTGATTGGAGTCCACCTGTGGTAAATTCAATTGATTGAACATGATTTGGAAAGGCACACACCTGTCTATATAAGGTCCCACAGTTGACAGCGCATGTCAGAGCAAAAACCAAGCCATGAGGTCAAAGGAATTGTCCATAGAGCTCAGAGACAGGATTGTGTCGAGGCACAGATCTGGGGAAGGACAACAAAACATTTCTGCAGCATTGAAGGTCCCCAAGAACACAGTGGTCTCCATCATTCTTAAATGGAAGAAGTTTGGATCCACTAAGACTCTTCCTATAGCTGGCCGCCTAGACAAACTGAGCAATCGGGGGAGAAGGGCCTTGGTGAAGGTGGTGACCAAGAACCCGATGGTCACTCTGAGAGAGCTCCAGAGTTCCTCTGTGGAGATGGGAGAACCTTCCAGAAGGACAACCATCTCTGCAGTCTCCACCAATCAGGCCTTTGTGGTAGAGTGGCCAGACGGAAGCCACTCCTCAGTAAAAGGCACATGACAGCCCGCTTGAAATTTGCCAAAAGGCACCAAAAGGACTCAGACCGTGAGAAACAAGATTCTCTGGTCTGATGAAAGCAAGATTGAACTCTTTGGCCTGAATACCAAGTGTCACGTCTGGAGGAAACCTGGCACCATCCCTATGGTGAAGCATGGTGGTGGCAGTATCATGCTGTGGGGATGTTTTTCAGCAGCAGGGACTGGGAAACTAGTCAGGATCAAGGGAAAGATGAACAGAGCAAAGTACAGAGATCCTTGATGAAATCCTGCTCCAGAGTTCTCAGGACCTCAGACTGGGGCGAAGGTTCACCTTCCAACAGAACAACGACCCTAAGCACACAGCCAAGACAATGCAGGAGTGGCTTCGGGACAAGTCTCTGAATATCCTTGAGTGGCCCAGCCAGAGCCCAAACTTGAACCCGATCGAACATCTCTGGAGAGACCTGAAAATAGCTGTGCAGCAACGCTCCCCATCCAACCTGACAGAGCTTGAGAGGATCTGCAGAGAAGAATGGTAGAAACTCCCCAAATACAGGTGTGCCAAGCTTGTAGCGTCATACCCAAGAAGACTTGAGGCTGTAATCGCTGCCAAAGGTGCTTCAACAAAGTACTGAGTAAAGGGTCTGAATACTTATGTAAATGCAATATTTTATTTTGTAAATGTCATTTCAGTTGTTGTTTTTTATATACATTTGCAAACATTTCTAAAAACCTGTTTTTGCTTTGTCATTATGGGGTATTGTGTGTTGATTGATAAGAAAAACAACAACAATATAATCAATTTTAGAATAAGGCTGTAACGTAACAAAATATGAAAAAAGTCAAGGGGTCTGAACACTTTCCTGAATTTACTGTATATGTCTCATAGCTTACTTAGAGTATATATCCCTACAGCATATACGTAGAGATGGTGCCAGGTTTCCTCCAGACGTGATGCTTGGCATTCAGGCCAAAGAGTTCCATCTTGCTTTCATCAGACCAGAGAATCTTGTTTCTCACGGTCAGAGTCCTTTAGGTGCCTTTTGGCAAACACCAAGCAGGCTTTCATGTGCATTTTACTGAGGAGTGGCTTCCATCTGGCCAGGATGAGTCGGACCACAGAGTGAAGGAAAAGCAGCCAACAAGTGCTCAGCATATGTGGGAACTCCTTCAAGACTGTTGGGAAAGCATTCCAGGTGAAGCTGGTTGAGAGAATGCCAAGAGTGTGCAAAGCTGTCATCAAGGCAAAGGGTGGCTATTTGAAGAATCTCAAATATAAAATATATTTTGATTTGTTTAACACTTTTTTGGTTACTACATGATTCCATATGTGTTATGTCATAGTTTTGAACATACCTACTCATTCAAGGATTTTTCTTTATTTTTACTATTTTCTACATTATAGAATAATAGTGAAGACATCAAAACTATGAAATAACACATATGGAATCATGTAGTAACCAAAATAGTGCTAAACAAATCAAAATATATTTTATATTTGAGATTCTTCAAATAGCCACCCTTTGCCTTGATGACAGCTTTGCACACTCTTGGCATTCTCTCAACCAGCTTCACCTGGAATGCTTTCCCAACAGTCTTGAAGGAGTTCCCACATATGCTGAGCACTTGTTGGCTGCTTTTCCTTCACTCTGCGGTCCGACTCATCCCAAACCATCTCAATTGGGTTGAGGTCTGGTGATTGTGGAGGCCAGATCATCTGATGCAGCACTCCATCACTCTCCTTCTTTGTCAAATAGCCCTTACACAGCCTGGAGGTGTGTTTTTGGGTCATTGTCCTGTTGAAAAACAAATGATAGTCCCATTAACCCCAAACCAGATGGGATGGCGTATCGCTCCAGAATGCTGTGGTAGCCATGCTGGTTAAGTGTGCCTTGAATTCTAAATAAATCACAGACAGTGTCACAAGCAAAGCACCCCCACACCATAACACCTTCTCCTCCATGCTTTACGGTGGGAACTACACATGCGGAGATCATCCGTTCACCCACACTGCGTCTCACAAAGACACGGCGGTTGGAACCAAAAACCTCCAATTTGGACTCCATACCAAAGGACACATTTCCACCGGTCTAATGTCCATTGCCCGTGTTTCTTGGCCCAAGCAGGTCTCTTCTTCTTATTGGTGTCCTTTAGTAGTGGTTTCTTTGCAGCAATTCGACCATGAAGGCTTGATTCACACAGTCCCCTCTGAACAGTTGATGTTGAGATGTGTCTGTTACTTGAACTCTGTGAAGCATTTATTTGGGCTGCAATTTCTGAGGCTGGTAACTCGAATTAACTTATCCTCTGCAGCAGAGGTAACTCTGGGTCTTCCATTCCTGTGGCGGTCCTCATGAGAGCCAGTTTCATCATAGCGCTTGATGGTTTTTGCGACTGCACTTGAAGAAACTTTCAAAGTTCTTGAAATGTTCCGTATTGACTGACCATGTCTTAAAGTAATGATGGACTGTCATTTCTCTTTGCTTATTTGAGCTGTTCTTGCCATAATATGGACTTGGTCTTTTACCAAATAGGGCTATCTTCTGTATACACCACTACCTTGTCACAACACAACTGATTGGCTCAAACGCATTAAGAAGGAAATAAATTCCTCAAATTAACTTTTAACAAGGTACACCTGTTAATTTAAATGCATTCCAGGTGACTACCTCATGAGGCTGGTTGAGAGAATGCCAAGAGTGTGCAAAGCCGTCATCAAGGCAAAGGGTGGTTATTTGAAGAATCTCAAATATAAAATATATCTTGATTTGTTTAACACTTTTTTTGGTTACTACATGATTCCATATGTGTTATTTCATAGTTGTGATGTCTTCACTATTATTCTACAATGTAGAAAATAGTAAAAATAAAGAAAAACCCTGGAATGAGTAGGTGTGTCCAAACCGTTGACTGGTATATCTAGTAGTGAACACTCTTCAATTACTCCACCAGTTTACAGGAATAACTGTCAGGAAATGAAAACTTATCACACCAGGTTTACAAGAGGGAAAAAAGTATTTGATCCCCTGCTGATTTTGTACGTTTGCCCACTGACAAAGACATGATCAGTCTATAAGTTTAATGGTAGGTTTATTTGAACAGTAAGAGACAGAATAACAACAAAAAAATCCAGAAAAACGCATGTCAAAAATGTTATAAATTGATTTGCATTTTAATGAGGGAAATAAGTATTTGACCCCTCTGCAAAACATGACTTAGTACTTGGTGGCAAAACCCTTGTTGGCAATCACAGAGGTCAGACGTTTCTTGTAGTTGGCCACCAGGTTTGCACACATCTCAGGAGGGATTTGTTCCACTCCTCTTTGCAGATCTTTCCAAGTCATTAAGGTTTCGAGGCTGACTGTCACGGTCGTCGTTAATAGAGGAAGCGGACCAAAGCGCAGCGTGTCCAAGAAACATGACTTTATTGAAATAACGTAACCAAACAAAAGACGACTCAATGAAGTCCAACAGTAACACTGCCTGAAAAGGAACAAAAACCCACAAACCAAGGAGAAACCACACAGTTTAAATATGGCTCCCAATCAGAGATAACGAGCCGACAGCTGACACTCGTTACCTCCGATTGGGAGTCATATGACTAATCAAGAACAATCACCAAACATAGAAATGAACAACTAGAATACCCAACATAGAAATACACCCAAACAATGAAAATGAACAACCCTGGCTCAATAAACAAAGTCCATGGAGCCAGAGTGTCACACTGACGTTTGGCAACTCAAACCTTCAGCTCCCTCCACAGATTTTCTATGGGATTAAGGTCTGGAGACTGGCTAGGCCACTCCAGGACCTTAATGTGCTTCTTCTTGAGCCACTCCTTTGTTGCCTTGGCCGTGTGTTTTGGGTCATTGTCATGCTGGAATACCCATCCACGACCCATTATCAATGCCCTGGCTGAGGGAAGGAGGTTCTCACCCAAGATTTGATGGTACATGGCCCCATCCATCGTCCCTTTGATGCGGTGAAGTTGTCCTGTCCCCTTAGCAGAAAAACACCCCCAAAGCATAATGTTTCCACCTCCATGTTTGACGGTGGGGATGGTGTTCTTGGGGTCATAGGCAGCATTCCTCCTCCTCCAAACACGGCGAGTTGAGTTGATGCCAAAGAGCTCGATTTTGGTCTCATCTGACCACAACACTTTCACCCAGTTCTCCTCTGAATCATTCAGATGTTCATTGGCAAACTTCAGACGGCCCTGTATATGTGCTTTCTTGAGCAGGGGGATCTTGCGGGCGCTGCAGGATTTCAGTCCTTCACTGCGTAGTGTGTTACCAATTGTTTTCTTGGTGACTATGGTCCCAGCTGCCTTGAGATCATTGACAAGATCCTCCCGTGTAGTTCTGGGCTGATTCCTCACCGTTCTCATGATCATTGCAACTCCACGAGGTGAGATCTTGCATGGAGCCCCAGGCCGAGGGAGATTGACAGTTCTTTTGTGTTTCTTCCATTTGCGAATAATCGCACCAACTGTTGTCACCTTCTCACCAAGCTGCTTGGCGATGGTTTTGTAGCCCATTCCAGCCTTGTGTAGGTCTACAATCTTGTCCCTGACATCCTTGGAGAGCTCTTTGGTCTTGGCCATGGTGGAGAGTTTGGAATCTGATTGATTGATTGATTGCTTCTGTGGACAGGTGTCTTTTATACAGGTAACAAGCTGAGATTAGGAGCACTCCCTTTAAGAGTGTGCTCCTAATCTCAGCTCATTACCTGTATAAAAGACACATGGGAGCCAGAAATCTTTCTGATTGAGAGGGGGTCAAATACTTGTTTCCCTCAATAAAATGCAAATCAATTTATAACATTTTTGACATGCATTTTTTCCGGATTTTGTTGTTGTTATTCTGTCTCTCACTGTTCAAATAAACCTACCATTAAAACTATAGACTGATAATTTCTTTGTCTGTGGGCAAACGTACAAAATCAGCAGGGGATCAAATACTTTTTTCCCTCACTGTATGTTTGATTGAGTTCCCTTTCTGTTGATCTAGACTGATACAACTAGGGTTCTGCTCTATACTCTTCTGGTATGTTCAGGTCTTCACAGGTTCTGTTGTCATCAGGGTTTGGGGTCAATTCCATTTAAATTCCAGTCAATTCAGGAAGTACATTGAAATTCCAATTTTCTTCAGTGCTTTTCAATGAGGAAAATCTGGAATTGGAATTGGGTTCTTTCTGAATTGATTGGAATTTAAATATAATTGACCCAAACCCTGGTTTCATTTGACCTCAGATGTTGTTTTTGCTGCTGTTATTGCTGACATGCCATATGAGGACTGAAGTAGATCATAATATTACATGCTGACATGCCATATGAGGACTAATGTAGATCATAATATTACATGCTGACATAACATATGAGGACTAATGTAGATCATAATATTACATGCTGACATGCCATATGAGGACTAATGTAGATCATAATATTACATGCTGACATGCCATATGAGGACTGATGTAGATCATAATATTACATGCTGACATGCCATATGAGGACTAATGTAGATCATAATATTACATGCTGACATGCCATATGAGGACTGATGTAGATCATAATATTACATGCTGACATGCCATATGAGGACTGATGTAGATCATAATATTACATGCTGACATGCCATATGAGGACTGGTGTAGATCATAATATTACATGCTGACATGCCATATGAGGACTGGTGTAGATCATAATATTACATGCTGACATGCCATATGAGGACTAATGTAGATCATGTTATGACATCAAACTGAGGCTGTATTGAAAGGCTGTTAGGTTACGGTAATATAATATTATCACAGTTAATAAAAACATCTACAAAGTCTATTTCATTTTCTAGTCAACAGGAATACTATATATACTGCTCTAACAGGAATACTATATAAACTGCTCTAACAGGAATACTATATATACTGCTCTAACAGGAATACTATATATATACTGCTCTAACAGGAATACTATATAAACTTCTCTAACAGGAATACTATATATACTGCTCTAACAGGAATACTATATATACTCCTCTAACAGGAATACTATATATACTGCTCTAACAGGAATACTATATATACTGCTCTAACAGGAATACTATATATACTGCTCTAACAGGAATACTATATATACTGCACTAACAGGAATACTATATATACTGCTCTAACAGGAATACTATATATACTGCTCTAACAGGAATACTATATATACTGCTCTAACAGGAATACTATATATACTGCTCTAACGGAATACTATATATACTGCTCTAACAGGAATACTATATATACTGCTCTAACAGGAATACTATATATACTGCTCTAACAGGAATACTATATATATACTGCTCTAACAGGAATACTATATATACTGCTCTAACAGGAATACTATATATACTGCTCTAACAGGAATACTATATATACTGCTCTAACAGGAATACTATATATACTGCTCTAACAGGAATACTATATATACTGCTCTAACAGGAATACTATATATACTGCTCTAACAGGAATACTATATATATACTGCTCTAACAGGAATACTATATATACTGCTCTAACAGGAATACTATATATACTGCTCTAACAGGAATACTATATATACTGCTCTAACAGGAATACTATATATACTGCTCTAACAGGAATACTATATATACTGCTCTAACAGGAATACTATATATACTGCTCTAACAGGAATACTATATATACTGCTCTAACAGGAATAATATATATACTGCTCTAACAGGAATACTATATATACTGCTCTAACAGGAATACATATATACTGCTCTAACAGGAATACTATAATATACTGCTCTAACAGGAATACTATATATACTGCTCTAACAGGAATACTATATATACTGCTCTAACAGGAATACTATATATACTGCTCTAACAGGAATACTATATATATGCTCTAACAGGAATACTATATATACTGCTCTAACAGGAATACTATATATACTGCTCTAACCGGAATACTATATATACTGCTCTAACAGGATACTATATATACTGCTCTAACAGGAATACTTAATATAACTGCTCCTAAAGGAATATTATATATACTGCTCTAACAGGAATACTATATATACTGCTCTAACAGGAATCTATATATACTGCTCTACAGGAATAACTATATATACTGCTCTAACAGGAATACTATATATACTGCTCTAACAGGAATACTATATATACTCTCTAACAGGAATACTTATATTACACCTGCTCTAACAGGAATACTATATATACTTGGCTCCAAACAGGAATACTATATAGTACTGCTGCTAACAGGTAATACTATACTATACTGTCTAAACAGGAATACTATATACACTGCTCTACAGATACTATATATCTGCTCTAACAGATACTATTATATACTGCTCTAACAGGAATACTATAATATACTGCTCTAACAGATACTATATAATACTGCTCCAACAGGAATACTATATATACTGCTCTAACAGAATACTATATTACTGCTCGAACAGGAGACTATTATGACCTCTACAGGAATACTATATATGACAGCTATAGTATGTGCGTCCCTACCAGACCGGTACACCTCTCCATCCCTCTCCTCCTCCAGCCCTCTCTCTCTCCTCCCTCCTTCTCTCTCCTCATTCCTCTCTCCTCCATCCCTCTCTCCTCCATCCCTCTCCTCCTCCATCACCCTCTCTCCTCCATCCCCCACTCTCCTCCCATTCCTCGTCTCTCCTCATTCCTCTCTCTCCCCATCCCTCTCTCTCTCCATCCCTATCTCCTCCTCCCTCTCTCTTCCTCCATCCCCCTCTCTCCTCCATCCTCCGACAAGCCACCCGCTCGAGCTCCATCAACATGGGCACGCATCAGCGCTCGCGCCCAGCCACAGCTCCTCAGCTCCTCGCGATCCACACATCCGCCCGTCCTCGCACCCGCCTCTCCCATCCGCCCCGCCAGCCCGCCCCCTCCAGTCCTCCATCACCTCTACTCTCGCTCCATCCGTTCAGCTCCCCACCACTCTCCTCCATCCATCCTTCCTCATCCCTCTTCCATCTATCGCCTCCCCTCGTCTCTCCATCCTCCACTCTCTCCTCCATCCCCTCTCATCCATCCCTTCTCATCTCTCCATCGCTTTTACGCATGCATCTTCTTCAGGGATCCAGTCTCGATCGCTCCATCCCTTTCTTCCCATCCACTTTCTCCATCTCTCTCGATTTTCATGTCATATCTTCTATAAGAGTAGGCAGGAATCTTGTCTTCGTGACGGATCCTAGCAGAGACCTACGCTTTTGTCTTTTCAACCACATTTATACATACAAACAGATCTTTTGTTAGATATGAAAAGAATAAGTCCATTTTGTGTTTGCAACCATTTATCCCTGGATCTCATTGGATGTTTTTGCCGTTTGGCTTTTGGGAACTTCGATTGTGGATTGTATAACGTCTGAATCAACTTCGCTTCAGGCTTGGGCAGTGACTATGTTCAACTGGTAAGGAACTCACTACACTATCCCACTCTCCTCCACTCCTCCCTCCATCCTCCACTCATCCCTCTCTCCCTCCACCCTCCACTCATCCCTCTCTCCCTCCACCCTCCACTCATCCCTCTCTCCTCCACTCCATCTCTGTCTCCTCCACTCCATCTCTCTCTCCTCCACTCCATCTCGCTCTCCTCCACCTCTCTCTTCTTCACTCCTCCCTCCCTCTGTCCGTCCCTCCCTCCCTCCCTCCATCTCTCTCTCCTCCTGACTCCCTACTGTAGCTTTGATCTCCTGGCTCTGGAAGAGTGGAGGGGAGGAGGTGGAGGGGGGGTAGGGGAGTGGAGGGGAGGAGGTGGAGGGGGAGTGGAGGGGGGGAGGTGGAGGGGGAGTGGAGTGGGGGAGGTGGAGTGGAGTGGAGGAGGTGGAGGGGGAGTGGAGGGGAGGGGGGAGAGTGGAGAGAGGGGGGGGAAGGGGGGGGAGGGGGGTGGGGGGGGTGGAGGGGGGGGGGGGGGGGGGGGGGTGGGGGGGGGGGGGGGGGGGGGGGGGGGGGGGGGGGGTGGGGGGGGGGGTGGGGGGGTGGGGGGCGGGGGGGGTGGAGGGGGAAGGGGGGGGGGAGGAGGGGGGGAGGGGTGGGAGGAGTGGGGGGAGGAGGAGGCCCGGTGGAGAAGTGGGGCAGAGAGCCTGGCCTGGGAGGAGTCGGAGGACAGGAGGGGAAAAGGGGGGAGGGCTAAGGAGAAGAGGAGAGGAAAGGGGAAGGGGAAAGGGAGTGGGAAAGGAGGAAAGGGGGAGGGGGGGGACAGGGGGAGGAGGGGGGGAAGGGGAGGAAGGAAGGGAGGGGGATGGGAAGGACAAAGGGGGAAGAAAAAAAAGTGAAAACCAAAAAAAGGAAGGGGGGAGTAGAAACAAAAGGGGAAAAATAAAGGGGGAAAAAGGAAGGGGAAAAGGGGAAAAGGAAAAAAAGGTAGGGGGAAAAACACCAGAAGAAAGAGGAAAAAAAAGGGGGGAAAAAAATGGGCTTTTTTTAGGGAAATGTGGGGAGGAGGAAGGGGAAACAAAGGGGGGGGGAAGGAAAGAGAAGGGGGGGGGTGGTTAAAAGAAGTACGGTAAAACAATACCCTTGTGTCACTGTGAGGACATACGGCTACTTCCTTTCCATATATTTTCTGGTCAAAGGGTTTTCACTTATAGAAAAAGGGTTGCATATATAGGAATAAGGGTTGCACTATAAAAGGAATAAGGGTTGCACATATGGAATAAAGGGTTTTATATATAGGAAAAAGGGTTGCCTATATGGAAAAAAGGGGTTTTCAAATATGGAAAAAAGGGTTGCACTATATGGAAAAAAGGGGGCACTTAAAAGGAATAAAAAAGGGTTTCCCCAATAGGAAAAAGGGTTGCACTATATAGGGAAAAAAGGGTGTATTGGAAAAATGCCATTTGGGACTTGAGACAGGAGAAAAGCTGCTGTTTTGAAGGGATTTAAAACCAAAGGCAGACAAACTGTTTAGAAGGATTAAAACAACCAGGAGAAGACACTGCTGTTTGAAAAGGATTAAAAAAACAAGGCAGACAGACAAATGCTGTTAGAAGTATTAAAACACAACAGGCAGACAGACACTGCTGTTAGAAGGGGATTAAAAAAACACCAGGGAACGACCCCTGCTGTTAGAAGGATTAAAACACCCAGGGAGACAACAATGCTGTTTGAAGGTATTAAAACACAACAGGCAGACAGAAAACTCTGTTTGAAGGTATTAAAACACAAAGGCAAAAGACACTGGTTAGAATATTAAAACACACACAGGCGCAGACATGTGTTAGAATATTAAAAAACAACAGGCAGACTACCTGCTGTTAGAAAAGGGATTAAAAAACACACAGGGAACAGACACTGCTGTTTTTAAGATTAAAACAACAAGGCAGACAGACCCCTGCTGTTAGAAGGTATTAAAAACACAGGCAGACAGACATGCTTTTGAGGTATTAAAACAACACGGAGACAGACATGCTGTTTAGAAGGGTTTAAAACACCACAGGCAGACAGACACTGCTGTTAGAAGGTATTAAAACACACACAGGCAGACAGACACTGCTGTTAGAAGGTATTAAAACACACACAGGCAGACGACACTGTGTAGAAGGATTAAAACACACACGGCAACCCGACCTGCGTTTGAAGGGTATTAAAAACCCACGGGAGAAGGGCACTGCTGTTGAAAGGGATTTAAAACACACACAGGCAGACAGACACTGCTGTTAAAGGTATTTAAAACACACAAGGAGACAGACATGTGTTAGAAGTATTAAAAAAACCCCAAGGGAGACAGACACTGCGTTTGAAGGGATTTTTAAAAAAACCCCAGGCAGACGACATGCTTTAAAGGTATTAAAAAACACACGGCAGAAAAAGACACTGGTTGAAGGGATTTAAAAAACCCAAAGGCAACAGACACTGCTGTTAAAGGTATTAAAACACACACAGGGGAGACAGACACTGCGTAGAAGGATTTTAAAAAAAAAACACACAGGGAGACAGGGCAGCTGTTTGAAGGTATTTAAAAAACACACAGGCAACAGACCCGCTGTTGAAGGTATTAAAACACACACAGGCAGACAGACCCTGCTGTTAGAAGGGATTTAAAAAACCAGGCAGACAGACACTGCTTTGAAAGGTTAAAAACCAGGAGACAGAACTGTGTTAGAAAGGTATAAAAAAAAAAAAAAAAACCAAAAAAAAAAAGGCGACAGACACTGCTGTTGAAATATTTAAAAAAAAACGGCAACAACACGTGTTAGAAAGGGATTAAAAAAACACAGGCAGACGAACTGCGTTAGAAGGTATTAAAACAACCCGGCAACAGGACACTGGTTAGAAGGTATTAAAAAAACCAGGCGACAGACACTGGTTAGAAAGGGTTTAAAAAACCAGGCAGACAACACTGCTGTTAGAAGGTATTAAAACACAAGGGAGACAAATGCTTTTGAAGGGATTAAAAAAAACAACAGGCAGACGACACTGCTGTTAGAAGGTATTTAAAACACCAAGGCAGGAAAGACACTGCGTTGAAGGTATTTAAAACACACAGGCAGACAGACACTGCTGTTGAAGGGAATTTTTAAAAAACACAGGCAGACGCACTGCTGTTGAAGGGATTTAAAAAACAAAAGGCAGACAACACTGCGAAAGGTATTAAACACACAAGGGAGACCGACACTGCTGTTAGAAGGGATTAAAACACACAGGAGACAGACCCTTGTTGAAGGATTAAAAACACAGGCGCGACATGTGAGAAGGTATAAAAACACACAGGCAAAAGAACCCCTTTTTGAAGGTATTAAAACACACAGGCAGACAGACACTGCTGTTAGAAGGTATTAAAAACACAAAACAGAAGCATGCTGTTAGAAGGTATTAAAAACACAAGGGAGACAGACACTGCGTTTGAAGGTATAAAAAAAACAGGCAGACAACCTGCGTTAGAAGGTATTTTAAAAAACCCCAGGCAACGAAAATGCTGTTAAAGGTATTAAAAAACACACAGGCAGACAGAAACTGCTGTTTGAAGGGATTAAAAAAACACGGCAGACAGACCTGCTGTTAGAAGGATTAAAACACACAGGAAAACAGACACTGCTGTTAGAAAAGGGATTAAAAACACAGGCAGACAGAAAACTGCTGTTTTGAAAGGGTTTAAAAAACACCCCGGCGACAGACACTGCTGTTAGAAGGGATTAAAAAACAGGCAGACGGGCATGCTGTTGAAGGTTTAAAAAACACAAGGCAGACGACCTGCTGTTGAAGGTATAAAAAAACACACGGCAGACAGACACTGCTGTTAGAAGGGATTAAAACACACAGGAGACAGCATGCTGTTGAAAGGGATTAAAAACACACACAGGCAGACAGAACTGCTGTTAGAAGGTATTAAAAAAAAACACAGGGAACAGACACTTGTTAAAGTATTAAAACACACCGGCAAAAGACACTGCTGTTTAGAAGGTATTAAAAACACACACAGGAGACAGACCTGCTGTTAGAAAAGGGATTAAAAACCCCCAAGGCAGACAGAACTGTGTTGAAAGGGTTTTTAAAAAAACCCCAGGGGGGAAAAAGACACTGCTGTTAGAAGGTATAAAACACACAGGCAGACAGACACTGCTGTTAGAAGGTATTAAAACACACACAGGCAGACAGACACTGCTGTTAGAAGGTATTAAAACACACACAGGCAGACAGACACTGCTGTTAGAAGGTATTAAACACCAGGCACAGACACTTTTTTTAAAGGGATTAAAAAAAAAGGGAGACGACACTGCGGTTTTTGAAGGGATTTTAAAAAAAAGGCAACAGAACTGTGTTAGAAAAAGGGATTAAAAAAACCCCAGGAGACGACATGTGTAGAAAGGGATTAAAAACACAGGCGACAGAATGCTGTTTGAAGGATTAAAACAACAGGCAAAAAGACACTGCTGTTAGAAAGGGATTTTAAAAACACAGGGAGAAACATGCTGTTAGAAGGTATTTAAAAAAAAAGGAGACAGACCTGCTGTTAGAAGGTATTAAAAACACACAAGGGGGAGGGCAACACGCTGTTAGAAGTATTAAAAAACACAAGGGGACAGACATGCTGTTTGAAGGTATTTTAAAACCACAGGAGCAACACTGTGTTAGAAGGGATTAAAAAAAACACAGGCAAAAGACACTGCTGTTAAAGGTATTTTAAAAACAAGGCAGACAGACACTCTGTTTTTGAAGGTTTAAACACACAGGCAGACAACTTTCTGTTAGAAGGTTTTAAAACACACGGCAGACAGACCTGCTGTTAGAAGGTTTAAAAAAAACCCCACAGGCAGAAGACATGCTGTAGAAGGTTTTTTAAAACCACACAGGCAGACGACACTGCTGTTAAAAGGGATTAAAACACACACAGGCAACAGACCCCCTGCTGTTAGAAGGTATTAAAAAAACACGGAGACAGGGGACTGCTTTTAGAAGGTTTAAAAAAACAGGCAGACAACACTGCGTTAAAGGTTTAAAAACACACAGGCGACAGACCTGCGGGTTTAAAAAAAAAAGAAGGTTAAAAATTTTTAAAAACCCACCACAGGGGCAGACACGCTGTTAGAAAGGGATTAAAACAACCAAAAGGCAACAGCACTTGTTAGAAGGTATTAAAACACAAAGGCAGACAAACTGCTGTTGAAGGTATTAAAACACACCAGGCAGACAGACACTGCTGTTTTGAAGGTATTAAAAAACCACAGGCAGAAGGGCACTGCGTTAGAAGGTATTAAAAACACACAGAGACAGACACTGCTGTTAGAAGGTATTTAAAACACCCCAGGCAGACAGCATGCTTTAGAAAGGGATTTAAAAAACACAAGGGAGAAGACATGTGTTTTTGAAAAGGGATTAAAAAAAACAACAGGCAGACAGACACTGCTGTTAGAAGGTATTAAAACACAACACAGGCAGACAGACACTGCTGGTAGAAGGTATTAAAACACACACAGGCAGACAGACACTGCGTTAGAAGGTAAAAACACACACAGCAGACAATGCTGTTGGGGTAAAAAAAAAAAAAAGGTATTAAAACACACACGGGAGCAGACACGCTGTAGAAGGGTTTTAAAAAAAACAACGGCAGACAGACAAATGCTGTTAGAAAGGGATTAAAAACAACAAGGCGAAAACACTGCCCTTTAGAAGGGTTAAAACACACACAGGCAACAGACACTGCGTTAGAAGGTATTTAAAACACACACAGGCAGAAGAAATGCTGTTAGAAGGGATTAAAAACACAAAGGGAGCAGACACTGCGTTAGAAGGTATTAAAACACCAAAAGCAGACCGACACTGCTGTTGAAGGTATTAAAAAAAAAAAACAAAACCCCCCCCAAAAAAAAAACAACAGGCAGGGAAAAAAACCTGTGTTAGAAGGTATTAAAACACACACAGGCGACAAAACGCTGTTAGAAGGTATTAAAACACACACAGGCAGACAGACACTGCTGTTAGAAGGTATTAAAACACACACAGGCAGACAGACACTGCTGTTAGAAGGTATTAAAACACACACAGGCAGACAGACACTGCTGTTAGAAGGTATTAAAACACACACAGGCAGACAGACACTGCTGTTAGAAGGTATTAAAACACACACAGGCAGACAGACACTGCTGTTAGAAGGTATTAAAACACACACAGGGGAGGGACACTGGTTAGAAGGTATTAAAACACACACAGGAACGACAATGGGTTGAAGGGTATTTAAAAAACACACAGGGAACAACACTGCTGTTAGAAGGTATTAAAAACACCCCAGCAGACAGACCGCTGTTGAAAGGTATTAAACACCACAGGCAAAAAACATGGTTTTTGAAGGTATTAAAAAAACCCACAGGCAGGGCAGACACTCTTTAAAGTAAATTAAAAAAACCCCAAGGGAGACAGACACTGCGTTGAAAGGGTTTTAAAAAACACCAGGGAGACAGACACTTGTTAGAAGGTTTAAAAAACACACAGGCAGCGCATGCGTTAGAAGGTATTAAAACCCCCAAGGCAGACAGACAATGCTGTTAAAGGTATTTAAAAAAACACAGGCAGACAGGGCAAGGTTTTTCCCCCCCCCCCCCCCCGGCGGGGCCTCCTTTTTTTTGAAGGTTTTTTAAAAAAAAAAAAACACACAAGGAGACAGACACGCTGTTAGAAGGTATTAAAAACACACAGGCAGACAGACACTCGTTAGGAAAATATTTTAAAAAAACAACCCGGCGACAGGCCCTTTGAAGGTATTAAAAAAACCACAGGCAGACAGACACTGCTGTTAGAAGGTATTAAAAACACCCCCAGCAACAGACACTGCGTTAGAAGGTATTAAAACACAAAACAGGCAGACAGGGCATGCTGTTTTGAAGGTTTAAAACACACCAAAGGGAGACGACACTGTGTTTGAAGGTATTTAAAAAAACCCCAAAGGGAGACAGGGGCACTGCTGTTGAAGGTATTTAAAAAACCCAAAGGCAACAACATGCTGTTTGAAAGGTATTAAAACACACACGGAGACGACACTGCTGTTAGAAGGTATTAAAAAAAAAAACACACAGGCAGACAGACATGCTGTTTTTGAAGGATTAAAACCCCCACAGGCAGACAACATGCGTTAGAAGGGATTAAAACACACACACGACAGACCTGCTTTAGAAGGTATTAAAACACACCCAGGGCAGACAGACACGCTGTTTTGAAAGGTATTAAAACCCAACAGGGGAACAGACCTGCTGGGTTTGAAGGTATTAAAAAAACACAGGGAGAAGACACTGCGTTAAAGGTATTAAAAACACACACAGGCAGACAGACATGCTGTTAGAAGGATTAAAACCAACCCAGGCAGACAGACACTGCTTTTAGAAGGTTTTTAAAAAACCCACAGGCAACAGACAGTTGTTAGAAGGTATTAAAAAACACAGGCAGACGACTGGTTTTAGAAGGTATTAAAACACACCAGGCAGACAACAATGCTGTTTGAAGGTATTAAAAACACACAGGGCCCCGACACGCTGTTAGAAGGTATTAAAAAACAAAACCCGGCAGACAGACAGCTGTTAGAAGGTAAAAAAAACACCCACAGGAAGCCGACATGCGTTTAAAAGGGATTAAACACACACAGGCAGACGACATGCTGTTGAAGGTATTAAAAACACACAGGCAGACGACACTGCTGTTTGAAGGTATTAAAACACACACAGGCGACGACATGCTGTTAGAAGGTTTAAAACACACACAGGCAAAGACACTGCGTTAGAAGGTATTTTAAAAAACACCACAGGGCGACGAATGTGTTTTGAGGTTTTTTAAAACACCACAGGCAGACAGACACTGCTGTTTGAAGGTATTAAAACACACCCGGCAACAGACACTGCTGTTAGGGAAGGTATTTAAAAAAAACACAAGGCAGAAGACATGCTGTTAGAAAGGGATTAAAACCCAAAAAACAAACTGCTGTTAGAGGGATAAAACACACACGGCAGACAGACATGCTGTTTGAAGGTATTAAAACACACACCAGACAGACACTGCTGTTTGAGGTATTAAAACACAACAGGCAGACAAAACTGGTTTAAAATTTAAAACACACACAGGCAGACAACCTGTGTTAGAAGGTATTAAAACACCCACAGGCAGACAGCCACTGCTGTTGAAGGATTAAAAACCCCACACGGCAGACAGACACTGCTGTTAGAAAAGGTATTTTAAAAAACCCAAAAACAGGCAACAGACACTGCTGTTTAGAAGGTATAAAACACACACAGGCAGACGACACTGCGTTAGAAGGATTTAAAACACACAGGGAGACAACACTGCTGTTAGAAGGGATTAAAAAAAACACAGGGAGACGGGGCAATGCTGTTGAAGGGGATTTAAAAAAAACCAACGGAGAAGACCCCCCCCACGGCTTTTTGGGGGGTGGGGGGGGATTCACCCAAGGGAGAAAAAAACACTGGCTTTTTAGAAAAGGTATTAAAAAACACAGAACCATGTTAAAGAAAAAATGGGGAACCCCGTTAAGAGGGAAAAAAGGAATAATGTGGGGGGGGGGAGGGGGGGAAAAATATTTTGGGGAGGGGGGGGAAAAAAACTATATTTGGGGGGGGAAGGGCTAATAAACCCGGGGGGGGGGGGGCCCCTTTTTTTGGGGGGGGGAAACCCCTTTTCTTTAGGGGGAAGGGATATATGTTGGGGGGGGGGAGAGGGGAAAGGACTATATTTGGGGGGGGGGTTTGTTGGGGGGGAGGGGGGCTTTGTTGGGGGGGGGGGGCCCATATGTGGGGAGGGGGGAAGAGGGAAATATATTTTTGGGGGGGAGGAAAGGATATTGTTGGGGAGGGAGGGGAAAAGGATTATGTTGGGGGAGGGAAAGGGGGGAAAAAAAAAAATATATTTGGGGGAGGGGAGAAAGATATATGTTTTGGGGGGGGAGGAAGAGGACTATATGTTGGGGAGGGAGGAAGAGGACTATATGTTGGGGAGGGAGGAAGAGGACTATATGTTGGGGAGGGAGGAAGAGGACTATATGTTGGGGAGGGAGGAAGAGCACTATATGTTGGGGAGGGGTGCCTTTGATTTGACACCTTTGGAGTCTAAAGTAATGCACTTTATAGGGCAGGGGTATTCAACTCATACCCAGAGGTCCAGGTTTTCTGTTCTACCAGATCATTTAATTGCATCCACCTGGTGTCCCAAATCAGTCCCAGATTAGAGGGGAAGAATTATAAAAAATCAGTGGAACTGGCTTCAAGGTCCAGATTAGAATTTGAGGGATATAAAGAATGAGGTGCCATTTGGGACAGCATCCCCTGGGTTGACTGTATAAAATGTGCTAAATGCTCTGCAGTTGTGCATTTGGTTTGCTAATTTAGTAGCTAGCTACTTCAAAAATCAATCTTCGCTTGGTAACAGCAGAGAATCCCCTCCTGGATCAAGAGCCTTGCTGTCAAAAATGTGTTTTGTGCGTGCAGGAAACTGTGTAGCATTTTGTAGTTACTTGTATGTCGGGGAGCCGTGAGAGTTATTTAAGATACTCTTCAAAGACGTGGGGTTTCAGACGTTTTCGAAAGATGGGCAGGGACTCCGCTGACCTGACTTTAGGGGGAAGCTTGTTCCACCACTGGGGTGCCAGGACAGGGAAGAGCTTGGACTAGGCTGGACAGAGAAGAGATTGGACTGGGCAGGACAGAGAAGAGATTGGACTGGGCAGGACAGAGAAGAGATTGGACTGGGCAGGACAGAGAAGAGCTTGGACTGGGCTGAGTGGGAGCTGCTCTCCCATTGGGGTGCCAGGACAGAGAAGAGGTTGGACTGGGCAGGACAGAGAAGAGATTGGACTGGGCAGGACAGAGAAGAGGTTGGACTGGGCTGAGGGGGAGCTGCCCTCCCATTGGGGTGCCAGGACAGAGAAGAGGTTGGACTGGGCTGAGCGGGAGCTGCCCTCCCATTGGGGTGCCAGGACAGAGAAGAGCTTGGACTGGGCTGAGGGGGAGGGGTGGGAGGGTGTCACGCCCTGACTCAGAGGACGCTTATATGTTGAGTCAGGGTGTGTATAGTCCTTGTTGTGATTTTCTATGTTGTATTTTCTATGTTTAGATCTAGTAGGTATAGATCTATGTTGGCCGGTGTGGTTCCCAATCAGAGGCAGCTGTCGCTCGTTGTCTCTGATTGGGGACCATACTTAGGCAGCCTATTGGCACTAGTGGGTTGTGGGATCTTGTTCCGTGTGAGGTATGTTGTTTGTGTCTACCTTGGACTTCACGTTTCGTTTAGTTTGTTGTTTTGTCGTTGTGTTTATTCGGTTCAAATAAACATGTATGCAAATCACGCTGCGCCTTGGTCTGACCCGTCTATGAACGAACGTGACAGAGGGCCAAGAGATCAGAGGTGGCGTAACGGAGTGCTCGTATTGGGATGTTGGGTTTGAGCATAGCCTGAAGGTAAGGAGGGGCAGTTCCCCTTGCTGCTCCATAGGCAAGAACCGGGGCCTTGAAGATGATGCGATCTTTGATTGAAAGCCAGTGGAGTGTGCGGAGGAGTGGGGTGACTTAGGAAGGTTGAACATCAGGCGGGCTGCAGCATTCTGGACAAGTTGGAGGGGTTGTATGGGACAAGTGGGGAGCCCAGCCAACAGAGAGTTGGAGTAGTCTAGACGGGAGATGACAAGTGCCTGGATTAGGACCTGCATCGCTTCCTGTGTGAGGAAAGGTTGTACTCTACGGCTATTGTAGAGCATGAACCTGCAGGAGCGAATCACTGCTTTGACGTTTGCAAATAACGACAAGGTTCTTTACACTCTGGGAGGAGGACAATCGTGATGGCGAGATAATGGAGCGGGCAGTCCTTCCCCGGGAGGAAGAGCAGCTCCGTCTTGCCGAGGTTCAGCTTGAGGTGGTGATCCGACATCCACACTGATATGTCTGCCAGACATGCAGAGATGCGATTCGCCACCTGGTTATCAGAAGGGGGAAAGGAGAAAATTAATTGTGTGTCGTCTGCGTAGCAATGATAGGAGAGACCATGTGAGGATATGACAGAGCCAAGTGACTTGGTGTATAGAGAGAATAGGAGAGGGCCTATAACTGAGCCCTGGGGGACACATGTGGTGAGAGCATGTGGTGCGGAGACAGATTCTCGCCATGCCACCTGGTAGGAGCAACCTGTCAGGTAGGACGCAATCCAAGAGTGAGCAGCGCCGGAGATGCCCAACTCGGAGAGGGTGGAGAGGAGGATCTGATGGTTCACAGTATCAAAGGCAGCGGATAGGTCTAGAAAGATAAGAGGAGAGAGAGCTTTAGCAGTGCGGAAAGCCGTGACACAGAGAAGAGCAGTCTCAGTTGAATGACCAGTCTTGAAACCTGACTGGTTTGGATCAAGAAGGTCATTCTGAGAGAGATAGCAGGAGAGTTGGCTAGAGACGGCACGCTCAAGAGTTTTGGAGAGAAAAGAAAGAAGGGATACTGATCTGTAGTTGTTGACATCGGAGGGATCGAGTATAGGTTTTTTGAGGAGGGGTGCAACTCTCGCTCTCTTGAAGACGGAAGGGACATGGCCAGCGGTCAAGGATGAGTTGATGAGCGAGGTGAGGTATCCACAGAGAGGGAGGAGGGAGGGGGAGGAGGAGGAGGATTCAGCAGGGAGGAGAAGGTGGCAAAGAGCTTCCTAGGGTTAGAGGCAGAGGCTTGAAATTTAGAGTGGTAGAAAGTGGCTTTAGCAGCGGAAACAGAGGAAGAGAATGTAGAGAGGAGGGAGTGAAAATATGACAGGTCCGCAGGGAGTCTAGTTTTCCTCCATTTCCGCTCGGCTGCCCGGAGCCCTCTTCTGTGAGCTCGCAATGAGTCGTCAAGCCACGGAGCAGGAGGGGAGGACCGAGCCGGCCGGGAGGGGACATAGAGAGTCAAAAGATGCAGAAAGGAAGGAGAGGAGGGTAGAGGAGGCAGAATCAGGAGATCGGAGGGAGAAGGATTAAGCAGAGGGAAGAGATGATAGGATGGAAGAGGAGAGAGTAGCGGGAGAGAGAGAGCGAAGGTTGCGACGGCACATTACCATCTGAGTAGGGGCAGAGTGAGTAGTGTTGGAGGAGAGCGAGAGAGAAAAGAATACAAAGTAGTGGTCGGAGACTTGGAGGGGAGTTGTAGTGAGATTAGTAGAAGAACAGCATCTAGTAAAGATGAGGTCAAGCGTATGTGAGTAGGGGGAGACGGTGAGAGGGTGAGGTCAAAAGAGGAGAGGAGTGGAAAGAAGGAGGCAGAGAGAAATGAGTCAAAGGCAGACCTAGGGAGGTTAAAGTCACCCAGAACTGTGAGGGGTGAGCCATCCTCAGGAAAGGAACTTATCAAGGCGTCAAGCTCATTGATGAACTCTCCAAGGGAACCTGGAGGGCGATGTGTGGATAATCCTTTCTACCTCAGCTTTTTTTGAAAGATATCATGAAGAACTGAAAAAGTGTTGCTACTGCTCTCAACATTGCTGCCCTGATGTTAACAGGCGCTATCAACAAAGAAAAGTGGGAAAAAGTTGTGATGGACTACTTTCTGGAGGACGGTCATGCCATGCTGACTCTCTCTGACTCTGAAAATGAACCAGACAATGAGGAAATCCCAGATTTAGGTTTAAAAAAAATCTTTGAACCAGACATTGTAGAGTCTTCTGATGACAGTGGTGGGGAAGAAATGGTGATTAACAGTGTCGTTGTCACGTAAGAAGTTGACAGACTTTTGAAATTAGTGGAATGCCCGGTGGAAGCAGAGAGATGATTGCCAAACGCGGAGAGAGTTGAAAAGAGAACACACAGAAGGCTGTTGTATAAAACACCTGTCTCTGTATTACATCTTCAAACTAAGGGCAACCATGGCATCTGTGACAGAGAGGGAGAAGTGTTCTTCCATGTATATGGGTAAGAGTCTAGCTACATTTTCAGATATGATACGTTTCTAATTTTGTCAGAAAGTTGTATTCATAGCAAGTTAAAGCGTACTGTTAGCTAGCTAGCTAATGTTAGCTGGCTGACTCACTAGCTAATGTTACGTGAATGATCTGTGTAGTAATATTATGAATATCTCAGAAAGCCATTTGTATTGCTAGTTATAGCATAGCTTTAGCTAGCTAGCTAACATTGAACCTAGTTGGTTAGCTTTAGCTACCTGCAGATTCATGCATGGCAGTATTGCCACATTCAAAACAACTGGGAACTCGGAAAGATACGAGGTCAAATCATGACGTCAGTGATCTTCAGGTCGGAAAGTCAGAGCTCTAGAAACAAGCCAGAGTTCCCGAGTTGGAATTCAGAGTTGTGTGACCGTTCAGATAGATTTCTCCCGGTCGGAGCTCGTTTTTATCCTGAATTCACAGTTGTTTTGAACGAGGCATTAGAGTTGTTATTTTGGTTCATTGTTTAGCTAGCTAGCTAGCTACGTGTCTAAATGAAAGACTCCACTGTGCAAGTCACCATTTCACTCTACCGTTTACACCTCCTGTATCCTGTGCATGTGACAGAGACAGTAATGTGAAGAACAACATGACCTGCACCAAAGTCAGGTTAGGATATACAGTAGGCCAACGACTAGATAAAGTGTTTGTACTACTTCCTGCTACTGCTTTCACCACTTTTAGCCTTCAAATCTTTGGTTGTTTACTAAACTGTGAAACCTTAAAGACGTGGGTGGAGCTAAGGTTGAAGAGGGTGTGAACGATGCTGAATGGGTGTAGACAAAGAAGAGCTCTTCAGTAGGTGTACCAAAACATTCAAGGGCCATTTTCTCAAAAGTGGGGTTACAAGTTTATCAACTTTCAAAGCAGAATTACTTTCCCATTGTTCCTCAACTGCAGTGTATGACATACCATTTTCTAGCTCTGAGTCTTTACTTTTATCCAATGTAAAAAACACTATTTGAAATGTTGCAACATAAGACCGAATCGAGGTGGTCGGTCACAAATAGGCCTGAAACTAATCTAAGTCCATAACGACAGTCAGAAGTACTGAGCAATCAGACAGTTCAAACAGCAACGATTAACTAGGCTACTACTTAAATTAAACTGCCCTAGCAAGACAACAACTACTATTGAATCAACTGCCCTAGCAAGACAACAACTACTATTGAATCAACTGCCCTAGCTAGACAATACCAACAACTACTATTGAATCACCTTCCCTACTAGACAATACCTACAGCTACTTATTGAATTAAAAAATATACTTGCTGCTCTTGTAAGCATTGACCCCCTTCCAAACTATAAATTACCTCTGCTGTTGTATTGGGACATGTCTGCCTGCCTGCCTGCCTGCCTGCCTGCCTGCCTGCCTGTCTGTCTGTCTGTCTGTCTGCCTGCCTGTCTGTCTGTCTGTCCTCCATTAAATGGTGTGTGTTTGTTCCTCCATTAAATGGTGTGTGTTTGTTCCTCAACAATACCTGTCTGGGGTGCATAGGCACATAGCATGAACAGATGTCCACATTAAGTATCTTTATGACTGTTTCATGGCTGTGTCCCAAATGCCATCCAATAGGGCACTACTTTAGACCAGAGAATGGCACCCTATTCCCTATATAGTGCACTACTTTAGACCAGAGAATGGCACCCTATTCCCTATATAGTGCACTACTTTAGACCAGAGAATGGCACCCTATTCCCTATATAGTGCACTACTTTAGACCAGAGAATGGCACCCTATTCCCTATATAGTGCACTACTTTAGACCAGAGAACGGCACCCTATTCCCTATATAGTGCACTACTTTAGACCAGAGAACGGCACCCTATTCCCTATATAGTGCACTACTTTAGACCAGAGAATGGCACCCTATTCTCTATATAGTGCACTACTTTAGACCAGAGAATGGCACCCTATTCCCTATATAGTGCAATACTTTAGACCAGAGGATGACACCCTATTCCCTATATAGTGCACTACTTTAGACCAGAGATTGGCACCCTATTCCCTATATAGTGCACTACTTTAGACCAGAGAATGACACCCTATTCCCTATATAGTGCACTACTTTAGACCAGAGAATGGCCCCCTATTCCCTATATAGTGCACTACTTTAGACCAGAGGATGACACCCTATTCCCTATATAGTGCACTACTTTAGACCAGAGAATGGCACCCTATTCCCTATATAGTGCACTACTTTAGACCAGAGGATGACACCCTATTCCCTATATAGTGCACTACTTTAGACCAGAGAATGGCACCCTATTCCCTATATAGTGCACTACTTTAGACCAGAGGATGACACCCTATTCCCTATATAGTGCACTACTGTCACGATCGTCTACCAAAGAGGAGGACCAAGGCGCAGCGTTGCAGGCAAACATACTCTTTAATAGAGACACGATCAAAACAACCAAACGAAACGTGACAGCTCACGGTCTAAACTGAACAGACTTGAAACAAGATCCCACAAACACAAATGGGAAACAGACAGTTTAAATATGGCTCCCAATCAGAGACAACCAACGACAGCTGACACTCGTTGCCTCTGATTGGGAGCCACTCAGGCCAACATAGAAATACACATACTAGATAAACAAATGAAATGCACACCCTGGCTCAACATACAAGTGTCCCCAGAGCCAGGGCGTGACAGTACCCCCCCCTAAAGGCGCGGACTCCGACCGCGCCCACCAAACACCACAGGGGAGGGACCGGGTGGGCACTCCGCTTAGGCGGCGGATCCGGCTCCGGGCCTGATCCCCGCTCCCTCTCCAACCCCCCAAAGTACCCCTGGTCCGGTCTGGCCCCGCTGGCCGGAGCTGGACTGCACACTGGTGGAGCGGATTGCTCTAGCTCCGGCGTGAAGCATCTGACCGGTGCCGGACCAGCCACCGGTGGAACAGGCACGGGCCGTGCCGGACTGACGACGCACACCACTGGCTTGGTGTGGGGAGCAGGAGCGGGCCGCGCCGGGCTGACGAAACGCACCACTGACTTGGTGCGGGGAGCAGGAGCGGGCCGGACCGGGCTGACGAAGCGCACCACTGACTTGGTGCGGGGAGCAGGAACGGGCCGTGCCGGGCTGACGAAGCGCACCACTGACTTGGTGCGGGGAGCAGGAACGGGCCGAGCTGGGCTGACGAAAACGCACCACTGACTTGGTGCGGGGAGCAGGAATGGGCCGGACCGGGCTGACGACGCGCACCACTGACTTGGTGCGGGGAGCAGGAACGGGCCGCGCCGGGCTGACGAAACGCACCACTGACTTGGTGCGGGGAGCAGGAACGAGCCGCGCCGGGCTGACGAAACGCACCACTGACTTGGTGCGGGGAGCAGGAGCAGGCCGGACCGGGCTGACGAAGCGCACCACTGACTTGGTGCGGGGAGCAGGAACGGGCCGTGCCGGGCTGACGAAGCGCACCACTGACTTGGTGCGAGTGGCAGGAACAGGCCGGACCGTACTGGGAACACACACCACTGGCCCTACGTGGGGATCAGGAACAGGCCGGACCGGACTGGCAACACACGCCAGTACCTCTCGCCGTGCCTCTACATCCTCCTTCCCCCTGGTGACCAGTGACTCCCGTAACCTGGCGGCCTCCTGCTGCCCCGTCGTCCACGGCGTTAGCCCCCCCCTAAAAAATGTATGGGCTTGTCTCTCCCCCGTGCTCATGGCCTCCATCCCTCTTGCCAGACTCTCACTCATCTCCTCCCAGGTCCATCCTCTCTCCTCGTCACGCTGCTTGATCCAGTCGAGGTGGGATCTTCTGTCTCGATCGTCTACCAAAGAGGAGGACCAAGGCGCAGCGTTGCAGGCAAACATACTCTTTAATAGAGACACGATCAAAACAACCAAACGAAACGTGACAGCTCACGGTCTAAACTGAACAGACTTGAAACAAGATCCCACAAACACAAATGGGAAACAGACAGTTTAAATATGGCTCCCAATCAGAGACAACCAACGACAGCTGACACTCGTTGCCTCTGATTGGGAGCCACTCAGGCCAACATAGAAATACACATACTAGATAAACAAATGAAATGCACACCCTGGCTCAACATACAAGTGTCCCCAGAGCCAGGGCGTGACAACTACTTTAGACCAGAGATTGGCACCCTATTCCCTATATAGTGCACTACTTTAGACCAGAGAATGACACCCTATTCCCTATATAGTGCACTACTTTAGACCAGAGAATGGCACCCTATTCCCTATATAGTGCACTACTTTAGACCAGAGGATGACACCCTATTCCCTATATAGTGCACTACTTTAGACCAGAGATTGGCACCCTATTCCCTATATAGTGCACTACTTTAGACCAGAGAATGACACCCTATTCCCTATATAGTGCACTGCTTTAGACCAGAGGATGACACCCTATTCCCTATATAGTGCACTACTTTAGACCAGAGAATGGCACCCTATTCCCTATATAGTGCACTACTTTAGACCAGAGAATGACACCCTATTCCCTATATAGTGCACTACTTTAGACCAGAGGATGACACCCTATTCCCTATATCGTGCACTACTTTTCATGAGGGCTCATAGGGCTAATTTATTAACTGGTATTTATTAAGAAGAATACAAATAACCTCAACGCCACAACCTCAACACCACAACCTCAACACCACAACCTCAACACCACAATTTCAACAAATAAACCACTACAACAGTGGCGGTCAGTGCCGTTTAAGACGGGGAGGGCAATTTTCTTTTTAAGAGCATGGCCTTATTTCTATTACAGCATGTTGGATGACTGTCATTCATATTCCATTCACCCAGTTCAATGTAACATCGATAGGTTTAGGCCACTACATGATACTCTAATGTTCCCTGTACCCATCATGAGGTTGCTACAACCTACCCTATGAATGAAAACGTACAACGTAGGCGCACACAGCTTGACACATGGACAGACAGTGACATTCAATACCGCCTTGCACACTCTTGCCTGCATCTAGCTGATAGTGGGGTGTAATCATTAGTCCAACAGTTGTAAACAAGAGTTTCTATTGGACAAATGCAGGTACTGTATGTTTATCCCCGTTTCATTCCGTTTGCTTCCGTTTAAGACATTTTTTTCAACAGAATCGGCTAAATGAATACACCCCTGATCACACTCAAACAGTTCACTTTCATAGCCACGTACAAACAGCTCATTCTATTGCTCCTAGCCTCTATGTGCTCTCCTCCGCTCACCTTTTCCCTTCGCTTGTGGACTTCAACACATCAGCTGTCTGTGACCAGGCGAAAAAACCTTTCCAAGCCAAAGCTTCATATCATAACCGGAGCTAGCTCACCATATTAGCTACAGTAACGTCATAGTCAACATAGCTAATAGAACTAACGCGTTAGTAAACCCGCTACAATCATGCAGTAACTTTACAGTGGACAGTCAGCAGTTTAGTGGTTAAACCGGCGGGCCCCGGTGGCAATAAATTAGTAAAACCAAAAGCTTACCTTGACTTGGAAGAGGTCCAATGTTGTGTTGGATAGTCATAGCCAGCTAGCTAACATAGCATCCCTCTGTTTGAGCCGGGTGTTTCAGTAGGCTAAACTAGCTAGCTGTATTTGCTAGCTAAGTAAGGGAAACTGAAAGTGAAAAGAAATTAAGATCTCTCTCTATTTCTCTCTTGCTTCTCCTTCATTTTGGAAGAAATGTATTTGTGTAAAACTGTTCAACTATTGTCTTTCTCGCTCTTTGAGTCAACTACTCACCATATTTTATACACTGCAGTGCTAGCTAGCTGTAGCTTGTGCTTTCAGTACTAGAGTAATTTTCTGATCTTTTGATTGGGTGGACAACATGCTGCAAGAGCTCTGATAGGTTGGAGGACGTCCTCCGGAAGTTGTCATAATTACTGTGTAAGTCTATGGAAGGGGGTGAGAACCATGAGCCTCCTTGGTTTTGTATTGAAGTCAATGTACCCAGAGGAGGACGGAAGCTAGCTGTCCTCCGGCTACACCATGGTGCTACCCTACAGAGTGCTGTTGTGGCTACTGTAGACCTTCTTTGCAAAATAGTGTGTTTTAATCAATTATTTGGTGACGTGATTATATTAAGTGTAGCTTTATCTAAAAATGACAACTTTTTAAATGTTTTACAATTTCTATTGTTATGAAATTCACTGAGGAGGATGGTCCTCCCCTTCCTCCCCTGAGGAGCCTCCACTGCACTACAATCAATTGAAACAACAAATTCATTCAACACCAGAGTCCTAATCTGCCGTAGCAGCATCAGGGAATCAAGATACAAGGAATTTTGTAGGTTATTCCAACAATAGGGGGCACTAAAACTGAAGGAGAATTTACCTAAATTTGACGAGACCATAGGGACCTCAAGTTTGTCAACAAGAAATTTGTGAAGTGGTTGAAAAATGAGTTTTAATGACTCTAATCTAAGTGTATGTAAACTTCCGACTTCAACTGTACACTTAGGTTGGCGTCATTAAAAGTCATTTTTCAACCACTCCACAAATGTCTTGTTAACAAACTATAGTTTTGGCAAGTCGGTTAGGACATCTTCTTTGTGCATGACACAAGTAATTTTTCCAACAATTTTTTACAGACAGATTATTTCACTTATAATTCACTGTATCACAATTCCAGTGGGTCAGACGTTTACATACACTAAGTTGACTGTGCCTTTAAACAGCTTGGAAAATTCCAGAAGCTTCTGATAGGCTAATTGATATCATTTGAGTCAATTGGAGGTGTACCTGTGGATGTATTTCAAGGCCTACCTTCAAACTCAGTGCCTCTTTGCTTGACATTATGGTAAAATCAAAAGAAATCAACCAAGACCTCAGAAGAAAAATTGTAGACCTCCACAAGTCTGGTTCATCCTTGGGAGCAATTTCCAAACGCCTGAAGGTACCACATTCATCTGTACAAACAATAGTACGCAAGTATAAACACCATGGGACCATGCAGCCGTCATACCGCTCAGGAAGGAAACGTGTTCTGTCTCCTAGAGATGAACGTACTTTGGTGCGAAAAGTGCAAATCAATCCCAGAACAACGGCAAAGGACCTTGTGAAGATGCTGGAGGAAACAGGTACAAAAGTATCTATATCCACAGTAAAACGAGTCCTATATCGACATAACCTGAAAGGCCACTCAGCAAGGAAGAAGCCACTGCTCCAAAACCGCCATAAAAAAGCCAGACTATGGTTTGCAACTGCACATGGGGACAAAGATCATACTTTTTGGAGAAATGTCCTCTGGTCTGATGAAACAAAAATATAACTTTTTGGCCATAATGACCATCGTTATGTTTGGAGGAAAAAGGGGAACGCTTGCAAGCCGAAGAACACCATCCCAACCGTGAAGCACGGGGGTTCAGCAGTCTTATGGCTTGGGGGTAGGGGGACCAGCTCTTCCTAGATTGTGTCGAGGCACAGATCTGGGGAAGGGCACCAAAACATTTCTGCAGCATTGAAGGTCCCCAAGAACACAGTGGCCTCCATCATTCTTAAATTGAAGAAGTTTGGATCCACCAAGACTCTTCCTAGAGCTGGCCACCCGGCCAAACTGAGCAATCAGGGGAGAAGGGCCTTTGTCAGGGAGGTGACCAAGAACCCGATGGTCACTCTGACAGAGCTCCAGAGTTCATCTGAGTTCCTCTGTTCCTCTTCCAGAAGGACAACCATCTCTGCAGCACTCCACCAATCAGGCCTTTATGGTAGAGTGGCCAGACGGAAGCCAGTCCTCAGTAAAAGGCACATGACAGCCCGCTTAGAGTTTGCCAAAAGACACCTAAAGGACTCTCAGACCATGAGAAATAAGATTCTCTGGTCTGATGAAACCAAGATTGAACTCTTTGGCCTAAATGCCAAGGTGAAGCATGGTGGTGGCAGCATCATGCTGTGGGGATGTCTTTCAGCGGCAGGGAATGGGAGACTAGTCAGGGTCGAGGGAACGATGAACGGAGCAAAGTACAGAGAAATCCTTGATGAAAACCTGCTCCAGAGCGCTCAGGACCTCAGACTGGGGTGAAGGTTCACCATCCAACAGGACAACGACCCTAAGCACATAGCCAAGACAATGCAGGAGAGGCTTCGGGACAAGTCTCTGAATGTCCTTGAGTGGCCCAGCCAGAGCCCGGACTTGAACCCAATCTAACATCTCTGGAGAGACCTGAAAATAGCTGTGCAGCGACGCTCCCCATCCAACCTGACAGAGCTTGAGAGGATCTGCAGAGAAGAATGGGAGAAACTCCCCAAATACAAGCTTGTAGCATCATACCCAAGAAGACTCAAGGCTGTAATCACTGCCAAAGGCTTATTAAGGAAGTATAGAACTCTTACATGTATAATACTACAGAAAACCTTCCCCAGGTTACTGTTCACACAAATGTCTCTGTAATTGTTAGGGTCAAATTTGTCTCCGTTCATAAAAATTGGGGTTATGAGTCCTTGATTCCAGATGTCAGAGAAATAACCTACACTCGGTATCAAATTAAACAGTTGTAATTTAATTCCAATTGAAATTTTGCACTAGTGAATTTGAGCATCTCATTTAGGATGCCATCAGGTCAGCATGCTTTAAAAAATATGAGTGCCTGAAGTTTCTTATAAAGCTCTGGTCAGTAATTTGGGAATCCAATGGATTTTGATTGTCCTTTATAGCTTTTTCTAATCCATTCAACTTCTCATGAAGTTGACATTGTTCTGCGTTTGTGTCAAGTAGAACGGTGTTGTAGTGTTTTAAAATGGTTTGTCCATATGTCACATTTTGTATCGCTAATTACTCTTGTTTTGATTTTCTTTGAGGTTTTTCCAATTTTGCCAGAAGTTGTTCCTCAATCAGTGCCAGCTGCTTGCTGTTGTACTGTGCTTTGTTTTGGTTCTGAGTTTACGTTTATAGAGTTTTACAGTCTCACAGTAATGAAGGCGTAATTCACCATTATTTGGGTCTCTGTGCTTTTGGTTTGATAGTGTTCTAAGTATTTTCATTATAATTTTACAATCTGCATCAAACCAGTTGTCATCTGGGGTCTTTTTATTTTTTAAATCCATTTCTGTTGTGCTTCTTTTGCCGTTTGCCTGAATATATAGTTGATATTTTTTACTGCTCGATTGATACCTTCTTTACTGTGAGTGGATGTGGTATACAGAAAGTTATCTAAGAGTGTTTGGATATTTTGGTTACTGGTTGCTTTCTGGGTATTCTTCTGTGCTGTTCCATCTGTATGAGTCTCTGATGTTGTGCAGCTCACTGGGCTGTGAATGTGTGGTTGTTTCCATGTCTGCTCTTTTGAGGAACAACGTCATTTGGCTGTGATCAGACAGAGGTGTTAGTGGCTTAACGGTGAATGAGCTGAGAGAGAAAGGGTCAACGTCTGTAATCATATCGTCTATTGTGCTGTGGCTAAGAGGTGAGCTGAATCTACCCAGAGTCCCCCCCGTAACCTACCATTGACAAAGTACAGACCCAGGCTTCGACAGAGCTGCAACAGATCCCTTCCGCTTTTTGTTGATGGTGCTGTCACTGTTGTTTCTTTGGGGGAGATTAAGACAGTTAGAAACAGTATGGCCTGTAATAAAGCTGTCCCCTCGTGGTCGTTAGATCAGGTAGTGTTCCTGTGAGCACATTTCCCTGGGCCTGGAAATGGCACGTCTTTTCCTCAAATATATTGCGCAAAGGAACACATTTTTCCATCAGTACAAGTTCTTTTTTCAGTTTTAACCAAATGTGATATTTACCAATTTTGAGGGGATCAATTCGATTTTGTAGTTAGGAAATGATCAATCCTCTAGAGTTTCTGCCTCTTGACAGAGCTGTGTTTCTGTGACGGCACAATTACGTGTCTGGGACAGTGACAGTATGATTACCTCTCTGTGGTGAGGCTCTCTCCTCATGGTGACCTTTACCTCCTCAAGCTCTGTGGTGAGGCCCTCTCCTCATGGTGACCTTTACCTCCTCAAGCTCTGTGGTGAGGCCCTCTCCTCATGGTGACCTTTACCTCCTCAAGCTCTGTGGTGAGAATCTCTCCTCATGGTGACCTTTACCTCCTCAAGAGCTGTGGTAAGGCCCTCTCCTAATGGTGACCTTTACCTCCTCAAGCTCTGTGGTGAGGCTCTCTCTCAGCTCCTGGACAGAGTTGTTCAGCTTTTCTGGATTTTGATAATTAGCGAGTATCGGCCTAATTCTGCTCTACGTGCATTATTTGGTGTTTTACGCTGTACATGGGTGCAGTCTCAATTTGGTGTTTGTCCCATTTTGGAAATTCTTGGTTGGTGAGAGGACCCCAGACCTCACAGCCATAAAAGTCAATTGGTTCTATAACTGATTCAAGTATTTTTAGCCAGATCCTAATTGGTATGTCGAATTTTATGTTCCTTTTGATGGCATAGAAGGCCCTTCTTGCCTTGTCTCTCAGATCGTTCACAGCTTTGTGGAAGTTACCTGTGGCACTGATGTTTAGTCCGAGGTATGTATCATTTTTTGTGTGCTCTAGGGCAACGGTGTCTAGATAGAATTTGTATTTGTGGTCCAGAGTGCAAAGAACCTTGGCGTGACCCTGGACAACACCCTGTCGTTCTCCGCTAACATCAAAGCGGTGACCCGATCCTGCAGGTTCATGCTCTACAACATTCGCAGAGTACGACCCTGCCTTACACAGGAAGCGGCACAGGTCCTAATCCAGGCACTTGTCATCTCCCGTCTGGATTACTGCAACTCGCTGTTGGCCGGGCTCCCTGCCTGTGCCATTAAAACCCTTCAACTTATCCAGAATGCCGCAGCCCGTCTGGTGTTCAACCTTCCCAAGTTCTCTCATGTCACCCCGCTCCTCCGCACACTCCACTGGCTTCCAGTTGAAGCTCGCATCTACTACAAAACCATGGTGCATGCCTACGGAGCTGTGAGGGGAACGGCACCTCCTTACCTTCAGGCTCTGATCAGACCCTACACCCAAACGAGGGCACTACGTTCATCCACCTCTGGCCTGCTGGTCCCCCTACCTCTACGGAAGCACAGTTCCCGCTCAGCCCAGTCAAAGCTATTCGCTGCTCTGGCACCCCAATGGTGGAACAAGCTCCCTCACGACGCCAGGACAGCGGAGTCACTGACCAACAGTAATCCTTCAACCCCCCCCCCCCCTAAAAAAAAGGGGGTGGTTGTCCCACTGGCTATCCTAAGTTGAATGCACCAATTTGTAAGTCGCTCTGGATAAGAGCGTCTGCTAAATGACGTAAATGTAAATGTAAATGGTCCTGGCAACTGGACCTTTTTTGGAACACCATTATTTTTGTCTTACTGAGATTTACTGTCAGGGCCCAGGTCTGACAGAATCTGTGCAGAAGACCTAGGTGCTGCTGTAGGCCCTCCTTGGCTGGTGACAGAAGCACCAGATTATCAGCAAACAGTAGACATTTGACTTCAGATTCTAGTAGGGTGAGGCCGGGTGCTGCAGACTGTTCTAGTGCCCATGCCAATTTGTTGATATATATGTTGAATAGGGTGGGGCTTAAGCTGTATCCCTGTCTCACCCCACGGCCCTGTGGAAAGAAATGTGTGTGTTTTTTGCCAATTTTAACCGCACACTTGTTGTTTATGTACATGGATTTTATAATGTCGGATGTTTTTCCCCCAACACCACTTTCCATCAATTTGTATAGCAGACCCTCATGCCAAATTGAGTCAAAATATTTTTTTGAAATCAGCAAAGCATGAGAAGACTTTGCCTTTGTTTTGGTTTGTTTGTTTGTCAATTAGGGTGTGCAGGGTGAATACGTGGTCTGTCGTACGGTAATTTGGTAGAAAGCCAATTTGACATTTGCTAAGTACATTGTTTTCACTGAGGAAATGTACGAGTCTGCTGTTAAAGATCATTCAGAGGATTTTCCCAAGGTTGATGTTGACGCATATTTTTATGTATATATATATATATTTTTACATTTAGCAGACGCTCTTATCCAGAGCCACTTACAGGAGCAATTAGGGTTAAGTGCCTTGCTCAAGGGCACATCGACAGATTTTTCACCTAGTCGGCTCGGGGATTAGAACCAGCAACCTTTCGGTTACTGGCACAACGCTCTTAACCACTAAGCTACCTGCCGCATATCCCACGGTAGTTATTGGGGTCAAATTTGTCTCCACTTTTGTGGATTGGGGTGATCAGTCCTTGGTTCCAAATACTGGGGAAGATGCCAGAGCTAAGGATGATGTTAAAGAGTTTAAGTATAGCCAATTGGAATTTGTGGTCTGTATATTTTATCATTTCATTGAGGATACCATCAACACCACAGGCCTTTTTGGGTTGGAGGGTTTGTATTTTGTCTTGTAGTTCATTCAATGTAATTGGAGAATCCAGTGGGTTCTGGTAGTCTTTAATAGTTGATTCTAAGATTTGTATTTGATCATGTATATGTTTTTTCTGTTGTTTGTTATAGGGCCAAAAAGAGAAGTGGTTTACCCACACATCTCCATTTTGGATATATAACTCTTTGTGTTGTTGTTTGTTTAGTGTTTTCTAATTTTCCCAGAAGTGGTTAGAGTCTATGGATTCTTCAATTACATTGAGCTGATTCTGACATGCTGTTCCTTATTTTTCCGTAGTGTATTTCTGTATTGTTTTAGTGATTCACCATAGTGAAGGCATAGGCTCAGGTTTTCTGGGTCTCTGTGTTTTTGGTTGGATAGGTTTCTCAAATTCTTTCTTAGGTTTTTGCATTCTTCATCAAACCATTTGTCATTGTTGTTAATTTTCTTTGGTTTTCTGTTAGACATTTTTAGATTTCATAGGGAAGCTGAGAGGTCAAATATACTGTTTAGGTTTTCTACTGACAAGTTTACACCTTCACTATTACAGTGAAACGTTTTGTCCAGGAAGTTGTCTAAAAGGGATTGAATTTGTTGTTGCCTAATTGTTTTTTGGTAGGTTTATACACTACTTTCCTTCCATCTATAGCATATCTTAATATTATTCAGTTTGATGCCTCATGATCGAGTATTGCTCTGTTCAAGTAGACCGTGATTTCTATTTCTCTCTCCTCTCCTCTCCTCTCCTCTCCTCTCCTCTCCTCTCCTCTCCTCTCCTCTCCTCTCCTCTCCTCTCCTCCCTCTCTCCTCTCCTCTCCTCTCAGTGATGGAGCAGCAGCAGGGGGCGGGTTCTCCAGGGGGTGTGGTCTCAGGGGTGCGAACCCCTCCAATCAGGATGAACAGTAAACTGGCCAGTCTGGGACGGATCTTTAAACCCTGGAAGTGGAGGAAAAAGAAGCAGCAGAACTCCTCAGGTGAGAGACAAAGAGGGACACTTGACCTTTATCTAAAGCGACTGAGTGTGTGTGACAACATCAGGGTGAACCTGCTGACTGAGTGTAGGTGACCCCAGCAGGGCGACCCCAGCAGGACGACCCCAGCAGGGCGACCCCAGCGGGCGACCCCAGCAGGGCGACCCCAGCAGGGCGACCCCAGCAGGGCGACCCCAGCAGGGCGACCCCAGCAGGGCGACCCCAGCAGGGCGACCCCAGCAGGACGACCCCAGCAGAACATTGTTCTCTGTGTTTCAGCTGTAGAGCGGAAGGCAGCGGCACCACAGACCCAACTGGTTAGGACTGAGCCAGGTACACACACACACACACACACACACACAGACACACTACACACACACACACATACACACACACACACACACACACACACACACATACACACACACACACACACACACAGACACACACACCCCACATACACACACACAAACACACACACACAGACACACACACACACAGACACACACATAACACAGACACACACACACACAACCACACACACAACACACACACACAACCCCACACACACAAACACACACACACAGACCACAACACACACATACACAACACACATACACAACACACACAAAAGACACAACAGACAACAGACACAACACACACACACACACCACACACACAAAACAAAACACAAACACACACAACAACAACACAAACACCACCACACACAACACACACACATACACACACATACCACAAACACACACACAGACACACACAAGACACACAAACACACACAAAAACCAACTGTAATAGTAAAAAAGTGAATACTTTCATAATGATAAACTTCTATCCTGTGTGTGTCTTGTGTGTGTCTGTGTGTGTGTCTGTGTGTGTGTCTGTGTGTATGTGTATGTGTGTGTGTCTGTGTGTCTAGTGTATGTGTGTGTGTATGTGTGTGTGTGTCTGTGTGTCTGTGTATGTGTTGTGTGTGTGTGTGTATGTGTTTTGTGTTGTGTGTGTGTGTGTTGTGTGTTGTGTGTGTGTTGTGTGTGTGTGTGTGTGTGTGTCTGTGTGGTGTATGTGTGTATGGGGTGTGTGTGTGTGTATGTGTGTGTTGTGTGTGTGTGTGTATGTGTGTGTGTGTGTGTGTGGGGTGTATGTGTGTGTGTATGTGTGTATGTGTGTGTGTGTGTGGGATGTGTGTGTGGGTGTGTATGTGTGTGTGTGTGTGTGTGTTGTGGTTTTGTGGTGTGTGTTGTGTATGTGTGTGTGTGTCTGTGTGTGTGATGTGTCGTGTGTGTGTGTGTGTGTGCTGGTGTGTTTGTGGTTGTGTGTGTGTGTGTATGTGTGTGTGTGTGTGTGTGTTGTGGTGTTTTGTTGTAGTGTGTGTTTTTGTGTTGTTGTGTGTTGTGTTGTGTTTGTGTGTGTGTGTTGTGTGTTTTGGTTTTGTTGTGTGTGTTGTGTGTGTGTTGTGGTGTGGGTGTGTGTGTGTGTGTTGGTTGTCTTTTGTGTGTTTTGTGTGTGTGTGTGTGTGTGTGTGTGTGTGTGTTTTGTGTGTGTGTGTCTGTGTGTGTGTGGTGGTGTCTGTGGGGTTTGTGTGTGCCGTGTTGTGTGGTGTGTGTGTGTACCGGTGCTGCCAGTGTGTGCGTACCCGTATGGTGTGTCTGTGTGGCTGTCCGTATGGTGTCTGTGCTCGTTATGTGTATGTGTGTGTGGTGTATGTGTGTATGTGGGTTCGTACTATGTGTGTATGTGTGTGGGTGTTGGTGTATGTGTGTGTGTGTATGTGCTGGTATCGTGGGATGTGGGTGTCTGTGTGTCTGTGTGTGTGTGTCTGTGTGTGTGTGTGTATGTGTCTGTGGGTGTGTCTGTGTGTCTGTGTTGTATGTGTGTCTGTGGTGGTATGTGTGTCTGTGTGTCTGTGTGTGTGTGTCTGTGTGTGTGTGTGTGTGTGTGTGTAGAGTGTTGTGAGGAGTGTGGGGGGATAGAGGACCCTGACACTCCCAGCCAATCAGATGCAGAGGTGGAGGAGCCTCTGGCTCCCCTGGCAACCACCTCAGAGGACCTGGTCAGCGACGACGACAACCCCTCTACAGGTACGACCTCTGACCTCCGAACCCTGACCTCTGACCTCTTACCCCTCTACAGGTAGGACAACTGACCCCCAAATGTTGATTTAGGTCTGCTTTTCTGAGAGCCACCTCAGGGTGGCGACAGAGATCATGAAACTCTTGTGTCATGTCATGTGCGGCATCTTATAAAGGCACCGTGAATGACTAAAACAGACATTAGCCTGCTGATTCATTTAAGATTTCTAAACTAAAGTAAAAAATAACAAAATCTGACAGAGGACTGTGTTGTTGATGATGATATTGTTTGTTTCAGTGGTGGACCTGACAGAGGACACTGTGACAGTAGCCGTCCCGGCCCAGAGGGAAGGAGAGAGGAGAGGAGGACATGTCCCTCTCTGAGCCCTGTGAGGACAGCTCTCTGGTACAGGCTGAGACAGGAAGGGGACAGGAGACACCTCATCCCATGGTCTCCCCACCCTGCCGGGACGGCACCCCGCCACCCCCCAACCTGCCCAAACTACTGACCAGGCTGGGCAGTCTAGAGGGTGAGTCTCAAATCAGCTCCTAGCAAGCCTCTGTTACTGGCCTGTTCGCCTGCCAGCTGACGCTAACAAGCCTCATACTGCTAGCTTAATACGGTCCAAGCTGTGGGTTAGTTTGAACAGATCATCACAGCATCTTATCCCTCTCCACCAGGCTAATATATATATATTTATTTACATTATTATTTACATTATTTACACCGACCCCTTGTTTTATTCATATTTATTCTTATTTTTTGCACTGACTCTCTTGAACAGGCTCAATGGACTCTAACCACACACACACACACACACACACACACACACACACACACACACACACACACACTACTCTCTGTTTATTATCTATGCATAGTTACTTTACACCTACCTACAGTGGGGAGAACAAGTATTTGATACACTGCCGATTTTGCAGGTTTTCCTACTTACAAAAGCATGTAGAGGTCTGTAATTTTTATCATAGGTACACTTCAACTGTGAGAGACGGAATCTAAAACAAAAATCCAGAAAATCACATTGTATGATTTTTAAGTAATTAATTTGCATTTTATTGCATGACATGAGTATTTGATACATCAGAAAAGCAGAACTTAATATTTGGTACAGAAACCTTTGTTTGCAATTACAAAGATCATACGTTTCCTGTAGGTCTTGACCAGGTTTGCACACACTGCAGCAGGGATTTTGGCCCACTCCTCCCTATAGACCTTCTCCAGATCCTTCAGGTTTCGGGGCTGTCGCTGGGCAATACGGACTTTCAGCTCCCTCCAAAGATTTTCAATTGGGTTCAGGTCTGGAGACTGGCTAGGCCACTCCAGGACCTTGAGATGCTTCTTACGGAGCCACTCCTTAGTTGCTCTGGCTGTGTGTTTCGGGTCGTTGTCATGCTGGAAGACCCAGCCACGACCCATCTTCAATGCTCTTACTGAGGGAAGGAGGTTGTTGGCCAAGATCTCGCGATACATGGCCCCATCCATCCTCCCCTCAATACGGTGCAGTCGTCCTGTCTCCTTTGCAGAAAAGCATCCCCAAAGAATGATGTTTCCACCTCCATGCTTCACGGTTGGGATGGTGTTCTTGGGGTTGTACTCATCCTTATTCTTCCTCCAAACACGGCGAGTGGTGTTTAGACCAAAAAGCTCTATTTTTATCTCATCAGACCACATGACCTTCTCCCATTCCTCCTCTGGATCATCCAGATGGTCATTGGCAAACTTCAGACGGGCCTGGACATGCGCTGGCTTGAGCAGGGGGACCTTGCGTGCGCTGCAGGATTTTAATCCATGACGGCGTAGTGTGTTACTAATGGTTTTCTTTGAGACTGTGGTCCCAGCTCCCTTCAGGTCATTGACCAGGTCCTGCCGTGTAGTTCTGGGCTGATCCCTCACCTTCCTCATGATCATTGATACCCCACGAGGTGAGATCTTGCATGGAGCCCCAGACCGAGGGTGATTGACCGTCATCTTGGACTTCTTCCATTTTCTAATAATTGTGCCAACAGTTGTTGCCTTCTCACCAAGCTGCTTGCCTATTGTCCTGTAGCCCATCCCAGCCTTGTGCAGGTCTACAATTTTATCCCTGATGTCCTTACACAGCTCTCTGGTCTTGGCCATTGTGGAGAGGTTGGAGTCTGTTTGATTGAGTGTGTGGACAGGTGTCTTTTATACAGGTAACGTGTTCAAACAGGTGCAGTTAATACAGGTAATGAGTGGAGAACAGGAGGGCTTATTAAAGAAAAACTAACAGGTCCGTGAGAGCTGGAATTCTTACTGGTTGGTAGGTGATCAAATACTTATGTCATGCAATAAAATGCAAATTAATTACTTAAAAATCATACAATGTGATTTTCTGGATTTTTGTTTTAGATTCCGTCTCTCACAGTTGAAGTGTACCTATGATAAAAATTACAGACCTCTACATGCTTTGTAAGTAGGAAAACCGAAACAAATCGCCAGTGTATCAAATACTTGTTCTCCCCACTGTCCATGTACATATTACCTAAATTACCTCGACTAACCCGTACCGCTGCTCATTGACGCTCCCCCTTTATGCAGCCTCGTTATTGTTATTTTATTGTGTTGCTATTTCCTTTAGTTTATTTAGCAAATGTTTCTTACTTACTTTTTTAAAAACTCTACATTAAGGGCTCCTATTCAGCACGTGACAAATACAATTTGATTCGATTTGAACAAAGTAACACAGTCTGATAACAGGTCTAATCCCAATGAAGAGGTCTCCAACCACTCTACCCAGGACCAACAGAGTAACACTGTCTGATAACAGGTCGTATCCAATGAAGAGGTCTCCAACCACTCTACCCAGGACCAACAGAGTAACACTGTCTGATAACAGGTCGTATCCCATGAAGAGGTCTCCAACCACTCTACCCAGGACCAACAGAGTAACACTGTCTGATAACAGGTCGTATCCCATGAAGAGGTCTCCAACCACTCTATCCAGGACCAACAGAGTAACACTGTCTGATAACAGGTCGTATCCCATGAAGAGGTCTCCAACCACTCTACCCAGGACCAACAGAGTAACACTGTCTGATAACAGGTCGTATCCCATGAAGAGGTCTCCAACCACTCTATCCAGGACCAACAGAGTAACACTGTCTGATAACAGGTCGTATCCCATGAAGAGGTCTCCAACCACTCTACCCAGGAGCAACAGAGTAACACTGTCTGATAACAGGTCGTATCCCATGAAGAGGTCTCCAACCACTCTACCCAGGACCAAACACTGTCTGATAACAGGTCGTATCCCATGAAGAGGTCTCCAACCACTCTACCCAGGACCAACAGAGTAACACTGTCTGATAACAGGTCGTATCCCATGAAGAGGTCTCCAACCACTCTACCCAGGACCAACAGAGTAACACTGTCTGATAACAGGTCGTATCCCATGAAGAGGTCTCCAACCACTCTACCCAGGACCAACAGAGTAACACTGTCCTGATAACAGGTCGTATCCCATGAAGAGGTCTCCAACCACTCTACCCAGGACCAACAGAGTAACACTGTCTGATAACAGGTCGTATCCCATGAAGAGGTCTCCAACCACTCTACCCAGGACCAACAGAGTAACACTGTCTGATAACAGGTCGTATCCCATGAAGAGGTCTCCAACCACTCTACCCAGGACCAACAGAGTAACACTGTCTGATAACAGGTCGTATCCCATGAAGAGGTCTCCAACCACTCTACCCAGAACCAACAGAGTAACACTGTCTGATAACAGGTCGTATCCCATGAAGAGGTCTCCAACCACTCTATCCAGGACCAACAGAGTAACACTGTCTGATAACAGGTCGTATCCCATGAAGAGGTCTCCAACCACTCTATCCAGGACCAACAGAGTAACACTGTCTGATAACAGGTCGTATCCCATGAAGAGGTCTCCAACCACTCTACCCAGGACCAACAGAGTAACACTGTCTGATAACAGGTCGTATCCCATGAAGAGGTCTCCAACCACTCTACCCAGAACCAACAGAGTAACACCAACATTATATTTGTATTCTCTCCAGGTCCTCACCCTTTCCCTAAGTCGGGTGCTAACCTAGAGAGGAAGAAGTCTCCAGCCACTCTCCCCAGGACCTTCACTCTGCCCAGGACGTCCCAGGATTCCTTGCTGAGAGGACGGATGACCACGCCTACTGGCTCCCCCCACCTGGGGCTGCTGCACCCCCCACCGCCCCCCAGCTGCATCATAGAGGAGCTACACCGGGCCCTGGCCACCAAACACAGACAGGACAGGTAGGACACCAATCAACCAATTACCAAACACAGACAGGACAGGTAGGACACCAATCAACCAATTACCAAGCACAGACAGGACAGGTAGGACACCAATCTATCAATTACCAAACACAGACAGCACAGGTAGGACACCAATCAATACCAAGCACAGACAGGACAGGTAGGACACCAATCTACCAATTACCAAGCACAGACAGCACAGGTAGGACACCAATCAACCAATTACCAAACACAGACAGCACAGGTAGGACACCAATCTATCTATCAGTCGATCACATTATTTTAGAAAGCCCTTTTTACATCAGCAGTTGTCACAAAGTGCTTTACAGTTACCCAGCCTCAAACCCCAAAGAGCAAGCAATGCAGAGGCAGAAGCACAGTGGCTAGGAAAAACTCCCCCAATCAATCAATCAATCAATCAATCAATCAATCAATCAATCAGTCCAATCAATCAATCAATCAATCTCCCAAGCACAGACAGGACAGGTAGATGGATGGAAAGCATGTTGTTGTGGGGTAAAGTGCCTTGCTCAAGGGCCCAACGGTAGGGGATTGTTGTTAGGATGTGAACCCAGCAGCCCTCCAGTTGCCAGATCAATCCCCCCTTTTATTCGAAGGTGTAAGAGTTGGGGTGAGGTGCGACCCAGGTGCGGTGCAGGATATACAGTAGGCAGTAGACAGAGATGGTGAAACAAGGATCTTTACTGGTGGTCCCGAAGCCAAAATACAAAATAATGGACTAAACACGATAAAAGAAAGGCGGAGCAAATAAATCTCCAAAAACCATCTGACAGCCAAAATACGAAATACTACCTAAGACTGAAACTGGGAGAACACTTCTCAAGTACTTGTGCATAGGTCTCTGAGTAGTACTGCTGGACATAGAGGAACTAGCAGAGGAAACTGAGCAAGGGAACACAGGGAAGTGAGGGCATTAATACACAGGTGAACCGGTAGACACAGGTGACACCAATAGGATGATGATAAGTCCCGACTGTGAGTGAGGAGGAGCCTATGGTTGGAGATCGGAGGATCTCTAGTAGCTAACTGTGCCACTAGATCCTGGTTCGAGTCCAGGCTCTGTCGCAGCCGGCCGCGACCGGGAGACCCATGGGCGGCGCACAATTGGTTCAGTGTCGTCCAAGGTAGGGGAGGGTTTGGCCGGCAGGGATGTGGGTTCGTTTCCCACGGGGGGCCAGTATAAAAAAATAAAATAAAAAATTAACATGTATGCATTCACTAACTGTAAGTCGCTCTGGATAAGAGCGTCTGCTAAATGACTAAAATGTAAACGTAAATGACACCTAGAGGGTCGCTCCGGAACTGCGACCCCCTCCTGTAACAGAAGGTATCTATGTGCTCTGTTGTCCTCCAGTTTCCAACCAAAGGAGATACACTCTTCTCCGAAGCGTCGGTCCGACGGTCATCTGTTGCATACAGCCAGCGTGGAGAAAGCGCTGTCCGGAGGTCTGGAGAGAGAGAAGGAGAGAGAGAAGGAGAGAGAGAAGGAGAGAGAGAAGGAGTCAGATGAGAACAAGGAGAACAGACGTCTAGACGACCCTGACTGCTGGAACGACTCCATCATCTCTGGTAGGTCACATACACACACACACAGCTGTGATGCTATAGTGCATAGTGTCCTCTCTGAGGACTCATACGGTATCTCTCCTCTCCTCCCCAGTCCTCTCCTCCCCAGTCCTCTCCTCTCCTCTCCTCTCCTCTCCTCTCCTCTCCTCTCCTCTCCTCTCCTCTCCTCTCCTCTCCTCTCCTCTCCTCTCCTCTCCTCTCCTCTCCTCTCCTCTCCTCTCCTCTCCTCTCCTCTCCTCTCACTCCTCTCCTCTATATACAAAAGTATGTGGACACACCTTCAAATTAGTGGATTCGGCTATCTCAGCGACACCCATTACTGACAAGTGTATAAAATCGCGCACAAAGCCATGCAATCTCCATAGACCAACATTGGCAGTAGAGTGGCCTTACTGAAGAGCTCAGTGACTTTCAACGTGGCACCGTCCTAGGATGCAACTTATTATTTTTTTCTTTTTTTCTTTGTCTTAATTTTTTTCTTCTTCTTTATATATATTTCTTAGGGGGATCAGCTTAATATTGCAGATAGATTGTAACTTCCATCAATGTAATTGTCTGCATCACTTCCAATCCCCCATACATACATACAGTGGGGAAAAAAAGTATTTGTTACCTTACTGGTTACTAAGTATCTGGGTTACCTTACTGGTTACTAGGTATCTGGGTTACCTTACTGGTTACTAAGTATCTGGGTTACCTTACTGGTTACTAGGTATCTTGGTTACCTTACTGGTTACTAGGTATCTGGGTTACCTTACTGGTTACTAGGTATCTGGGTTACCTTACTGGTTACTAGGTATCTGGGTTACCTTACTGGTTACTAGGTATCTGGGTTACCTTACTGGTTACTAGGTATCTGGGTTCCCTTCTGGTTATAGTTATCTGGGTTTACCTTACTGGTTACTAGGTATCTCGGGTTACTTAGGGTTACTAGGTATCTGGGTTACCTTTACTGGTTAATAGGTATTGGGTTACCTTATGGGTACTAAAGTATCGGGTACCTTACTGGTTACTAGGTATCTTGGTTACCTTACTGGTTACTAGGTATCTGGGTTACCTTAATGGTTACTGGTATCTGGTTACCCTACTGGTTACTAGGTATCTGGGGTTTACCTTACTGGTTACTAGGATCTGGGTTACCCTACTGGTTACTAGGTATTTTGGTTACCTGTGGTTAACTAGGTAGCTGGACCTTACTGGTTACTAGGTATTCTTGGTTACCTTATGGTTACTAGGGATCTGGGTACCTTAATGGTTACTAGGTATCTGGTTACATTACTGCGTTACTACGTATCTTGGTTTTACCTTACTGTGTTACTAAGGTATCTGGGTTACCTTACTGGTTCACTAAGGTATCTGGGTTTGGTTACCTTACTGCGTTACTAGGTATCTGGTTACCTTACTGGTTACTAGGATCTGGGTTACCTTACTGGTACTAGGGTATCTGGGTTACCTTACTGGTTACTAGGTATCTGGGTTACCTTACTGGTTACTAAGTATCTGGGTTACCTTACTGGTTACTAGGTATTGGGGTTACCTTACTGGTTACTAGGTATCTGGGTTACCTTACTGGTTTACTAGGTATCTGGGTTACCTACTGGTTACTAGGTATCTGGGGTACCTTACTGGTTACTAGGTATCTGGTTTACCTTACTGGTTACTAGGTATATGGGTTACCTTACTGGTTACTAGGTATCTTGTTACCTTACTGGTTACAGGTATCTGGTACCTACTGGTTACTAGGTATCTGGGTTACCTACTGGTTACTAGGTATCTGGGTTACCTTACTGGTTACTAGGTATCTGGGTACCTACTGGTTACTAGGTATCTGGGTTACCTTACTGGTTACTAGGTATCTGGTTACCTTACTGGTTACTAGGTATCTGGTTACCCTACTGGTTACTAGGTATCTGGGTTTACCTTATGGTTACGAGGTATCTGGGTACCCTACTGGTTACTAGGTATCTGGGTACCTTACTGGTTACTAGGTATCTGGGTACCTTACTGGTTACTAGGATCTGGGTTACCTTACGGTTACTAGGGTAGGTATCTGGGTTACCTTACTGGTTACTAGGTATCTGGGTTACCTTACTGGTTACAGGTCTTGGGTTACCTATGGTTACTAGGTATCTGGGTTACCTTACTGGTTACTAGGTATCTTGGTTACCTTACTGGTTACTAGGTATCTGGGTTACCCTTACTGGTTACTAGGTATCTGGGTTACCTTACTGGTTACTAGGTATCTGGGTTACCTTACTGGTTACTAGGTATCTGGGTTACCTTACTGGTTACTAGGTATCTGGGTTACCTTACTGGTTACTAGGTATCTGGGTTACCCTACTGGTTACTAGGTATCTGGGTTACCTTACTGGTTACTAGGTATCTGGGTTACCCTTCTACATGTTGGTAGCCTAATAATGTGTGTCTTTGGGCTGACAACCTGATTTATCTTGCCCCAGCCCATGTGTGTGCCATGTACAGTGGGGGAAAAAAGTATTTAGTCAGCTACCAATTGTGCAAGTTCTCCCACTTAAAAAGATGAGAGAGGCCTGTAATTTTCATCATAGGTACACGTCAACTATGACAGACAAATTGTGGAAAAAAAATCCAGAAAATCACATGTAGGATTTTTTATGAATTTATTTGCAAATTATGGTGGAAAATAAGTATTTGGTCACCTATAAACAAGCAAGATTTCTGGCTCTCACAGACCTGTAACTTCTTCTTTTAGAGGCTCCTCTGTCCTCCACTCGTTACCTGTATTAATGGCACCTGTTTGAACTTGTTATCAGTATAAAAGACACCTGTCCACAACCTCAAACAGTCACACTCCAAACTCCACTATGGCCAAGACCAAAGAGCTGTCAAAGGACACCAGAAACAAAATTGTAGACCTGCACCAGGCTGGGAAGACTGAATCTGCAATAGGTAAGCAGCTTGGTTTGAAGAAATCAAATGTGGGAGCAATTATTAGGAATGGAAGACATACAAGACCACTGATAATCTCCCTCGATCTGGGGCTCCACGCAAGATCTCACCCCGTGGGGTCAAAATGATCACAAGAACGGTGAGCAAAAATCCCAGAACCACACGGGGGGACCTAGTGAATGACCTGCAGAGAGCTGGGACCAAAGTAACAAAGCCTACCATCAGTAACATACTACGCCGCCAGGGACTCAAATCCTGCAGTGCCAGACGTGTCCCCCTGCTTAAGCCAGTACATGTCCAGGCCCGTCTGAAGTTTGCTAGAGTGCATTTGGATGATCCAGAAGAGGATTGGGAGAATGTCATATGGTCAGATGAAACCAAAATAGAACTTTTTGGTAAAAACTCAACTCGTCGTGTTTGGAGGACAAAGAATGCTGAGTTGCATCCAAAGAACACCATACCTACTGTGAAGCATGGGGGTGGAAACATCATGCTTTGGGGCTGTTTTTCTGCAAAGGGACCAGGACGACTGATCCGTGTAAAGGAAAGAATGAATGGGGCCATGTATCGTGAGATTTTGAGTGAAAACCTCCTTCCATCAGCAAGGGCATTGAAGATGAAACGTGGCTGGGTCTTTCAGCATGACAATGATCCCAAACACACCGCCCGGGCAACGAAGGAGTGGCTTCGTAAGAAGCATTTCAAGGTCCTGGAGTGGCCTAGCCAGTCTCCAGATCTCAACCCCATAGACAATCTTTGGAGGGAGTTGAAAGTCCGTGTTGCCCAGCGACAGCCCCAAAACATCACTGCTCTAGAGGAGATCTGCATGGAGGAATGGGCCAAAATACCAGCAACAGTGTGTGAAAACCTTGTGAAGACTTAAAGAAAACGTTTGACCTGTGTCATTGCCAACAAAGGGTATATAACAAAGTACTGAGAAACTTTTGTTATTGACCAAATACTTATTTTCCACCATAATTTGCAAATAAATTCATTAAAAATCCTACAATGTGATTTTCTGGAAAAAAAATTCTCATTTTGTCTGTCATAGTTGACGTGTACCTATGATGGAAATTACAGGCCTCTCTCATCTTTTTAAGTGGGAGAACTTGCACAATTGGTGGCTGACTAAATACTTTTTTCCCCCACTGTACACATACATACTGTCACGATCGTTGAACAAAGTAGACCTAGGCGCAGCGTTGAAGGCAAACATACTTTATTAACCAAAGTGAGAAACACGAACAAAACAACAAACGATAACGTGACGTGACGTCCTAGGTTAAACAACCAACACGGAACAAACCAACTGGAACAAGATCCCACAACACCTGTGGGAACACAGCCTGTCTAAATATGGCTCCCAATCAGAGACAACCAGCAACAGCTGACACTCGTTGCCTCTGATTGGGAACCACTCTGGCCAACATAGAAACAGAATACTAGACTGTGACCATAGAACAAAAACACATAGAATCTACACACCCTGGCTCAACATATAGAGTCCCCAGAGCCAGGGTGTGACAGTACCCCCCCCCCCCCCCTAAAGGCGCGGACTGCGACCGCACCTCAACATAGACCAAACAGGGGAGGGCTGGGTGGGCATTCCTCCTCGGAGGCGGTTCCGGCTCCGGGCTTGCCCACCACCCTCCAATAATCCCCCCGTAGCGCCCCTGGTCCGGTCTGGCCCCGCTGGCTGGAGCTGGACTGGATATCGTAGGAGCGGATTGCTTAAGCTCCGGTGTGGAGCAGCGGATCAGTACCTGACCAGGCACCGGTGACCCAGGCACGGGTTGTGCCGGACTGACGACGCGCACCCCTGGCTTGGTGCGTGGAGCAGGAACGGGCCGGACCGGGCTGACGATGCGCACCCCTGGCTTGGTGCGTGGAGCAGCAACGGGCCGGACCGGGCTGACGATGCGCACCCCTAGCTTGGTGCGTGGAGCCGGAATGGGCCGGACCGGGCTGACGATGCGCACCCCTGGCTTGGTGCGTGGAGCAGGAACGGGCCGGACCGGACTGACGACGCGCACCCCTGGCCTGGTGCGTGGAGCAGGAACGGACCGGACCGGGCTGACGATGCGCACCCCTGGCTTGGTGCGTGGAGCAGCAACGGGCCGGACCGGGCTGACGATGCGCACCCCTGGCTTGGTGCGTGGAGCAGGAACGGGCCGTACCGGGCTGACGATGCGCACCCCTGGCTTGGTGCGTGGAGCAGCAACGGGCCGGACCGGGCTGACGACTCGCACCCCTGGCTTGGTGCGTGGAGCAGGAACGGGCCGTACCGGGCTGACGATGCGCACCCCTGGCTTGGTGCGAGTGGCAGGAACAGACCGGGCCGGGCTGACGACTCGCACCCCTGGCTTGGTGCGAGTGGCAGGAACAGGCCGGGCCGGGCTGGCGACGCGCACCGTAGGCTTGGTGCGAGTGACAGGAACAGGCCGGGCCGGGCTGGCGACGCGCACCGTAGGCTTGGTGCGAGTGGCAGGAACAGGCCGGGCCGGGCTGGCGACGCGCACCGTAGGCTTGGTGCGAGTGGCAGGAACAGGCCGGGCCGGGCTGGCGACGCGCACCGTAGGCTTGGTGCGAGGGGCAGGAACAGGCCGGGCCGGCGACGCGCACCATCAACTTAGTGCGGGGAGCAGGAACGGGCCGGACCGGACTGGTGACGCACACCACTTGCTTGGTGTGAGGAGCGGGACTGGGTTTCGTCATAACCCTCCGCTCCCTCAGCTGCCTACACAGTTCCTCTCGCCTTGCCTCTACTCTCACCCTCTCCCTTATCGCCTCCAGTAGCTCCACCCTCTGAACCACTAACTCCTGCTCCCTCTGGACCACTAGCCCCCTTAACCTGGTGGCCTCCTCACCTAACCTCCTAATACGCCCTGTAGCTGCCTCCTGCTGCCCCGACGCCCATGCCGTGTGCCCCCCCCTAAATTTTTTGGGGGTTGCCTCTCGTCCGTCCGACGACGACCCTGTTGACGCCGTTGCTCCTCTCTCCGTCGCGCCTCTACCGTCTCCTTCCATGGACGGCGATCCATCCCGGCCTGGATCTCCTCCCAGGTCCAGGACCCCTGCCCGTCCATTATCTGCTCCCACGTCCAGGCTGCCTGCTCCTGGACACGCTGCTTGGTCCTGGTATGGTGGGATCTTCTGTCACGATCGTTGAACGAAGTAGAACAAGGCGCAGCGTTGAAGGCAAACATACTTTATTAACCAAAGTGAGAAACACGAACAAAACAACAAACGATAACGTGACGTCCTAGGTTAAACAACCAACACGGAACAAACCAACTGGAACAAGATCCCACAACACCTGTGGGAACACAGCCTGTCTAAATATGGCTCCCAATCAGAGACAACCAGCAACAGCTGACACTCGTTGCCTCTGATTGGGAACCACTCTGGCCAACATAGAAACAGAATACTAGACTGTGACCATAGAACAAAAACACATAGAATCTACACACCCTGGCTCAACATATAGAGTCCCCAGAGCCAGGGTGTGACACATACATACACATACATATCCTTTAAAAAAAATATATTCCCCTTTATTACTTTCCAACCCCACCACCCTTTCCCTAATTGGAGTAAACTAGTGAACAACAATGCTTAGGCCTCTACTTCCAGCTTATACATACTATATACATTTTATGGACACAGTCAATTTTACAATATTTATATTTTATTTGTTTTTGCTCCTGAAGTTCTTCTACTCTCAACCTCTCTGATCATTTTCATGATGTCCATCCGGTTTGGTCCTTAAATGAAACTGATATACTTTTTTATTTATCACAGTTTTCCTTAACCAATTATGTTCTTTAATGCAAGGCCGACAGACAAGTTCCTTATTTTCTCCCCCTTCCACTTTCCTCTTCCATTTTTGCGGTAAGGCTGCAATTATTTGGTTGTAATTTTGGGTAGAGCAGACATTTCCATATGTTTTTGTTAGCTGCATGTGTGACATAACTCCACCAGTTCTACTTATGATATCATTTACGAAGATTCTACCTTTTTTAAACATTTTGTAAAAAAAAAAGTTTTTTTGTCAATTAGTATATTTGAGTTTAACCACAATATTGGTTGCATTATTTGTTCTGTCGTTTCTGTAGGATTAAATTAAAATTGCAACCAACTTTCTATGGCTTGTTTTACAAATAGTGATATTTGGGAGATTATTTCCTTTTCAAATAACTGAAAGTGAGAGGTTGTAATCTGAATAAAGGGAAAAAGGCCATTCTTGAACATTGGGTGAGACAATCTTACTAATTTGCTAGAGAACCAGCTCGGATTTAAGTATAACTTTTGTATGACTGAAGCTTTTAGTGATAGGTCTAATGCTTTAATATTTAATCATTTCTGTCCTCCGAATTCATATGAATTACAGTGGGGAGAACAAGTATTTGATACACTGCCGATTTTGCAGGTTTTCCTACTTACAAAGCATGTAGAGGTCTGTAATTTTTATCCAAGAGTGAGCCGCGCCGGAGATGCCCAACTCGGAGAGGAGGATCTGATGGTTCACAGTATCAAAGGCAGCAGGCAGGTCTAGAAGGACAAGAGCAGAGGAGAGAGAGCGTTAGCTTTAGCAGTGTGGAGAGCCTCCGTGACACAGAGAAGAGCAGTCTCAGTTGAATGACCATTCTTGAAACCTGACTGGTTTGGATCAAGAAGGTCATTCTGAGAGAGATAGCAAGAGAGTTGGCTAAAGACGGCACGCTCAATAGTTTTGGAGAGAAAAGAAAGAAGGGATACTGGTCTGTAGTTGTTGACATCAGAGGGATCGAGTGTTGGTTTTTTGAGAAGGGGTGCAACTCTCGCTCTCTTGAAGACGGAAGGGACATAGCCAGCGGTCAAGGATGAGTTGATCAGCCAGGTGAGGTAGGGGAGAAGGTCACCGGAGATGGTCTGGAGAAGAGAGGAGGGGATAGGGTCAAGCGGGCAGGTTGTTGGGCGGCCTGCAGTCACAAGTCGCAAGATTTTATCTGGAGAGAGAGGGGAGAAAGAAGTCAAAGCATAGGGTAGGGCAGTGTGAGCAGGACCAGCAGTGTCATTTGACTTAACAAACGAGGATGGGATGTCGTCAACCTTCTTTTCAAAGTGGTTGACGAAGTCATCCACAGAGAGGGAGGAGGGGGGGGGGGGGGGGATTCAGCAGGGAGGAGAATGTGGCAAAGAGCTTCCTAGGGTTAGAGGCAGATGCTTGGAATTTAGCGTGATAGAAAGTGGCCTTAGCAGCAGAAACAGATGAAGAAAATGTAGAGAGGAGGGAGTGAAAAGATGCCAGGTCCGCAGGGAGTCTAGTTTTCTTCCATTTCCGCTCAGCTGCCCGGAGCTCTGTTCTGTGAGCTCGCATTGAGTCATCAAGCCACGGAGCTGGAGGGGAGGACCGAGCCGGCAGGGAGGATAGGGGACATAGAGAGTCAAAGGATGCAGAAAGGGAGGAGAGGAGGGTTGAGGAGGCAGAATCAGGAGATTGGAGGGAGAAGGATTGAGCAGAGGGAAGAGATGATAGGATGGAAGAGGAGAGAGTAGCGGGAGAGAGAGAGCGAAGGTTGCGACGGTGCATTACCATCTGTGTAGGGGCAGAGTGAGTAGTGTTGGAGGAGAGGGAGAGAGAAAAGGATACAAAGTAGTGGTCGGAGACTTGGAGGGGAGTTGCAGTGAGATTAGTAGAACAACAGCATCTAGTAAAGATGAGGTCAAGCGTATTGCCTGTCTTCTGAGTGGCGCAGTGGTCTAAGGCACTGCTAGCTGTGCCACTAGAGATCCTGGTTCGAATCCAGGCTCTGTCGCAGCCGGCCGCGACCGGGAGACTCATGGGCGGCTCACAATTGGCCCAGCGTCATCCAGGGTAGGGGAGGGAATGGCCGGCAGGGATGTAGCTCAGTTGATAGAGCATGGCGTTTGCAACGCCATGGTTGTGGGTTCGATTTCCACGGGGTATTCACTAATTGTAAGTCGCTCTGGATAAGAGCGTCTGCTAAATGACGTAAATGTAAATGTTGTGAGTAGGGGAGGACGGTGAGAGGGTGAGGTCAAAAGAGGAGAGGAGTGGAAAGAAGGAGGCAGAGAGAAATTAGTCAAATGTAGACGTAGGGAGGTTGAAATCCCCCAGAACTGTGAGGGGTGAGCCATCCTCAGGAAAGGAACTTATCAAGGCGTCAAGCTCATTGATGAACTCTCCAAGGGAACCTGGAGGGCGATAGATGACAAGGATATTAAGCTTAAATGGGCTAGTGACTGTGACAGCATGGAATTCAAATGAGGAGATAGACAGAGAAAAATTGAGAATGTCCACTTGGGAGAGATGAGGATTCCTGTGCCACCACCCCGCTGACCAGATGCTCTCGGGGTATGCGAGAACACATGGTCAGACGAGGAGAGAGCAGCAGGAGTAGCAGTGTTTTCAGTGGTAATCCATGTTTCCGTCAGCGCCAAGAAGTCGAGGGACTGGAGGGTAGCATAGGCTGAGATGAACTCTGCCTTGTTGGCAGCAGAACGGCAGTTCCAGAGGCTGCCTGAGACCTGGAACTCCACGTGGGTCGTGCGTGCAGGGACCACCAGGTTAGAGAGGCAGCAGCCACGCGGTGTGAGGCGTTTGTGTAGCCTGTGCGGAGAGGAGAGAACAGGGATAGGCAGAGGCATAGTTGACAAGCTGCAGCAGATGGCTACAATAATGCAGAGGAGATCGGAATGAAATGAACTAAACATCTGGGAAAGGAGAGAGCGGGGCCTCCCTCACCACAACTCCCAAATATAACTCTCCCAACTTCCACCTCAGAAACTATAATTGTTGTAAACTACAGCGGTTCAATGTTTTCTAGGAATAGACTAACTTAGTTTATTCAGCTAGCTAACTAGGTGCAGTATTATTCCGTGAAAAACGTCCAGGCACCTCGTCATAAGACGCCACAGCCAGCTAGCATGCCGGTCTCCAACAACACGGTTTAGCGCTAATACTCGGCGACAACAAACCACCAGTGTATCAACACGCAAGCAGATCGTTCGCGTCCGTGTCTAACGTTGTGGGTTAGTCCCGACAGCTTGAGCGAGTCCGTCGTCAACTTATTCAGCCAGTTAGTTAGCTAGAATAGTTAGCAAACTAGCTAGCCATTGCTTTCAGACAAAGAAGAACCCCTCCTTTCACGGCACGAACACACACAACATACCGATGCTGGCACTAATACCGCACTCAACGAGCTCTATAAGGCCATAAGCAAACAAGAAAATGCTCATCCAGAAGCGACGCTCCTAGTGGCCGGGGACTTTAATGCAGGCAAACTTAAATCATTTTTATGTAATTTCTACCAGCATGTAACAAAAACTCTAGACCACCTTTACTCCACACACAGAGACGCATACAAAGCTCTCCCTCGCCCTCCATTTGGCAAATCTCACTATAATTATATCCTCCTGATTCCTGATTACAAGCAAAAACTAAAGCAGGAAGTACCAGTGACTCGCTCAATACGGAAGTGGTCAGATGACGCGGATGCAACGCTACAGGACTGTTTTGCTAGCACAGACTGGAATATGTTCCGATGACGGAGTATACGACCTCAGTCATCGGCTTCATTAATAAGTGTATCGACGACGTCTTCCCAACAGTGACCGTACGTACATACCCCAACCAGAAGCCATGGATTACAGGAAACATCCGCATCGAGCTAAAGGCTAGAGCTGCTGCTTTCAAGGAGCGGGACACTAATCCAGATGCTTATAAGAAATCCTGCTACGCTCTCAGACAAACTATCAAACAGGCAAAGCATCAATACAGGATTAAGATTGAATCCTACTACACCGGATCTGATGCTCGTCGGATGTGGCAGGGCTTGAAAACTATTACGGACAACAAAAGGAAACCCAGCCGCGAGCTGCCCAGTGATGTGAGCCTACCAGACTAGCTAAATGCTTTTTATGCTCGCTTCGATGCAAGCAACACTGAAGCATACATGAGAGCACCAGCTGTTCCGGACGAATGTGTGATAACGCACTCGGTAGCCGATGTGAGCAAGACCTTTAAACAGGTCAACATTCACAAAGCCGCAGGGCCAGACGGATTACCAGGACATGTACTCAAAGCATGCGCGGACCAACTGGCAAGCGTCTTCACTGACATTTTCGACCTCTCCCTGACCAAGTCTTCAATACCTACATGTTTCAAGCAGACCACTATAGACCCTGTGCCCAAGGAAGCGAAGGTAACCTGCTTAAATGATTACCGCCCTGTAACACTCACGTCGGTAGCCATGAAGTGCTTTGAAAGGCTGGTCATGGCTCACATCAACACCATTATCCCGGATACTCTAGACCCACTCCAATTCGCATATCGCCCCAACAGATCCACAGATGACGCAATGTCAATCGCACTCCACACTGCCCTTTCCCAACTGGAGAAAAGGAACACCTATGTGAGAATGCTGTTCATTGACTACAGCTCAGCGTTCAACACCATAATGCCCTCAAAGCTTATCACTACTCTAAGGACACTAGGACTAAACACCTCCCTCTGCAACTGGATCCTGGACTTCCTGACGGGACGCCCCCAGGTGGTAAGGGTAGGCAACAACAAGTCTGCCACGCTGATCCTCAACACTGGGGCCCCTCAGGGGTGCGTTCTTAGTCCCCTCCTGTACTCCCTGTTCACCCACGACTACGTTGCCAAACACGACTCCAACACCATCAATAAGTTTGCTGACGACATAACAGCCCCATAACCCTCCAAGTCCACCAGAAACAGGAGACCCCTTCCACCTGCCGGCAGTCCAGGATCCGGTCCACCGTAAAAGCCGGCTGCCCTCCAACGGACGAGGAGGGGGAGCCAGGGGAGAGGTGGCAACGGGCTAGAGGAGGGACCCCTCTGAATGGCCCGACGGGACCGCAGCCTCCTTCTCTTGCTCGGGGAATAGGGGCACTTGGGGATAGGCAGGGGTCGGCGCAGCCGTGCCGCGGGCTGATGTGAGCTCTTCGTGCATGCGCACACCAGGCAAGCAGCCACGAAGGTGCGCATTTCCCCCTCAGCAGATGGCCACCAGAACCTCCTACGCAGGAACTCCAATGTCCTGGCGCCTCCCGGATGGCTGGTGAGTTCGGACGCGTCTGCCCACTGAAGCAGTCGCGAGCACTCAGCCTTGGGTACGTACATCGTCCCCGATGGGCCTCCGCCCAAATCGGGCTCCCACCGTAGCGCTGCTCTGACCAGCCTATCAATTCCCCATGAAACTGGGGCAGCCATCAGGGCATTGGGGACAATGGGGTCGTCCCTCATGGGCAGCGTCTCCGGTTAGGACAAGGAAAGCCATTGCCCTCGTGTGGGCATGGCGCCCGGCAGGAGATCATAAGGCCTGTGAGGAGGTAGGCCTCTTACTAAACACCTCCCCCAGATCCCAATACTCCTGGGGAAGAGGTGAGGACTGGTAGGTGGTCTGGGACGGTGGTTTAGGCTGATGAGTGGTCGGTGGCGACTGGAACAGTACGGGGGCGGATGAATGAATGAAAAACTGGATATACTCCCATAGCCCCACCGCCACCCGGACACACACAGGGACGGTGCGCCGGGTGAAGCAGCCCGACCCCAATGGCCGGCCGTCCAGGCCCATGACCGGAACCGGCTCGGAGAGAGAGAGTAACGTAACGCTCCACCCTAGGGCCAGCCCCGCATCCATCAGGTTTCCCGCGGCCCCAGAATCCATCAGCGCATGCGCCTGAATTGCAGCGCAGGCCCACTGAACCCTGACGGGGAGAAAAGTCTGGGTGTCTCTTGAGTTGGGGTTTCTGTTCTGGCTCGCTAGCAACCCTCCCGATACCCGCTTGCCCTCCCATTTTCCCGGCTTCTCCGGGCATGAGTCGCCGTGGTGACCTGCATGGCTGCAGTACCGGCAACGTCCCTGGGGCAAACGCCTCTGCCTCTCCATCCGGGACCAGCACGCCGCCTCCTCCTGAATCGGCGGAAAGCCTCCGGGCTGATAGGGAGACGCGGGGGCGAGCCTTGCGTCATGCCTCTCTCGTACGCCCTCTCACAACGCCGATTGTCCACCCGCACCGAGAGTCGACGAGGCCGTCCAGTTGCTCAGGCAGCTCTCTGAAGGAGAGTTTGTCCTTCATCCCCTCCGATAGCCCCTTGTTATTTTGTGTTACATTTTATTATTTTTTACTTTAGATTATTTGGTAAATATTTTCTTAACTCTTTCTTGAACTGCATTGTTGGTTAAGGGCTTGTAAGTCAGCATTTCACTGTAATGTCTACACCTGTTGTATCTGTGTGTAGGCACCCTGCCGCGGAGGATGCGTAAGGAGTTGTTAACGGTGAAGCTTCGGAACCGGCCCAGTCAGCAGGAGCTGGAGGACAGAAACATCTTCCCTGTTCGCTCAGACCTGGAGAGACAGGAGATTAGACAACACATAGAGAACAAGCTGGCCAAGTGAGTTATTAACACACACATACACAGACCACACACACACCACACACAGACCACACACACACCACACACAGACCACACACACACCACACACAGACCACACACACACCACACACAGACCACACACAGACCACACACAGACCACACACAGACCACACACAGACCACACACAGACCACACACAGACCACACACAGAGAGACTGGAGATACGACAATGCATAGAGACCAAACTGGCCAGGTGAGTGACACTCTCTCTCTCTATTCTCTCTCTCTCTCTCTCTCTCTCTCTCTCTCTATTCTCTCTCTCTCTCTCTCTCTCTCTCTCTCTCTCAATTCGCTTTATTGGCATGATGTAACAATGTACATATTCCCAAAGCTTACTTTGAAGATTTACAATATTAACATAATCAATTATAATAATCAATATTGACAACAGTAACAACAATAACCAAGGGTCAAAATACCCATACATTGAACAATAACAATATAGAGGACATGTGCAGGTTGGTTGGTCTGTCAGACACTGTCCCTCATCTTATGGCAGGCAGCAATGTAGTGCGCTGCCAACCCACAGCTCTGCATGTAGGGTTTCAATGGGGTTTGTCCCATTGGGTGAAATCTTGTTTTGCAAGTGGATCCCACACCTTGCTGCCATAAAGTGCAATTGGTTCAATGATACATTTGATTAGTTTTAGCCAAATGTTAATAGGTATTTCAATTTGAATATGTATTTTTATGGCGTAGAATGCCCTGCGTGCTTTCTCTCAGTTCATTCACTGCCTCATTAAGCTGTCCAGTTGAGATTATTTTAAACCTAAGTAATTGTAGTGTGTGGAGTACTCTATATATTTTGTACCAATTGAGAACTTTGGTATAATTCCCTGAGATCTGGATCTTCTCTGGAAAGTCATTATTTTAGTATTTTTGGGGTTTACTGCCAGGGCCCAGGTCTGTCAGTACTACTCTAGCAGGTCCAGGCTCTGCTGTAGGCCATGTGCTGTGGGTGACAGCAGGCACAGGTCATCTGTGAAGAGCAGGTATTTAACCTCTGAATTGTGGAGAATAACACCAGGGGCTGAGGATTTTTCTAGAATTTTTCAGCCTGTAGGTTCACTGAGTGATTTGCATTTTACATTTACATTTTAGTCATTTAGCAGACACTCTTATCCAGAGCGACTTACAGTTAGTGAGTCCATACAATGTTTTTAAATTCATACCCCCGTGGGAATCGAACCCACAACCCTGGCAAGTGATGTTTGAAAGAGACAGCCTGTAGGTTCGCTGAGTGATGTTTGAAAGAGACAGCCTGTAGGTTCGCTGAGTGATGTTTGAAAGAGACAGCCTGTAGGTTCGCTGAGTGATGTTTGAAAGAGACAGCCTGGAGGTTCGCTGAGTGATGTTTGAAAGACTGATCATTAGGGGTGTGTTCTGTTCAGAATGATCCCAGGCCAGCCCTCTATGGTCCAGACAGGGGTGTGTTCTGTTCAGAATGATCCCAGGCCAGCCCTCTATGGTCCAGACAGGGGTGTGTTCTGTTCAGAATGATCCCAGGCCAGCCCTCTATGGTCCAGACAGGGGTGTGTTCTGTTCAGAATGATCCCAGGCCAGCCCTCTATGGTCCAGACAGGGGTGTGTTCTGTTCAGAATGATCCCAGGCCAGCCCTCTATGGTCCAGACAGGGGTGTGTTCTGTTCAGAATGATCCCAGGCCAGCCCTCTATGGTCCAGACAGTGTTGTATATTGTGGCAGATCAGGGTGTTGGGTCAAGACGTTTACACAGATCAGGGTGTTGGGTCAAGACGTTTACACAGATCAGGGTGTTGGGTCAAGACGTTTACACAGATCAGGGTGTTGGGTCAAGACGTTTACACAGATCAGGGTGTGTTTGGGTCAAGCGTTTCACAAATCAGGGTGTTGGGTCAAGACGGTTTACCACAGATCAGGGTGTTGGGTCAAGACGTTTCACACAGATTCAGGGTGTTGTTGGGTCAAGACGTTTACACAGCTCAGGGTGTTGGGTCAGACAGACGTTTACACAGATCCGGGTGTTGTGTCAAGACGACGTTTACACAGATTCAGGGTGTTGGCTCAAGACGTTTACACAGATCAGGGTGTTGGCTCAAGAGTTTACACAGATCAGGGTGTTGGGTCAAGACGTTTACACAGAGTCACGGACAGTAGATGATTAGTCGTTTCAAGGTGTTTTAGAGTAATTCAAAGAAAGGTTCAAGGTTCCCACATGGGACCCTCTTACACGATACCGTCTTCCAACTACACGGGAGAGTTTACCTATCCCCAGTTTCCTCCCCCATGTGCTGCCCTTCTGGCAGCTTGTTACCTTGACTTCCACCAGTTCCTCCCCCAGTCCGTGCCTTCTGGGCAGCGTTGTACTTAACTTCCCCCAGTCTCCACATGTGCGCCTTCTGGCAGCTTGTTACCTTACTTCCCCAGTCCTCCCCATGTGCTGCCTTTGGCACTTGTTTCCTATCTTCCCCAGTTCACACCATGTGCGGCCTTCTGGCAGCTTGTTACCTACTTCCCCCAGTCCGTCCCCAGTCCTCTGCCCTTCGGCAGCTTGTTACCTGTACTTCCCGAGTCCTCCCCCATGTGCTGGCCTTCTGGCAGCTTGTTACCTTACTTCCCCCAGTCCTCCCCCATGTGCTGCCCTTCTGGCAGCTTGTTACCTTACTTCCCCCAGTCCTCCCCCATGTGCTGCCCTTCTGGCAGCTTGTTACCTTACTTCCCCCAGTCCTCCCCCATGTGCTGCCCTTCTGGCAGCTTGTTACCTTACTTCCCCATCCTCCCCCATGTGCTGCCCTTCTGGCAGCTTGTTACCTTACTTCCCCCAGTCCTCCCCCATGTGCTGCCCTTCTGGCAGTTTGTTACCTTACTTCCCCCAGTCCTCCCCCAGTCCTCTGCCCTTCTGGCAGCTTGTTACCTTACTTCCCCCAGTCCTCCCCCAGTCCTCTGCCCTTCTGGCAGCTTGTTACCTTACTTCCCCCAGTCCTCCCCCAGTCCTCTGCCCTTCTGGCAGCTTGTTACCTTACTTCCCCCAGTCCTCCCCCAGTCCTCTGCCCTTCTGGCAGCTTTATGGGCCTTGCACAGCTGGTGAGCAATCCGCCCTTAATTACTCACCAGCTCCCAATCAGCCCCAATTAGTCCTGTCTGGGAGCCCGTCGAGACCTGGCACGTCCAGCAGATGGAGCCACCGCCTCGTGATGTATACTCCATCTGTTACCAGGCCTCGACGAGTCTCCCCCTGGTGGCTGACCTGCTGTACGCCCCCCCCACCCCCCCACACCCAGGGGGGGAGTGGAGGGGACAGTCATCAGTGCAACGTCTGTCTCCCTTCTCGATAGGGCAGCCGCGTTTCCATGCTTCGCCCCTGACCTGTGCACAATAGAAAAAGAGAAGCGTTGAAGGGACAAGAACCACCTGGTGACCCAATCTTTTGTTGGTACCTAACAGGTAATACTTGAGTGTCTAGTGCCCACTTCACCGCCAGACACTCTTTCTCAACAATAGAGTATTTTTTTTCTCTGGGTATCAGCTTTCGGCTGATGTACATGATGGGGTGCTCCTGGGACAGAACGGCCCCTGTCCCGTATCACATGCATCCGTCTGGACCACCATCGGCACCTGGAAATATGGGCGTTACGAGAATCGGATGCGAGCACAGCGCTTCATTCAGACAGCTGAACGCCGCTTCTGTCTCGTCCGTCCATTTCACTGTTTTCGGGAGGCGGGCCCTGGTTAGATCTGTAAGGGGGGAAGCTATAGCCGCAAAGTTGGGGATAAACCGGCTATAGTCTCCTGCCAGTCCCAGGAAGGACTTGACCTGTGTCTTGGTGCGTGGAACGGGCCAGTCACGTACCGCGTGAACCTTCCTCTCCTGGGGTTTGACGTTCCCCCGTCCGATCAAGTAACCCAGGTACTCCACCTCCTCGAACCCTAGCTTGCATTTCTTGGGGTTTGCGGTCAACCCGGCTTGTCTGTGCGCGTCCAGCACCGCCTGGAGGCGCGTCAGGTGCTCCTCCCAAACTCGGCTGTGGGTGATATCGTCCAGATAGGCCACTGCGTACTGCTGGTGGGGTCGAAGCACCGCGTTCATCAGTCGCTGGAATGTGGAGACCGAACGGGAGCACCCGGTACTGGTACAGACCGTCTGGTGTCGAGAACGCCGTCTTCTCCCGGGAGGAGGCTGCCAATGGTACCTGCCAATATCCTTTGGTCAGGTCAAGGGTGCTGATGTACCGGGCCTTTCCCAATCGGTCGATTAGCTCGTCCACCCTCGGTATGGGGTAGGCGTCGAATACACTTATGTCATTCACACCCCGGAAATCATTACAGAAGCGTAGGCTACCGTCCGGTTTGGGCACCAACACGATGGGGCTACACCATGCACTGTGGGACTCTTAAACGACCCCCATCCTCAGCATAGCCTCCACTTCTTGTATCACAGCCTTCCGTCGGGCCTCCGGAATTCGATACGGCCTCTTTCTTACCGTTTCCCCGGGCCGGTTATGGATGTGGTGTTCAATGAGGCCCAGCTTATTGGGGAGAACACCGCCGTGTTCCAGTCGACAAGCTCCCAGAGCTCTTGCTTCTGGGCCGGGTCGAGGTCCTCACTGCATGGGACCACCACTGGTACTGTTGGTGTCCTGGGTCCCGACCGTAACACGGACAAGGCTGTCCTCTCCTGCCTCCTCTTCAACAGGTTCACGTGGTAAATCTGTTGAGATTTCAGTTTCTTGACAGGTCCCGGTTTCTCAACCACCTTGTATTGTCCGTGTCATGTTGCCAGGAACTTACTTTCGGCCGTGGGGATCAACACCAACACCCTGTCTCCCACCTGGAATTCTCAGGGCTGGGCTCCCCGATTGTAGACCTGGGTTTGGGCGCGTTGGGCCTTCTCCATATGTTCCCTCACGACTGGCCATTGGCTGTCATCCGCTCCCCCATCATCTCCACATGCTCTACCACACTGCGTAAGGGGGTCGGTTGGGCTTCCCACACCTCCTTGGCGAGGTCCAGTAGGCCACGTGGCCTCCTCCCGTAGAGGAGTTCAAACGGGGAAAACCCAGTGGAGGCCTGGGGTACTTCTCAGATTGAGAACATTAGGTGGGGTAGTAGCTGGTCCCAGTTCTTCCCGTCCTGCTCGATGACCTTCCGCAGCATCTGTTTGAGCGTTTTGTTAAAGTGCTCGACGAGCCCATCCTTCTGCGGGTGAAAAACGGAGGTCCGGATCTGCTTGATCTGCATGAGGGCACACAACTCTTTCATAAGGCGGGACATAAACTCTGTACCTTGGTCTGTCAGGATCTCGTTTGGGATGCCCACCCGGCTAAAGAGGTGGAACAGCTCCCGGGCGATTCCCTTGGATACCGCCGCCCGTAGGGAAATGGCCTCGGGATACCGGGTGGCATAGTCTACTATTACCAGGGATCCCACTATGTCCATGGCGATGTGTTCAAAGGGCACCCCGATGATCGGCAGGGAAACCAGAGGGTTTCAGAAGTGTGCTTTCGGTGCAGTGAGTTTACACTCCAGGCAGCTGCGACAGTAGTCTTCCACGGCACTCCTCATCCCGGGCCAGTGGAACCAGGCGACGACCAGTTCCCGGGTCTTCTCCATTCCCAGGTGGGTGTGGGCCAGCTGAAGAATGGTTTCTACGTACCGTCGGGGCAGCAACAATACCTCTCAAAGTTTCCCCTGATACAAAAGGTTATTCTTAATTTGGAAATGGGGGTATCGCCAGTCACTCACCCCCGGAAGTAGCTGTCCATCCACCGCTATCACTTGGGCTGCGGCAGCTTTCATATTCGGATCCTCCCACTGGGCCGTCCCGAATTGTCCCCTTAGTTGGCCCCCAACGGGGGTCTCGACTGGCCCCTCGAAAAATGTGGATCCTCCCACTGGGCCGGCTCGTATCTTTTTTTTTTCAACTCGTGCCCCCATAGGGCCGCGAACAGAGGACAATCCCATCCCACTAGGATAGGTACCGGCAGCTCTGGTACTGCCCCCACCATCATCTGGCAGCTCCCTGGTGTCACATTGTTGGTCCATACGGCGGGATACTGCTTTGTGTCACCGTGAACACAGGAAACTGACATCTCCCTACCCCGTTCGGTCTCCTGGTTCAGCAGGCTCGTGGTTATGAGCGTAACCATGCTTCCGGAGTCTAATAGCGCTTCCATGTCGTGTCCGTCAACCTTCACTGGGACCATGGGTGCAGTTGATTCATGGTGCGCCCAACAGGAGGTGACATAGTTCAAGGCGTGACCCACCTGGCCTCCGGTGCTAGCTGATGGCATCAACTTTCCTTGAGCAGGGCAATGTCCCCGGCGCCACACTCATTCTCAGTGGTGGGGTTGTCCTTCCGTCCCCTCGCACAGGTCGCTGACTCGTCCCGGCTCCCCCTCAGTAGGGCCTGAGTGTTCTGATGCATCTCCACTGCTTCCAGGAGGCCCTCCAAGGTCTGGGGCGTGCATAGGCTCGCTGCCCTCTTCATGTCGTGGGGTAGTGCCCGTACGAAGCGATCCAGAACCACTTTGTCGAGGAGGGAGAGGGTGGATACGTCGGTTAGGAGCCATGCCCTGGTGACACGCAGAAGGTCGCTCATCTGGGCTCGGGGGGGATGCGTCGGGTACAAACCTCCAGTCGTGGAACCGTTGAGCCCGATGGGCCAGGCTGTACCCGTAGCGGCTGAGTATCTCCCGTTTGAGTCCGTCGTAGTTAGCTGCCTGTTCGTCATTCAGGTCCCAATACGCCTTTTGGGCATTCCAGGTGACCACCTCATGAAGCTGGTTGAGAGAATGCCAAGATTGTGCAAAGCTGTCATCAAGGCACAGGGTGGCTATTTGAAGAATCTCAAATATAGAATATATTTTGATTTGTTTAACACTTTTTTGGTTACTACATGATTTCATATGTGCTATTTCATAGTTTTGATGTCTTAACTATTATTCTACAATGTAGAAAATAGTAAAAATAAAGAAAAACCCTTGAATGAGTAGGTGTGTCCAAACTTTTGACTGGTACTGTATGTAAATGATATATGTCTGTACTTCATTTTGACAACTCCATTGTGTCCTCCTCCCAGAGTGCAAAGAACCTTGGCGTGACCCTGGACAATACCCTGTCGTTCTCCGCTAACATCAAGGCGGTGACCCGATCCTGTAGGTTCATGCTCTACAACATTCACAGAGTACGACCCTGCCTTACACAGGAAGCGGCACAGGTCCTAATCCAGGCACTTGTCATCTCCCGTCTGGATTACTGCAACTCGCTGTTTGCTGGGCTCCCTGCCTGTGCCATTAAACCCCTTCAACTTATCCAGAACGCTGCAGCCTGTCTGGTGTTCAACCTTCCCAAGTTCTCTCATGTCACCCCGCTCCTCCGCACACTCCACTGGCTTCCAGTTGAGGCTCGCATCATGTGTTTGTCTGTGTGTGTGCGTGTATTTGTGGTTGGGATGTGAGAGTGTGGGTAGAGTCCAGTGTGTGGGTAGAGTCCAGTGTGTGTGCATGGAGTCAGTGCAAGAGAGTTAGTGAAAAAAAGGGTCAATGCAGGTAGTCCTGGTAGCTATTTGATTAGCTATTTAGCAGTCTTGTTTAGCAGTCTTATGACTTGGGGGTAGAAGCTGTTCAGGGTCCTGTTGTTTCCAGATTTTGTGCACTGGTACCGCTTGCCATGCAGTAGCAGAGAGAACAGTCTATGACTGGGTTGGCTGGAGTCTTTGACCATTTTTTTTTTTACCTTTCACTAACACCACCTGGTATAGAGGTCCTGGATAGCATGGAGCTTGGCCCAGTGATGTACTGGGCCGTACGCACGACCCTCTGTAGCGTCTTACGGTCGGATGCCAAACAGTTGCCATACCAAGCGGTGATGCAGCCAGTCAAGATGCTTTCACTGGTGCAGCTGTAGAACTTGTTGACGATCTGAGGGCCCATGCAAATCTTTTCAGCCTCCTGAGGGGGAAGAGGCGCTGTCGTGCCCTCTTCACACGGCCAGGTCTCTGACCTCCTCCCTATAGGCTGTCTCATCGTCGTCGGTGATCAGGCCTACCACTGTTGTGTTGTCAGCAAACTTAATGATGGTGTTGGAGTCGTGCCTGGCCATGCAGTCGTGGGTGAACAGGGAGTACAGGAGGGGACTGAGCACGCACCCCTGAGGGGCCCCCGTGTTGATGATCAGTGTGGCAGATGTGTTGTTGCCTACCCTTACCACCTGGGGGCGGCCCGTCAGGAAGTCCAGGATCCAGTTGCAGAGGGATGTGTTTAGTCCCAGGGTCCTGAGCTTTGTGATGAGCTTGGAGGGCACTTTGGTGTTGAACGCTGAGCTGTAGTCAATTAATAGCATTCTCATGTAGGTCTTCCTTTTGTCCAGGTGGGAAAGAGCAGTGTGGAGTGCAATAGAGATTGTGTCATCTGTGGATCTGTTGTGGTGGTATAGGAATTGGAGTGGGTCTAGGGTGTCTGGGATAATGGTGTTGATGTGAGCCATGACCAGCCTTTCAAAGCATTCATGGCTGTAGATGTGAGTGCTACGGTGCGATAGTCATTTAGACAGGTTACCTTGGTGTTCTTGGGCACAGGGACTATGGTGGTCTGCTTGAAACATGTAGGTATTACAGACCGGGTCAGGGAGAGGTTGAACATGTCAGTGAAGACACTTACCAGCTGCTCTGAGTATGTATCCTGATAATCCGTCTGGCCCACGCTCTGTAATCCGTCTGGCCCATGAGCTGTAATCCGTCTGGCCCATGCTCTGTGATCCGTCTGGTCCATGCTCTGTATTCCTTCTGGGCCATGCTCTGTGATCTGTCTGGCCCATGCTCTGTAATCTGTCTGGCCCATGCTCTGTGATCCGTCTGGCCCATGCTCTGTAATCCTTCTGGCCCATGCTCTGTAATCCTTCTGGGCCATGCTCTGTAATCCGTCTGGCCATGCTCTGTATTCCGTCTGGCCCATGCTCTGTAATCCATCTGGGCCATGCTATGTAATCCGTCTGGCCATGCTCTGTAATCCGTCTGGCCCATGCTCTGTAATCTGTCTGGCCCATGCGCTGCAATCCATCTGGGCCATGCTCTGTAATCCGTCTGGCCCATGCGCTGTAATCCGTCTGGCCCATGCTCTGTAATCTGTCTGGCCCATGTTCTGTAATCCGTCTGGCCCATGCTCTGTAATCTCTCTGGCCCATGCTCTGTAATCCGTCTGGCCCATTGAAATAACGTTGTGATATTGTTGTATGGTGGTATTATACATTTTGCATTGTAGATATGTAGTGGTGTGATAATGTTATATGATGCACTGTTTTATATTTTGTTTTATGTTTGATGTAAGTGCCAGGAAGAGTAGCTGCTGCCTTGACAGGAACTAATGGGGATCCATAATAAACCCCTGGAAGAGTAGCTGCTGCCTTGGCAGGAACTAATGGGGATCCATAATAAACCCCAGGAAGAGTAGCTGCTGCCTTGACAGGAACTAATGGGGATCCATAATAAACCCCAGGAAGAGTAGCTGGTAACTTGGCAGGAACTAATGGGGATCCATAATAAACCCCAGGAAGAGTAGCTGCTGCCTTGGCAGGAACTAATGGGGATCCTTAGTAAACCCCAGGAAGAGTAGCTTCTGCCTTGGCAGGAACTAATGGGGATCCATAATAAACCCCAGGAAGAGTAGCTGCTGCCTTGGCAGGAACTAATGGGGATCCATAATAAACCCCAGGAAGAGTAGCTGCTGCCTTGGCAGGAACTAATGGGGATTCATAATAAACCCCAGGAAGAGTAGCTGCTGCCTTGGCAGGAACTAATGGGGATACATAATAAACCCCAGGAAGAGTAGCTGCTGCCTTGGCAGGAACTAATGGGGATCCATAATAAACCCCAGGAATAGTAGCTGGTAACTTGGCAGGAACTAATGGGGATCCATAATAAACCCCAGGAAGAGTAGCGTCCGCCTTGGCAGGAACTAATGGGGATCCATAATAAACCCCAGGAATAGTAGCTGCTGCTGCCTTGGCAGGAACTAATGGGGATTCGTAATAAACCCCAGGAAGAGTAGCTGCTGCCTTGGCAGGAACTAATGGGGATCCATAATAAACCCCAGGAAGAGTAGCCGCTGCCTTCACAGGAACTAATGGGGATCCATAATAAACCCCAGGAAGAGTAGCTGCTGCCTTGGCAGGAACTAATGGGGATCCATAATAAACCCCAGGAAGAGTAGCTGCTGCCTTGACAGGAACTAATGGGGATCCATAATAAACCCCAGGAAGAGTAGCTGCTGCCTTGGCAGGAACTAATGGGGATCCATAATAAACCCCAGGAAGAGTAGCTGCTGCCTTGGCAGGAACTAATGGGGATCCATAATAAACCCCAGGAAGAGTAGCTGCTGCCTTGACAGGAACAAATGGGGATCCATAATAAACCCCAGGAAGAGTAGCTGCTGCCTTGGCAGGAACTAATGGGGATCCATAATAAACCCCAGGAAGAGAAGCTACTGCCTTGGCAGGAACTAATGGGGATCCATAATAAACCCCAGGAAGAGTAGCTGCTGCCTTGGCAGGAACTAATGGGGATCCATAATAAACCCCAGGAAGAGAAGCTACTGCCTTGGCAGGAACTAATGGGGATCCATAATAAACCCCAGGAAGAGTAGCTGCTGCCTTGGCAGGAACTAATGGGGATCCATAATAAACCCCAGGAAGAGTAGCTGCTGCCTTGGCAGGAACTAATGGGGTGCCATAATAAACCCCAGGAAGAGTAGCTGCTGCCTTGGCAGGAACTAATGGGGATCCATAATAAACCCCAGGAAGAGTAGCTGCTGCCTTGGCAGGAACTAATGGGGATCCATAATAAACCCCAGGAATAGTAGCTTCCGCCTTGTCAAGAACTAATGGGGTGCCATAATAAACCCCAGGAAGAGTAGCTGCTGCCTTGGCAGGAACTAATGGGGATCCATAATAAACCCCAGGAAGAGTAGCTGCTGCCTTTGCAGGAACTAATGGGGATCCATAATAAACCCCAGGAAGAGTAGCTGCTGCCTTGGCAGGAACTAATGGGGATCCATAATAAACCCCAGGAAGAGTAGCTGCCGCCTTGGCAGGAACTAATGGGGATCCATAATAAACCCCAGGAAGAGTAGCTGCCGCCTTGGCAGGAACTAATGGGGATCCATAATAAACCCCAGGAATAGTAGCTGCTGCCTTGGCTGGAACTCATGGGGATCCATAATAAACCCCAGGAAGAGTAGCTGCTGCCTTGGCAGGAACTAATGGAGATCCATAATAAACCCCAGGAAGAGTAGCTGCTGCCTTGGCAGGAACTAATGGGGATCCATAATAAACCCCAGGAAGAGTAGCTTCTGCCTCGGCAGGAACTAATGGGGATCCATAATAAACCCCAGGAAGAGTAGCTGCTGCCTTGGCAGGAACTAATGGGGATCCATAATAAACCCCAGGAATAGTAGCTGGTAACTTGGCAGGAACTAATGGGGATCCATAATAAACCCCAGGAAGAGTAGCTGCTGCCTTGGCAGGAACTAATGGGGATCCATAATAAACCCCAGGAAGAGAAGCTACTGCCTTGGCAGGAACTAATGGGGATCCATAATAAACCCCAGGAAGAGTAGCTGCTGCCTTGGCAGGAACTAATGGGGATCCATAATAAACCCCAGGAAGAGAAGCTACTGCCTTGGCAGGAACTAATGGGGATCCATAATAATCCCCAGGAAGAGTAGCTGCTGCCTTGGCAGGAACTAATGGGGATCCATAATAAACCCCAGGAAGAGTAGCTGCTGCCTTGGCAGGAACTAATGGGGTGCCATAATAAACCCCAGGAAGAGTAGCTGCTGCCTTGGCAGGAACTAATGGGGATCCATAATAAACCCCAGGAAGAGTAGCTGCTGCCTTGGCAGGAACTAATGGGGATCCATAATAAACCCCAGGAATAGTAGCTTCCGCCTTGTCAAGAACTAATGGGGTGCCATAATAAACCCCAGGAAGAGTAGCTGCTGCCTTGGCAGGAACTAATGGGGATCCATAATAAACCCCAGGAAGAGTAGCTGCTGCCTTTGCAGGAACTAATGGGGATCCATAATAAACCCCAGGAAGAGTAGATGCTGCCTTGGCAGGAACTAATGGGGATCCATAATAAACCCCAGGAAGAGTAGCTGCCGCCTTGGCAGGAACTAATGGGGATCCATAATAAACCCCAGGAAGAGTAGCTGCCGCCTTGGCAGGAACTAATGGGGATCCATAATAAACCCCAGGAAGAGTAGCTGCTGCCTTGGCTGGAACTAATGGGGATCCATAATAAACCCCAGGAAGAGTAGCTGCTGCCTTGGCAGGAACTAATGGGGATCCATAATAAACCCCAGGAATAGTAGCTGGTAACTTGGCAGGAACTAATGGGGATCCATAATAAACCCCAGGAAGAGTAGCTGCTGCCTCGGCAGGAACTAATGGGGATCCATAATAAACCCCAGGAAGAATAGCTGCTGAGTAGACACAACGCTAGCAAATGCACGTACCTTGTAATATTGTTGTATGGTGGTCCTCTGTAGGACTCTCTCTGCGTCTGCTAAATGGCATATTATTATTATTATCATACATTTACACACCGTAACCCATAATGACAAAGCAAAAACAGGTTTTTGGAAATTTCTGCAAACAAAATCAAAACGAACAATGAAATATCACATATTTACATAAGTATTCAGACCCTTTACTCAGTACTTTGTTGAAGCACCTTTGGCAGCAATTACAGCCTTGAGTCTTCTTGGGTATGACACTACAAGCTTGGCACACCTGTATTTGGGGAGTTTCTCCCATTCTTCTCTGCAGATCCTCTCAAGCTCTGTCAGGTTGGATGGGGAGCGTCTCTGCACAGCTATTTTCAGGTCTCTCCAGCGATGTTCGATCGGGTTCAAGTCCGGGCTCTGGCTGGGCCACCCAGGGACATTCAGAGACTTGTCCCGAAGCCACTCCTGCGTTGTCTTGGCTGTGTTCTTCGGGTCGTTGTCCTGTTGGAAGGTGAACCTAGAGCAGGTTTTCATCAAGGATGTTTACGTTTACGTTTACGTTTACATTTACGTCATTTAGCAGACGCTCTTATCCAGAGCCACTTACAAATTGGTGCATTCACCCTATAGCCAGTGGGATAACCACTTTACAATTATTATTATTATTATTATTATTTTTATTTTTTTGGGGGGGTGGGGGTAGAAGGATTACTTTATCCTATCCCAGGTATTCCTTAAAGAGGTGGGGTTTCAAATGTCTTCGGAAGGTGGTGAGTGACTCCGCTGTCCTGGCGCCGTGTGGGAGCTTGTTCCACCATTGGGGTGCCAGAGCAGCGAACAGTTTTGACTGGGCTGAGCGGGAACTATGCTTCCGCAGAGGAAGGGGAGCCAGCAGGCCACAGGTGGATGAACGCAATGCCCTCGTTTGGGTGTAGGGACTGATCAGAGCCTGAAGGTACGGAGGTGGTCCTCTGTAGCTCAGCTGGTAGAGCACGGCGCTTGTAACGCCAAGGTAGTGGGTTCGATCCCCGGGACCACCCATACACAAAAATGTATGCACGCATGACTGTAAGTCGCTTTGGATAAAAGCGTCTGCTAAATGGCATATTATTATTATTATTATTAGGTGTCGTTCCCCTCACAGCTCCATAGGCAAGCACCATGGTCTTGTAACAGATGCGAGCTTCAACTGGAAGCCAGTGGAGTGTGCGGAGGAGCGGGGTGACGTGAGAGAACTTGGGAAGGTTGATGTCTCTGTACTTTGCTCCGTTCATCTTTCCCTCGATCCTGACTAGTCTCACAGTCCGTTCTGCTGAAAAACATTCCCACAATATAATTTTGCCACGACCATGCTTCACCGTAGGGATGGTGCCAGGTTTCCTCCAGACGTGACACTTGGCATTCAGGCCAAAGAGTTCAATCTTGGTTTCATCAGACCAGAGAATCTTGTTTCTCATGGTCTGAGAGTCCTTTAGGTGCCTTTTGGCAAACTCCAAGCGGGCTGTCATGTGTCTTTTTACTCACCTCCCTGACCAAGACCTTTCTCCCCGGATTGCTCAGTTTTGCCGGGCGGCCAGCTCTAGGAAGAGTCTTGGTGGTTCCAAACTTCTTCCATTTAAGAATGATGGAGGCCACTGTGTTCTTGGGGACCTTCAATGCTGCAGACATTTTTTCGTACCTTTCCCCAGATCTGTGCCTCGACATAATCCTGTCTCGGGGCTCTACAGACAATTCCTTCAACCTCTTGGCTTGGTTTTTGCTCTGACATGCACTGTCAACTGTGGGACCTTATATAGACAGGTGTTGGCCTTTCCAAATAATGTCCAATCAATTGAATTTACCCTAGGTAGACTCCATTCTAGTTGTAAAAACATCTCAAGGATGATCAATGGAAGCAGGATGCACCTGAGCTCAATTTCAAGTCGCATAGCAAAGAGTCTGAATACTTATGTAAATGAGGTATTTCTGTTTTTTATTTGTAAATGTTAAAACAATTCTAAAAACCTGTTTTCACTTTGTTATTATGGGATATTGTGTGTAGATTGATGAGGATTCTTATATATTTAATCCATTTTAGTTTAAGGCTTTAATGTATATCAAAATGTGTGAAAAGGGAAGGGGTCTGAATACTTTCCGAATGCACGTTATGTGGTGGTGTGACAGTGTTATCTGATGTATTGTTTTATCTTTTGTTTTATGTGTAATGTAAGTGCCTTAATGTGTTTTGGACCCCAGGGAGAGTAGCTGCTGCCTTGGCAGGAACTAATGGGGATCCCTAGTAAAATGCAAATACAAATAATTTAAGCTGTAGAGAAAAGAAATCAAATAATAATAATAAGAAATATGTAAGAAATCTATAGTTGTGCTTTGCTTTGTAGCTACTGTGTCAATGGCTATCTTTATCTATCTATATATTACTAACTATAGCTCTGTTATCTGTACTCAATGGCTATCTGTATCTATCTATATATTACTAACTATAGCTCTGTTATCTGTACTCAATGGCTATCTTTATCTATCTATATATTACTAACTATAGCTCTGTTATCTGTACTCAATGGCTATCTTTATCTATCTATATATTACTAACTATAGCTCTGTTATCTGTACTCAATGGCTATCTTTATCTATCTATATATTACTAACTATAGCTCTGTTATCTGTACTCAATGGCTATCTTTATCTATCTATATATTACTAACTATAGCTCTGTTATCTGTACTCAAAGGTCTTCAGCTCTCTCTGTGGAGACACTTGGAGGGGGCGGAGGCTATTAATAGCCTGTAAGTTGAAGTTGAATAATGGATGGCAGCACTCTCTCTCACTATCAATTCAATTTCAAAGGGCTTTATTGGCATGGGAAACATGTATTTACATTGCCAAAGCAAGATTTTGTTTTAATTGATATTAACATTAAATATTGCACTCACAAAGGTTTCAAAAAGATAAAGACATTTCAAGTGTTATATTATCAGCTAGTGTTTTAGCATAGTTGTAGTACGGGAAAATAAATAAACAATCAATAGAGTCAATGGGAAATAACAGTAGGGAGGCTATATACAGGGGGTACCGGTACAGAGTCAATGGGAAATAACAGTAGGGAGGCTATATACAGGGGGGTACCGGTACAGAGGCAATGGGAAATAACAGTAGTGAGGCTATATACAGGGGGGTACCGGTACAGAGTCAATGGGAAATAACAGTAGGGAGGCTATATACAGGGGGTACCGGTACAGAGTCAATGGGAAATAACAGTAGGGAGGCTATATACAGGGGGGTACCGGTACAGAGTCAATGTGTAATAACAGTAGGGAGGCTATATACAGGGGGTACCGGTACCGAGTCAATGGGCTGGGGGCTATATACAGGGGGTACCGGTACAGAGTCAATGGGCTGGGGGCTATATACAGGGGGTACCGGTACAGAGTCAATGGGCTGGGGGCTATATACAGGGGGTACCGGTACAGAGTCAATGGGCTGGGGGCTATATACAGGGGGTACCGGTACCGAGTCAATGGGCTGGGGGCTATATACAGGGGGTACCGGTACAGAGTCAATGTGCACACAGGTTAGTTGAGGTAATTGAGGTAATATGTACATGTAGGTAGAGTTATTAAAGTGACTATGCATAGATAATAAACAGAGAGTATCAGCAGCATAAAAGAGGGGAGGGGGGGGGGGGGGGGGGGGTTAATGCAAATAGTCTGGGTAGCCATTTGATTAGATGTTCAGGACTTGGTGCTCCGGTACCGCTTGCCGTGCGGTAGCAGAGAGGACAGTTTATTACTAGGGTGGCTGGAGTCTTTGACAATTTTGAGGGCCTTCCTCTGACACCGCCTGATATAGAGGTCCTGGATTGCAGGAAGCTTGGCCCCATTGATGTACTGGGCCGGTAGGTTTTAATAGTCACAGTCGGCACAACATCAACTATACACTTCCTGATAAATTCAGTCACGGTTTCAGTGTATTCTTCTAAATTATTTTCGCAAGCTACCCGGAACATATCCCAGTCCGCGTGATTAAAACAACCTTGAAGCGTGGATTCCGATTGGTCAGACCAGCGTTGAATATTCCTTAGCATGTGTACTTCCTGTTTGAGTTTCTGCCTATAGGAAGGGAGGAGCAAAATGGAGTCATGGTCAGATTTGCTGAAAGGAGGGTGGGGGAGGGCCTTATAACCAACCTGGAAGTTCGAATAGCAATGGTCGAGGATTTTAGCAGCGTGAGTACAGCAGTCGATATGTTGATAGAACTTTAGCAGCCTAGTCCTGAAATTTGCTTTGTTAAAATCCCCGGCTACAATACATGCAGCCTCAGGATATGTGGTTTCCAGTTTGCATAAGGTTCAGTGAAGTTCTTTGAGGGCCGTCGTGGTTTCGGCTTGAGGGGGGATATACACTACCGATCAAAAGTTTTAGAACACCTACTCATTCAATGGTTTTTCTTTATTTTTACTATTTTTTACATTGTAGAATAATAGTGTAGACATCAAAATTATGAAATAACACATATGGAATCATGTAGTAACCAAAAAAGTGTTAAACAAATCAAAATATATTTTATATTTGAGATTCTTCAAATAGCCACCTTTTGCCTTGATGGCAGCTTTGCACACTCTTGGCATTCTCTCAACCAGTTTCATGAGGTAGTCACCTGGAATGCATTTCAATTAACAGGTGTGCCTTCTTAAAAGTTAATTTGTGGAATGTCTTTCCTTCTTAATGCGTTTGAGCCAATCAGAAGATAGCCCTATTTGGTAAAAGACCAAGTCCATATTATGGCAAGAACAGCTCAAATAATTAAAGAGAAACGACAGTCCGTCATTACTTTTAAGACATGAAGGTCAGTCAATCCGGAACATTTCAAGAACTTTGAACGTTTCTTCAAGTGCAGTCGCAAAAACCATCAAGCGCTATGATGAAACTGGCTCTCATGAGGACCACCACAGGAATGGAAGACCCAGAGTTACCTCTGCTCAGAGGATAAGTTCATTAGAGTTACCAGCCTCAGAAATTGCAGCCCAAATAAATGCTTCACAGAGTTCAAGTAACAAACACATCTCAACAGGAGACTACCTGAATCAGGCCTTCATGGTCAAATTGCTGAAAAGAAACCACTACTAAAGGACACCAATAAGAAGAAGAGACTTGCTTGGGCCAAGAAACACGAGCAATGGACATTAGACCGGTGGAAATTTGTCCTTTGGTCTGGAGTCCAAATTTGAGATTTTTGGTTCCAACCGCTGTGTCTTTGTGAGACACGTGTGGGTGAACGGATGATCTATGCATTTCCCACCGTAAAGCATGGAGGAGGAGGTGTTATGGTGTGGTGGTGCTTTGCTGGTGACATTGTCTGTGATTTATTTAGAATTCAAGACACACTTAACCATCATGGCTACCACAGCATTCTGCAGCAATAATCTATCGTATCTATCTGCGATACGTCATCTCATCTGGATTGGGCTTAGTGGGACTATCTTTGGTTTTTCAACAGGACAATGACCTAACACACCTCCAGGCTGTGTAAGGGCCATTTTACCAAGAAGGAGAGTGATGGAGTGCTGCATCAGATGACCTGACCTCCACAATCCCCCGACCTCAACCATATTGAGATGGTCTGGGATGAGTCGGACCGCTGAGTGAAGGAAAAGCAGCCAACAAGTGCTAAGCATATGTGGGAACTCCTTCAAGACTGTTGGAAAAGCATTCTAGGTGAAGCTGGTTGAGAGAATGCCAAGAGTGTGCAAAGCTGTCATCAAGGCAAAGGGTGGCTATTTGAAGTATCTAAAATATGAAATATTTTTGATTTGTTTAACACTTTTTTGGTTACTACATGATTCCATATGTGTTATTTCATAGTTTTGATGTCTTCACTATTATTCTACAATGTAGAAAATAGTAAAAATAAAGAAAAACCCTTGAATGAGTAGGTGTTCTAAAACTTTTGACCGGTAGTGTACACAGCTGTTACTATAACTGAAGAAAATTATCTTGGGTACAATACACAACCATGGACAATACACAATACAATACTGTACAATACAATACACAATGTACAATACACAATACTGTACAATATACAATACTGTACATAACACAATACACAATATTGCAATATCACTCAGAGAGATCATATCATATCACTCAGTATGTTCCTGTTATAATGCTGCTCTTGAGTCAGCCAGCCAGCCAGCTGCATGGAGCAGCATTATCCTCTTTAATCTATAATGACATCCTTTCAGCAGAGCATCACACCTGATATGTTCCATTCTACTTCAGAAGGAGACCACCGAGGGAGGGGTGTCTGGGCCTGGAGACCACAGAGGGAGGGGTGTCTGTCTAGACCTGGAGACCACAGAGGGAGGGGTGTCTGTCTAGACCTGGAGACCACAGAGGGAGGGGTGTCTGGGCCTGGAGACCACAGAGGGAGGGGTGTCTGGGCCTGGAGACCACAGAGGGAGGGGTGTCTGGGCCTGGAGAACACAGAGGGAGGGGTGTCTGTCTAGACCTGGAGACCACAGAGGTAGGGGTGTCTGGGCCTGGAGACCACAGAGGGAGGGGTGTCTGTCTAGACCTGGAGACCACAGAGGTAGGGGTGTCTGGGCCTGGAGACCACAGAGGGAGGGGTGTCTGGGCCTGGAGACCACCGAGGGAGGGGTGTCTGGGCCTGGAGACCACCGAGGGAGGGGTGTCTGGGCCTGGAGACCACAGAGGGAGGGGTGTCTGGGCCTGGAGACCACAGAGGTAGGGTGTCTGGGCCTGGAGACCACAGAGGGAGGGTGTTGGGCCTGGAGACACCGAGGGAGGGGTGTCTGGGCCTGGAGACCACAGAGGGAGGGGTGTCTGTCTAGACCTGGAGACCACAGAGGGAGGGGTGTCTGGGCCTGGAACCACAGAGGGAGGGGTGTCTGGGCCTGGAGACCACCGAGGGAGGGGTGTCTGGGCCTGGAGAACCACAGAGGGAGGGGTGTGTCTGGCCTGGAGACCACAGAGGAGGGGTGTCTGGGCCTGGAGACCACAGAGGAGGGGTGTCTGTCTAGACCTGGAGACCACAGAGGTAGGGGTGTCTGGGCCTGGAGACCACAGAGGGAGGGGTGTCTGTCTAGACCTGGAGACCACAGAGGGAGGGGTGTCTGGGCCTGGAGAACACAGAGGGAGGGGTGTCTGGGCCTGGAGACCACCGAGGGAGGGGTGTCTGGGCCTGGAGACCACAGAGGGAGGGGTGTCTGTCTAGACCTGGAGACCACAGAGGTAGGGGTGTCTGGGCCTGGAGACCACAGAGGGAGGGGTGTCTGTCTAGACCTGGAGACCACAGAGGTAGGGGTGTCTGGGCCTGGAGACCACAGAGGGAGGGGTGTCTGTCTAGACCTGGAGACCACAGAGGGAGGGGTGTCTGGGCCTGGAGACCACAGAGGGAGGGGTGTCTGGGCCTGGAGACCACAGAGGGAGGGGTGTCTGGGCCTGGAGACCACAGAGGGAGGGGTGTCTGTCTTGACCACCCACTGAGCAGACAATGTGAAGTCCACTTCAGACAGAATACGGACGAGGTAGTGTTGGGGTTAGGTCCTACTAGGCTAGTGTTGGGGTTAGGTCCTACTAGGCTAGTGTTGGGGTTAAGTCCTACTAGGCTAGTGTTGGGGTTAGGTCCTACTAGGCTAGTGTTGGGGTTAGGTCCTAGTGTTGGGGTTAGGTCCTACTAGGCTAGTGTTGGGATTAGGTCCTAGTGTTGGGGTTAGGTCCTACTAGGCTAGTGTTGGGGTTAGGTCCTAGTGTTGGGGTTAGGTCCTACTAGGCTAGTGTTGGGGTTAGGTCCTACTAGGCTGGTGTTGGGGTTAGGTGCCTAGTGTGTTGGGGTTAGGTCCTACTAGGCTAGTGTTGGGGTTAGGTACCTAGTGTTGGGGTTAGGTCCTACTAGGCTAGTGTTGGGGTTAGGTCACTAGGCTGTGTTGGGCTACTAGGCTAGTGTTGGGGTTAGGCACTACTAGTGCTAGTGTGTTGGGGTTAGGTCCTACTAGGCTAGTGTTGGGGTTAGGTCCTACTAGGCTGGTGTTGTGGGGGTTTGGTCCTACTAGGCTAGTGTTGGGGTTAGGCCTAGTGTTGGGGTTAGGTCTCCTATAGGCTAGTGTTGGGGTTAGGTCCTACTAGGCTAGTGTTGGGGTTAGGTCCTACTAGGCTAGTGTTGGGGTTAGGTAGTGTGGTTAGGCTAGTGTGTTGGGGTTAGGTCCTACTAGGCTAGTGTTGGGGTTAGGTCCTACTAGGCTAGTGTTGGGGTTAGGTCCTAGCTTAGGCTAGTGTTGGGGTTAGGTCCTAGTGTTGGGGTTAGGTCCTACTAGGCTAGGGGTTGGTTGGGGTTAGGTCCTACTAGGCTAGTGTTGGGGTTAGGTCCTACTAGGCTAGTGTTGGGGTTAGGTCCTACTAGGCTAGTGTTGGGGTTAGGTCCTAGTGTTGGGGTTAGGTCCTACTAGGCTAGTGTTGGGGTTAGGTCCTACTAGGCTAGTGTTGGGGTTAGGTCCTAGTGTTGGGGTTAGGTCCTACTAGGCTAGTGTTGGGGTTAGGTCCTAGTGTTGGGGTTATGGTCCTACTAGGCTAGTGTTGGGGTTAGGTCCTAGTGTTGGGGTTAGGTCCTACTAGGCTAGTGTTGGGGTTAGGTCCTACTAGGCTAGTGTTGGGGTTAGGACCCAAGCTAGTGTTGGGGTTAGGTCCTACTAGGCTAGTGTTGGGGTTAAGTCCTACTAGGCTAGTGTTGGGGTTTGGTCTAGTGTTGGTAGGTCCTGCTAGGCTAGTGTTGGGGTTAGGTCCTATGTGTTTTGGTGGTTGGTTAGGTCCTACTAGGCTAGTGTTGGGGTTAGGTCCTAGTGTTGGGGTTAGGTCCTACTAGGCTAGTGTTGGGGTTAGGTCCTACTAGGCTAGTGTTGGGGTTAGGTCCTAGGCTAGTGTTGGGGTTAGGTCACTAGTGTTGGGGGTTTTGAGGTCCTACTAGGCTAGTGTTGGGGTTAGGTCCTACTAGGCTAGTGTTGGGGTTAGGTCCTACTAGGCTAGTGTTGGGGTTAGGTCCTACTAGGCTAGTGTTGGGGTTAGGTCCTAGTGTTGGGGTTAGGTCCTACTAGGCTAGTGTTGGGGTTAGGTCCTACTAGTGTTGGGGTTAGGTCTAGTGTTGGGGTTAGGTTCCTAGTGTTGGGGTTAGGTCATACTAGGCTAGTGTTGGGGTTAGGTCCTAGTGTTGGGGTTAGGTCCTACTAGGCTAGTGTTGGGGTTAGGTCCTAGTGTTGGGGTTAGGTCCTACTAGGCTAGTGTTGGGGTTAGGTCCTAGTGTTGGGGTTAGGTCCTAGTGTTGGGGTTAGGTCCTACTAGGCTAGTGTTGGGGTTAGATCCTACTAGGCTAGTGTTGGGGTTAGGTCCTAGTGTTGGGGTTAGGTCCTAGTGTTGGGGTTAGGTCCTACTAGGCTAGTGTTGGGGTTAGGTCCTACTAGGCTAGTGTTGGGGTTAGGTCCTACTCGTTAGTGTGTGGGTTAGGTCCCTACTCGGCTAGTGTTGGGGTTAGGTCCTAGTGTGGGGTTATGTCACTACTAGGCTAGTGTTGGGGTTAGGTCCTAGTGTTGGGGTTAGGTCCTACTAGGCTAGTGTTGGGGTTAGGTCCTACTAGGCTAGTGTTGGGGTTAGGTCCTACTCGGTTAGTGTTGGGGTTAGGTCCTACTAGGCTAGTGTTGGGGTTAGGTCCTACTCGGTTAGTGTTGGGGTTAGGTCCTACTCGGTTAGTGTTGGGGTTAGGTCCTACTAGGCTAGTGTCGTGGGTTAGGTCCTCGTGTTGGGGTTAGGCCATTTCCAATTTTTTCATACTAAGAATGCTTCAAATGCGCGATTGTGTTGTTTCCCATTATTGGTTGAATTCAGAAGTCCCTCCACAAAGCTGATGATCAGCTGGTGACATCTGGCATTTAAAGTGTACTAGATTTTTGAAGTGCCGAATACTCAAGCGGCCTACTATTTAGGATACAAGTGTTGGTATTGGGACACGGCCACTGTGTCTCTGTCCTGTGATGTCACTGTGTCTCTGTCCTGTGATGTCACTGTCTCTGTCCTGTGATGTCACCGTGTCACTGTTTCTCTGTCCTGTGATGTCGCTGTTTCTCTGTCCTGTGATGTCACTGTGTCTCTTTGTCTCTGTCCTGTGATGTCACTGTGTCACTGTCTCTCTGTCCTGTGATGTCACTGTGTCTCGGTTTCTCTGTCCTGTGATGTCACTGTGTCTCTGTTTCTCTGTCCTGTGATGTCACTGTGTCTCTGTTTCTCTGTCCTGTGATGTCTCTGTTTCACTGTCCTGTGATGTCACTGTGTCTCTGTTTCTCTGTCCTGTGATGGCACTGTGTCTCTGTTTCTCTGTCCTGTGATGTCACTGTGTCTCTGTCCTGTGATGTCACTGTGTCACTGTCTCTCTGTCCTGTGATGTCACTGTGTCTGTGTCTCTGTCCTTTGATGTCACTGTGTCTCTGTTTCTCTGTCCTGTGATGTCTCTGTGTCACTGTCTCTCTGTCCTGTGATGTCACCGTGTCTGTGTCTCTGTCCTTTGATGTCACTGTGTCTCTGTTTCTCTGTCCTGTGATGTCACTGTGTCTGTCTCTGTCCTGTGATGTCACTGTGTCTCTGTGTCTCTGTCCTGTGATGTCACTGTGTCTCTGTTTCTCTGTCCTGTGATGTCTCTGTTTCACTGTCCTGTGATGTACATTTACATTTACATTTACGTCATTTAGCAGACGCTGTTATCCAGAGCGACTTACAAATTGGTGCATTCACCCTATGGCCAGTGGGATAACCACTTTACAATATGTTTTTTTTTTTAGGGGGGGGGGGGGGCGGGGGGGGTAGAAGGATTACTTTATCCTATCCCGGGTATTCCTTAAAGAGGTGGGGTTTCAAATGTCTCCGGAAGGTGGTGAGTGACTCCGCTGTCCTGGCGTCGTGAGGGAGCTTGTTCCACCATTGGGGTGCCAGAGCAGCGAACAGTTTTGACTGGGCTGTGCGGGAACTATGCTTCCGCAGAGGAAGGGGAGCCAGCAGGCCAGAGGTGGATGAACGCAATGCCCTCGTTTGGGTGTAGGGACTGATCAGAGCCTGAAGGTACAGAGGTGCCGATCCCCTCACAGCTCCATAGGCAAGCACCATGGTCTTGTAACAGATGCGAGCTTCAACTGGAAGCCAGTGGAGTGTGCGGAGGAGCGGGGGTGACGTGAGAGAACTTGGGAAGGTTGAACACCAGACGGGCTGCGGCATTCTGGATGAGTTGTAGGGGTTTAATGGCACAGGTAGGGAGCCCAGCCAACAGCGAGTTGCAGTAATCCAGACGGGAGATGACAAGTGCCTGGATTAGGACCTGTGCCGCTTCCTGTGTAAGGCAGGGTCGTACTCTCCGAATGTTGTAGAGCATGAACCTGCAGGATCGGGACACTGCCTTGATGTTAGCGGAGAACGACAGGGTGTTGTCCAGGGTCACGCCAAGGCTCTTCGCACTCTGGGAGGAGGACACAACGGAGTTGTCAACCGTGATGGCGAGATCATGGAACGGGCAGTCCTTCCCCGGGAGGAAGAGCAGCTCCGTCTTGCCAAGGTTCAGCTTGAGGTGGTGATCCGTCATCCATACTGATATGTCTGCCAGACATGCAGAGATGCGATTCGCCACCTGGTTATCAGAAGGGGGAAAGAAGAAGATTAGTTGTGTATCGTCAGCGTAGCAATGATAGGAGAGGCCATGTGAGGATATGACAGAGCCAAGTGACTTGGTGTATAGGGAGAATAGGAGAGGGCCTAGAACTGAGCCCTGGGGGACACCAGTGGTGAGAGCACGTGGTGCGGAGATAGCTTCTCGCCACGCCACTTGGTAGGAGCGACCGGTCAGGTAGGACGCAATCCAGGAGTGAGCCGCGCCGGAGATGCCCAGCTCGGAGAGGGTGGAGAGGAGGATCTGATGGTTCACAGTATCAAAGGCAGCAGACAGGTCTAGAAGGACAAGAGCAGAGGAAAGAGAGTTAGCTTTAGCAGTGCGGAGAGCCTCCGTGACACAGAGAAGAGCAGTCTCAGTTGAATGACCAGTCCTGAAACCTGACTGGTTTGGATCAAGAAGGTCATTCTGAGAGAGATAGCAAGAGAGTTGGCTAAAGACGGCACGCTCAATAGTTTTGGAAAGAAAAGAAAGAAGGGATACTGGTCTGTAGTTGTTGACATCAGTGGGATCGAGTGTTGGTTTTTTGAGAAGGGGTGCAACTCTCGCTCTCTTGAAGACGGAAGGGACATAGCCAGCGGTCAAGGATGAGTTGATCAGCGAGGTGAGGTAGGGGAGAAGGTCACCGGAGATGGTCTGGAGAAGAGAGGAGGGGATGGGGTCAAGCGGGCAGGTTGTTGGGCGGCCTGCAGTCACAAGTCGCAAGATTTTATCTGGAGAGAGAGGGGAGAAAGAAGTCAAAGCATAGGGTAGGGCAGTGTGAGCAGGA